TAGCGTGACTCAGACTCATGTGAGACGATTTATTTGGAACAATATTATCTGCCGTTTCGGCGTTCCAAGATCAATAGTCATGGATAATGGCACGAACCTCGACAGCAAGCAAGTAAGAGAGCTGCTGGAGGAGTATGGAATCAACCAGAAGTTGGCTGCAATAAGTCATCCTCAGGCCAACGGACAAGCAAAAATTACAAACAGAACCATTTTCGCCTGCATTAAGAAGAAGCTGGAAGACCATAAAGGGAAGTGGTTGGATGAGCTCCCGAACGTCCTATGGGCTTACAGAACCACCCCAAGGCGGCCGACTGGGGAGAGCCCGTTTGCAATGGCATATGGTACCGAGGCAGTTATACCGGTTGAGCACTTGGTCCCCACTATCAGAAGCTTAGCATGGAGTCGAGATCAGAACGACAAGATGTTAAGATTGAACCTCGATATGATAGACGAAAGGAAGGACGCTACAGCAATAAGGTTAGCATCATACCAGCAAGTATTGGCGAATAGTCACAACAAAAGAGTGAAACACAGGGACTTTGCCCCTGGCGATCTGGTTCTGAAAAGAAAGGTGGGGATAGTCAAAAAAATGATGCCACCCTGGGAAGGCCCATACAGAATTGCAGAAGTCATAGGCAAGGGAGCATATACGTTGGAAACCATGGCGGGAAGGTTGGTCAGCAAGCCCTGGAATGCCACGTCTCTGAAGAGGTACTACCAATAAAAGCTAAGTTTCGGCTTTATTGGATGTTGTTTGTTGTCAATCAAGTACGTATGAATGTGCAAATTCCTGAAGTTTATAAAAATAACTTTCCTCTTCAATGGTTTGCTAAAAATAAAAAATAAAAAATAAAAAAAATGAAAAGCCAAGTGGCAAGTGGCATTCTAGCCGAGCGCCAGGCACTTAAGCAAGATAAGTGGCAGCTGGCAACACAAGCCGAACGCCAGACACTTGCTAAAAAATGAAAAGCCAAGTGGCAAGTGGCATTCTAGCCGAGCGCCAGGCACTTAAGCAAGATAAGTGGCAGCTGGCAACACAAGCCGAACGCCAGACACTTGCTAAAAAATGAAAAGCCAAGTGGCAAGTGGCATTCTAGCCGAGCGCCAGGCACTTAAGCAAGATAAGTGGCAGCTGGCACCATAAGCCGAACGCCAGACACTTGCTAAAAAATGAAAAGCCAAGTGGCAAGTGGCATTCTAGCCGAGCGCCAGGCACTTAAGCAAGATAAGTGGCAGCTGGCAACACAAGCCGAACGCCAGACACTTGCTAAAAAATGAAAAGCCAAGTGGCAAGTGGCATTCTAGCCGAGCGCCAGGCACTTAAGCAAGATAAGTGGCAGCTGGCACCACAAGCCGAACGCCAGACACTTGCTAAAAATTTAAAGCCAAGTGGCAAGTGGCATTCTAGCCGAACGCCAGGCACCTGAGCAAGATAAGTGGCAGCTGGCACCGCAAGCCGAACGCCAAGCACTTGCCATAAACAAGCACACGACAAAGTTAATATAAAAGAAAAGAGAGAAAGGGTATATATATATTGAAAATGGGTTTGAACAGAGCGCAACACAAAGGAAAAAGAGAAAAAGAGTTCTGTCATTTCATTCATAATAAGCATTGAGTTTACAAAAAATGAAATATTCAAGTCACATTGTTACAAAAAAGTATGGAATCGAAGAGTCCGGAGGAGTTCTAGCTAGCTACCTCAGTACCGACAGCATCCTGGTTGTGCCGACCCGCCTCCTCGGTCCCATCAGCCGTCTCACCCTCACGAGGTGGGGAATCAAGATGAATAACAGAGTCATTCTGCTGGGGGCCAACATCAGCAGTGGCTATGGGAGGTACCACAGTTGACGATTGAGGAGCGGTTAGAGGCAGAGCGGTAGGAGGAGCTGTAATGATCCTTGAGGAAGCAATGTCCTGGCACTCATCAAATATGCGCTCCGCTTCGGTGGGTTCTGGGTCAACATAGACCCCCAGAGGGTCAATCCCTAAATCCTTATCGACCTCATCTGGAGTGGAGCTGGTCTGTCCCTCATCCGGAACTCGGTCGGAGAAACCTTCTCGGAATCCTTGAGCATATCTAAGAGCGCCGACCCTTGAGAACCGAGCATGAAGAGCCAGCATCCCACCGTTCACTCTGCTGATTGTATCAATCAGAGCAGTACGCTCGTCCAGAGCTCTCTTCTCAAAAGCCATCCGAGCAGACTGTTCATCAGCCAGAAGGCGCTGGAGCTCTGCCTTTTCGTCTCTGATTGAATCACGCTCAGTCTGCCAGACGCTCTTTTCAAGCTGGAGGGCATCCTTCTCATCCTGAAGAGAGTCATTCTCCTTCTTCAAGACATCTCTTTCTTGTTCAGTTTTTTCAAGCCGAGCCAATACCTCGGTATTCTTGCTGGCGAGAATATCGTTTTCTTTATTGACCACCTCCAGGCTATCAGAAAACTTACGAGCCCTGGCGTTCCCCATCTCTACCTGCTTCTGTATAGCCATCATTCTGAACAAAGTCTGCATAGATGTACATTAATAACGGTTAAACCGATAGTCTGGTCGGGCGAAGGCAAGACCAAATAATATGAGAGAATTCATGAGTTGGAAAATAAAAGTCACCTCCATGGTAGATTGGGGAAAGCGGCTGAACACATCCTTCTAGGATAGGCCTTTCGCCGCCTCAAGGTCTTTCGGAGTCCACATGCTCCTATAATACGCCATGGCGGTCTGGCCATCCTTTAGCATGGTCTCGTTCGGCTTCACGAACGTCCCATCCGTTCCGGTGTACCGATGAGCCCATGGTGGTAAAGTGGGAAGAGAAGGGGAGCCTGAAGCAGAAGCAGAGGCACTAGCTGCAATAGGCCCGGAGGGGGCAGGAGCTCTGACCGGGCGATGCAAGAGAGCACCCGGCCCAGAGACCCGGGTCCTTCTTATGAGAGATTCCTCCTCAGGGTCGACTCCACTGTCAGGATGAGGCCTTTTGCCTCGTTCTTTATCCCGAGCGCCCCCAGCGGCAGCAGGAGCTGTGGTGATTTGGGGAGACGCGCTCGGGTTGGTAGCAGGGGTGCTGACAACAGAGTCAATAGCCACCGTGCTCGGGATGGTGTCAGAGATGGTGGCTGAGGAAGAGGCTGATGCAGGAGAGGAGGTTGCCCCAGCAGCAGAAGTGGCTGGGGGAGTATTTTTCTTACTGCCAAAAGAAAAAATCTGAAGCCTGCTCATGTTATAGCCGAGGGATAAGAGCGCTAGGAGGTTGTCTGAAGTGAGGAGGTCTGAGCAGGAAGGAATATCGTTCAGAACGTATTTCTTCAAGTAATTACTCCTATCCCTGCAAACTGTAGCTCAAGTCATCACAAGGTATTCCTAAGGAGCGGCATAAGAAAGTACAAAAGCGAGGAACGCATGTTTCGCAGGGGCAATCGTTTTTGTGAGATTTGAATTTCTTATATGAGGAAACAGAACAGACGCCAAAGGCGCTCGGGATTGGGTAATCCTCTGCAGCCGGCGAAGACCAAGCCCCACTAATGCCCACGATGTTGTCCCTCCAACCCTTTTCAGATTTGATTGTGTCCGTACATATGGACATCTTCTCGATCGGGTAGAGGTGGTAGAAGGGCTCGTTAGTTCGGATCTTACTGACCTTATAACACAGAAGAAGATCTATGAGGTCAAGGTCCAGACTTCTGTCACGAATCAACAGTAGCATAACGGATATGATTCTAAAGAAATTGGGGTTTACCTGCAGGGGGGATATCTCCAGTCTATTGAAGACATAATTAAAGAAGGGGTGCAGAGGGAACCTAACGACATTCAGTTGAAGGTTTGAAAATAAAACTTCGTCGGGAAGGAGGCCGGCACCGGTCATAATATTAACATCCTTAGGGCAAACCCTAACTTCGATGTTGTCAGGAAGTCTAAGTCTCATACGAAGAACATCTAGATCTACAACCATGGTGGAAGTGTTTGAAGGATCTAAAAGGGGTAAAAAGAAGCCTGCCGAAAGTAAAAAGGAACAAAACTAACCTCTGAGGTAGAAAGCAACAAAGAGCACTGCAAGACCGCTGGAAGAACGACTCTTGAAGGATTTCACCGGAAAAAGCTTAGCACTGTTCTAAAAAGAGAGAGATTTGACTGATGATGGAGACGGTAAAAAGGCATGAAGTGGTATTCTAGAGCCTTATAAAGGCGAGGGGGACCCGAGGGCCGAAGCGTCAGGAAGGCGAGAAATTCATCGAGCCCCGGAACATTGATTCTGGATCTGACCGTCCGTTCCCCCATGTGGGTTTCTCGAGCCGTCAACGTCATAATGAGACGCCTTCAATAATTACCCCCTTATTAAACAAGGGGTAATTATGGGGGCAGTTGAGGAGGCCCGAGAGGACATGGGCTGGATATGACTTGCAAACGCGACATTTAGTCCGTACAGGTGGGTCAGGTCCATAGAAAGGCACTGCCATATGGGCCGAACGCGCATAAGCCCTTCAAAGAGGACCGGGACTCATGGAGGAACGGGCCTAGATCCAGCAGTCCATCAACATTTGTAAATCTCTATAAATAGGAGAAGTAATGGAAAGAAGAGGGGGAGATATTTTTTTTGGTTGAAATACAGGAATTCTAGAGAGAGAAAGAGGGAAGGAATTTCTTGTATCTTCATATATATATATATATATATATATGTATATATATATATATATGTATATATTCTTTGATAATAGTTATGAAAGACATTACATCAAAGTTGCTTCAAATGTTAACCAAAACCAAAATTTCAAACACTTTCTATATATATATTTTATTATCTCATAATTGAAAACTATTACAAAATAAAAATATTTTTATTATAAGAAACAAATATTTGTTTATTGAGAATAAAAATAATAATTTAAAATAGTCAAACTAGAACTTAATTAGTACCAATATTTTTTTTGAGTTTGACCACGTCAAGTGGACCATTGAATTCAGATAAGTTTCTAATTTCGGTTTCTAATTCATTTGTCGGCAACATATATTCTACCAGTACCCGAAATAGTCGTCCTAATAAGACCGCTCATTCATGCACGTTTTGCTTCTTGTGGACACACACACTTACACAGACACGTCTTGCTTTTGATTTTGATTCATTTGAAGGCACCGGGACGCGACGTTTGTCAGATTCCGGCGCCGTCAAGTCTCCGGCGATCCGTACACATATTTCTGGTCTCAGGTGTAGTGGATATGGAGTATTATTTATCTTTGTAATATCTTAATTACTTGGTGTGATATCCATGTTGTCTCAGTGTACATTTGGGGTATTAGTCTATGAAAAAGGGGTTGCAATTTCTTTGAATTTGATTGGGTACAACTTTATGACCTTGTTTCTTGATTTTCAGAAATGGCATTATACGATTTACTCTATGTACTATTTTTTTTTTATTGAATCTTGCTACGAGATCATCTTCTTCTTCTTCTTCTTCTTCTTCTTTCTTTTTTAAATATTTTTTTCGTGTTATATTTGTGATTTCTCTAATGTTGTGTTGGGGAGCAGCAAATCAAAGGCTTGGATCTGGAACAAATTTAGTTCGAAGTTTTGAGCACCAAATCAGCCCCTTGATTTTGAAATTGAACAAATTTAGTTCAATTTTTTGCTAGTTGTTGAAGAATTATTATTTTACACTCGTTACTTGGTTTGAGAACAAAGGTGTTGTGAGTTCATTTAGTTTGGTTCAGCTAAAGAATTATATTTGCAAGCCATATCCATGTTTTCTGACTTCGGGGAATGGCATTATATGATTCACCAACCAATTCAAAAAAGGGGAGGGTAAGTTTCTGTAGTAAGGGTCAGGACAAAGCTAATCATATGCGAGTGTGTGGGGCATTTTTTGCTATATATACCATATTTATTGAATCTTGTTAGTGATATTTTGTTGTTGTGTTTCTATCTTAGAAAGAACCCAATTTGTGTTATCTATTTCAACCATAGGAGCTTTAATTGGCCAGCACCCCTGAAATTAAGCGAGGTAAAACAAATCTGTGTAATTTGGAAATTTCGCGTTAGTTGTGTGTGCGCAACCGTGCATATGCATATGTTTAGTTGCATCTGTTGTATATAATTTAATTGGAGTAAGTGAGTAACGGACCAAGTGTCTGAACTATGATGGCATATGGCCTTCTGCATTTCTACCTGAGAACCATACAGGATAACTGGTGCCGCCAGGTAAGTATTAAAGGTCAATAGATAGTTAACATGATAGATTGGAAATTTTTTGCCAATAGAACACCCTAATTTGCACCAGGGAAGACAACTGATTCCAGGTCTGTCTGTATGGCATGCTTGTTTTGTTTGAAAATCTATTTTGTAATAAAAAACAAACAATTACTCTGAAATAAAAAATAAAATAAAAAAGAAAGAAGGAAAAGCACTTCTACATATTATTAAATTAATATAAATGAAATGTTAGCTTGTCAAAATGCGGTCATATGGTGCTTAAAGGATAATATGCTGAATATTTCCTTGGTATAGTTTGATCTTTTAATTATTACTATTGACTTTTTTATGTGTGCAATATATGTTTTTGCTTTGCAAGGACCACTGCCATATCATGCTTGAGCTGTGAACTTCAAACTGGTTAAGATGGCCTCCTTGCATAACCATGCTGCTGAGAGCATACATGCGATATCCAGTATTTTGGGGCATGAAAAATGTGAAGACTACTTGCTCTTTCGTGGTGAAACTTCCCTTGGAGATGGGTTGCGCACCTTCTTATATTTTCTTGGTCTTGCTTATTGTTTCATTGGATTGTCTGCTATAACTGCTCGGTTCTTCCGCTCTATGGAAAATGTTGTCAAGCAGACTCGGGCTGTAGTGGAGGTAGATCCATTTACAAAAGATGAAATTGTTAGACATGAAAAAGTGTGGAACTACACAATTGCAGACATCACTCTGCTGGCATTTGGGACAAGCTTTCCCCAGATCTCTTTAGCTACTATTGACGCCATAAGAAACCTTGGGAACTTGTATGCTGGAGGTTTGTATTACACTTTTTTTCACCTTTGCTTGTGTCTCTTCAAATATAATAGATGGCTTTTGTTTCTTTGGAAGCTAATGAAATAAAATTTGGAAAAAATTCCCCATCTTATTGAATTACTTGAAATTAGAAATTTATCTTTATGATTTAAGACCCAGGTTTCCTCTCTTTCCATGATAGATGTGCCAATTTGTCAACAAATCAATTTTCATGTCCAATTATATCTTTCACCATTTGGTTGTTTGACTGTTTTACTAAAATTATTGTATGTCTATAATTTTTTGCAAAATTGAAAGATTCTCTTCTTTGTTCTCATAAATCATAATCATTTGCTCCTTCAAAAAGGGGCAGGGCCTCACTAAGCTAAGCTAGACTTGGTATTAATTTTGTCATATCTGGCAGCATTTAACATGCATTTTCATGGATGCCATGAAAGGAATACTAGGAAAGTGGAGCACAAAAATTTGATAGAAGGATGATGTTTAGTAAATTCTAGTTTACAGTAGAAAGAAGTCCTTATTGCTTAATGAAATTATCAGCATATCACAAATATTAGAGAGAAGGGTGGACTAACATATAAGTTGAATCAGTTGATAACTTGAACAGTATATAGTAAATATAACTCTATGTTAACAATTAACTCACAATCTTTTTAAAAGAAAACTATTTCATTTGTAAGAATGTGAAAAGAAAAAAGAAAATAGTTTTAAGGTGTACAATTTTTTTATTGAAAGGAAATTGAGCACACTTCTCTCTATAGACCTAATGCTTGTGTATTTTTCAGTTGCAGTGAACATATTTGTTTTGATTTTATGCTTTGCATGATCCCTTAAGTAAATCGATTGCAATAAAAGTGTTGCTTTTATAATGTTAAAAATGAGACTTTAGTAAACATGGAATAGTCTAATATGGATATATTGTTAGACAATATGATGGTCTTTTCCCTGTTATGAAACATATGCAGACTATATTCTTATAATTTGTTCCATTTTGCCTTCAATCTTCCTGAAATTAGTTCAAGAACTTAGATTTGTCATTCACGTAAATTAAAATTTTTAACATCAATGAATTTAATAGGTTTGGGTCCTGGAACGCTTGTTGGTTCTGCTGCATTCGACCTATTCCCCATACATGCTGTTTGTGTTGTGGTTCCAAAAGCTGGAGAACTGAAAAAGATATCGGATATAGGAGTTTGGCTAGTAGAGCTCTTTTGGTCTTTTTGGGCTTATATTTGGCTATATATAATTTTAATGGTAATCCTTTTTCTCGTCCCTTGCATGCAAGTCATCTTTGTTTTGTCATTATTTTTGCCGTTATACAAAGACATGTGCAGGAAGTACATGTTGCACAATATAATATTTTGATTCAACTATGAGTATGAGACACCTTTTTTTCCAAGCCTTAAGTTTCTGATTAAAATTTTCACACATCTTTTACATTTGTTATTCGTTTTTTGTTTTGCAATAAAACTTTTTGAGTTTATGCTCTCATGTTGCTCCTCTCAAGGTTAATGTTGTCATATGTGTCTGTATATGCACATTTACAGTTCCACAAAATTATTTTTGTCGTGGCAAGATGTGATCTATTACTTAAAATTTTTGGACATTGTTTATGAGACAGGACCTGAGTTATATTCTTCGAGACTCCTCATCAAGAGGGAATATTAACAATAGAGTCCATTTGCATTCAGAGAACTGGATGATACAACTAACCAAGGGCATTAAAAATAATCTAAGTTATTGGCATAATCATTAAGGCTATACTATTTCTCAACTCTAGTTGATACAATTTAATAGTTGGCCGTGCAAGACACATGTCAGTGCCGAGCATGAAATTCGCACAGTCTGTCTATGTACTTCAACAATTTCTTTTACAACATTTTCTGCTAGTGGATACGTTTCTTCAATTTGGTATTCTCAACTGATCTTGGAAGTAACCATTTCTATGCCGAAGTTTCTGTTTGTGTATTTATTGAGAATCTTGTGATGGGAAAATCTATTGTTTTCACAGGTATGGACTCCAAATATTATTACCCTGAGGGAGGCCCTATTGACAGTGCTGCAGTATGGGTTATTGCTGATACATGCTTACGCTCAGGACAAGCGTTGGCCCTATTTGTCTTTTCCTTTGTATGTTTTTTTTCCCTGTTTGTGTTTCTTTTTCTGCTGTAATTGATGAAATTGTTTGGATTAAAATGCCTTCATATTCTGCTTCTGATGCTTTGTGTATATCACAGGGTAAGAGCTGAGCGGCCAGTGGAATGGGTGCCTGAAGAGGCTGCTTCACTTAAACGTGACAGCAGTGTCTATGATGAGTACTCTGAATTGATTCAAGTTGATGCAGATGTAGCTGGATCCTCCAATGAAAATGATAAGAAGAAGATCTTTTCTGATGAATCTCATGTTCTCACAATTTGGAAGCAGCAATTTGTGGATGCACTCATGGTATTCTATACGATGCTCTAAATGCTGAACTCATTTCAAATTTTTACTAGAGTGAATGAAAGAACTCTTAATTTTAGGTATATAATTAGAACTCTTAATTTTAGGTATATAATTACTTTATAAAGCGTATACTCTCTCTCTCTCAAACTTGGCAATTGTCTGGCTTAGGATATTACCAATTCTAGTTAGGGTGGGATTTTCCATTACTTTAGGGTTTGAGCTTGTGGTCCCTCCCTTACCCCAAATAACAAGGCAGAAAGCCCGAAAGCCTTTCCCGATCGTAGGACTGACTGTTCCATTATGTTACTTGTTCATTGCTTGACCCCAATCAGAGTTCTTACCTAATATTGACTGGATGCCCCTACCCTGAGAGGACTCGTCTTCATTTAAGTCAATGCATTTTTCCACTCATTATTTCCATTCGGTAAAGGTATTGATGCGCGGGGCAGCGGAAGAAGTGGGATTGACTTCTAACAGTCTGAGAAGCTCAGAAGAAATCAAGCTAGTTGCTATTTGGTTATATGAAATTAGATCCTTCCAAGTTCCAACTATAGTTGGAGGTCTTATATATGGTCTCACTATTTTGTTGAGGATTTTGAATTGGATATAAGTTTTAGATTCTGAACCAAATAAACAAAGTTATTTTGAAGAGGTTGGACTGCCAAATCAAATGCATTCTCCACTACAAAATGCAGTCTTAATTGAATTTGTTTACTTCAGTTTTGTTTATTATCTAAAGCATATATCTTAATTGAAATTACACATTCTTTTATTTTAGAAACTGGTCACAATCTTGGTGAATAATTCTTGAACAGTTGGAAAGCACAGAATTGAGAAAATTGAACAATGTTTACTTGCGGCTTGCAAGATTTTCCTGGCAGTCACTCCTTGCACCATGGAGACTTCTGTTCGCTTTTGTGCCTCCTTATCAAATTGCTCATGGGTGGATTTCCTTTATTTGCTCTCTGATTTTCATCAGTGGGATAGCTTACATTGTGACACAGCTCACAGATATGATAAGCTGCGTGACAGGTTTCCTCCTGACTGGAGATGATGTTCCTAGTTTTAAGTGATGAACCGAAGTATTTTTTTCATTTGCTTTGTTTTCTTGCAGGAATTAATGCTTATGTCATAGCATTCACTGCATTGGCAAGTGGGACCTCATGGCCGGATTTAGTAGCAAGCAAGATTGCTGCTGAACGCCAGACAACAGCGGACTCTGCCATTGCAAACATCACTTGCAGGTTCTATTCATCAACTTCCTATTAAAATAGGGGCTTACTACACTAGAATTGTGTTATGATCTGAACAACCAAATTCTTTCTAGGAGGTTTCTGGATAATACTCGTTGATAATTACGTGAAATTTATTTAACTTACGACAACTACTGATGTTCAAAATTAAAATTATTACTTCAAGTTACTTGATACTGTCATGAAATTATGTAGTCTAGACTCTAGAGCCTTAGTGGGATGTGAAAGGAAAATTACAAAACATATTTCTTATGTCAAAGTTATGTGTTGCTCTCCTAATTTTCTTTCTTTTTCAATTTGAAGTCAATACTTTAGGATGCGAAAGGAAAATTACAGAACATATTTTTTATGTCAAAGTTATGTTTTGCTCTCATAATTTTCTTTCTTTTTCAATTTAAAGTGAATACTTAGGATGTGAAAGGGAAATGTTTTAGCGCCACTGCCATGTAGTCAGGAATGTGCTTTTGTATTTCACTGCTGGCCTTTATATAGTTGTTGTGTAGAGTAGAGGGGAAATCCTAAAAAGACTAAAAGTGAATTCTTTTCCTTGGCAGCAACTCGGTTAACATTTATGTGGGCATCGGCGTTCCATGGCTCATTGATACAACATACAACTTCATAGCATACAGGGAACCGTTGTGGATCCAGAATGCTGAAGGACTCGGTTTTTCTTTGCTTGTTTTCTTCTGTACTTCTGTAGGCTGTATTACTGTTCTGGTATTCAGGCGTCTAACATTGGGTGCTGAGCTTGGAGGGCCAAGGTTTTGGGCCTGGGTTACTTGTGTATACTTCATGTTGCTTTGGATTATTTTTGTTGTATTGTCATCTCTCAGAGTTTCTGGCATCATTTGAGAGTTCTTATTCTTCTTTATATTTGCTGTGTACAATAATATATTTCACATTCATTGTGTACCCTTGTATCGTAAAATTGTGTTGTGCACTTCAATTATAATATCAAAATATGAAAACTATGAAGAAAAGAAGAAGCGCAGTCTTGATGGAGTGACATTTCCAAGTTCACAATGACAAGAATCTATACACATATATGGCACTTTGTTTGGGACTCGAGAAATTCACGGCTGACAAAATGGATAACCACTTGTAGTGTAAACTTTTGATACATGGCAGAAGAAGTATAGAGCATATTTATTGAGATAGCTAATACATCATGAAAAAGCAGATTTGACCAGCGATCAAGAGCATATTTCCTCACCAAAAGGGGGCAGTTAAATTCCAAGCTGTAAAAGATTTAACCCAGCAATCTCTGGAATAAGATAAAGCTTACAACATGTATTTTGGCAGCCAGAAACCAGACCAACAAGGAAGACCTCACTTTTGAATAATTTTTCTCTAACATAAAGCTACAGGTTACAAAATGACAGAGAACTGAATATTCCCTTTCAACTCTAATTTAAGTTCTTGCTTAAGCAACAGCACCCGTACAAGCAGTGACTGGAGCAACATTATGTTGTTTTGCAGAACTGTATTTCTTCGTGATGAATCTGAGAAATCAAAACATGACATATAAGTGCAGATGTTTCAAGAAGACTCTACTAAAAGAATCCACTGGATTTTGAATAAACAATAAGTGAAGTACACTAGGTTTTATTAATAACCAATTAACATGATTATGGTGTGAAAATAAGCAAACCAAAATTTATATCTACTACACGATATATGTAACCTTAATCTTATTCTAGCATGAACTTAACGGTCTGTTAACTTACCTGAAGAAATCCCTCCATAACAACTCATACATCAACCAGTTCGTTCCAGTACCAGATGGGCCATTACCACCATCCTTCCGCTTCGAGGCAGCAGAAATCGTTCTGTGAATTATGTAAACATGTTGGACATCTCACAAATAAAGAATCACTCATCTGGGCAAAGCAAACTAAAGAGGTAGACCAAGTCATACCTGGAAGCACAATTCTTCAGCTCATCAAACATGGAACGGGGAGAGAGACATCCCATAGCAAGCCATGGCGAGATTTTGCAAGAAAAGTTTGCACCATATATGCTATCATTGTTGCCATTATTGGTCCCCTTGTTTGTTTGAGATTGGCATTCAGCCGCAAATTTTGTAAGCCTCTGCAATGCTTCAGTTTCACCTCCCACCAGTGAAGCATTAGCAGTCTACATGACAGTAAATGACCATGTTATTACTTGTTGACAGCGGGCAAAGAAGTCATATATTTCTATTTTCTTTTCTTTTATGATGTATACATCAAAATGTTATTGAAGACACATGTAACCGAAGTTTGCTGGCAACACAGAATGCCTAACAAATTTCATTAAGACGCTGTGTAAGAAATCAAATTGAAGGAATGCAATGACCATACTATCTTCAACAGTTTCACCACCATCTCAACATGATAGAACTACTGTAAGCACTATTGAATGACGAAACAAGTATAGGAAGGATTCACAGATGATGAAATGAGTTTCTGACTCCTGTCTAGCCTACAATGAAAAGGCCACCCTGGCAGAAGATGACCAAGTACAGCGCAGTTCGATATTCATTGTAAAGACTTGTGAGTTCCCTTTCTTTGTCCCCTCTGCTCACCTCTCTACTCCCTTTTCCTTACTTGCCTAATGGTACCTTAGTTATAGGCATAGACTCAACCTTGTTCTATAATACATGCTCCAACTTTTTGACGTAAAATAATTTCAAGATGTTGCTTTTAGCATGTTCAAGTGCTTGGTTGACTGTAGAAATGTTTTAATTTAAAAAGGAAAAAGTAGTTTGCAAATTTCAAAATGACTTAACAGATGTTTCTCAGTAAATCATTTTCAAATATATGTTTGAGAGTTGCAATGTTACACATGTATATTATGTATACACACACACACACACATAATATATAGGCATATATAAAAAACATGTATATCATCTCTACACACACATACAAAATTATATATGTGCATACCCATAATATATAGGCATATAATAAAAGGATGTATATATGATCCATATAAACAAAATATATGAATACATTTATACACATTTTTGCAAATAATCAACTTCATGTACACAAATAACATTCGCATTTATACACTAGCTTATAATATTGTAACCTTGAAAGCTTCAACCAAACACCAACAAACAGGAAGGAAAATGATATGTTTTCAATGAAAAATAGTACATGAGAAATAATTTTTAACATAGAACATTTAATGCAATGCAATCAGTCAATAGCGAATGACAATGTCAAGTTCATAATTCTTGCAACATCTTTTTCCTAAAATTACCTTTATAAGAAAGAGCTCTTTAATAAAACCTTTGAACGGGACAGGCTACAAAAAAATATGCTTTATTTTTTTATTTTTTTCTTTTGTTCTCTGTTCAGGAAGTCTCAATTGAAGAGACCAATTTGTATTTAACCACCACCCTTCAGGTGACTGCAAACACATTAAACATCATTCAAATTGTCGCGCAATCACGGCTTTCTTAGTCCCCTCTTCTTAATTACAATGTACAGTTTTTATTCCATCCCTCACTATGTTAGCCAGAGTGGTGGTTGCCTTAGGCTACAAGGTGGTCATCAGATACAAATGAAGTGCTTTAAGAATAACCGGGCAAATTTACAGCCAGCAAGAATGAAAAGTCATGAATGACAGTGAGAGAACCAAGGTCGACATAGAAAAAGAGGTTACCAATACTATAGTAACCAGAGGTATCTATGGAGTGCGGGCTACAAGCAGCAAAGGTGAAGGTCAACAGGTGGCAATAAGAAGCATCTGTACTGAGCATGCCAAGTAGTCTATACCACTGTAATAAACGTAGTAGTTGATGTCTAAGATGAGGCAGAAGGATGACGCCAGTGAACAGACGGTCAGGTCTCCAAGTAGAAACCCAACTCCATACTTAAAAAAGGGGTTTAGGCAAAGTAATAAAGGGTTGTCGTAGTGAATGCCTTAAAATCCTCAACATGGTACAAATAAAGGCAAAACAAAAAGAGAAATAAATAACAAAGAAATATTGAATAAAAAAGTAGTATCTCACAAGTGAAGTTCACAACAGAAGTTTAGAATTCGAATGGAGTTTCACAGGCAGATTTCAATTGTAACTATGTCATTTCTTAGTCACATGTCTCAAAAATCTAACAGAATACATGCTGATTCCAGTATAACAGCGTATAAGTTGCTATTTCTTTATCATTGAAACCATTCATGTATGAAGAACAATTTTAGGAAGAATAAAGAAAATCAATATTTTAAACTCCAACAACTTAGTTACTAACAACCAGTTTCATCTAGACTCTTTCGTGTTCAAATAATTCCCACCTTTCGCAAACTCCTGATCTCAATCAACCCCTACTTTTCATGCTTCCCCTGAAGTTCTATGCACAGCAACATAAATTTTCATTACTAATTTACTACGGAATGCTACTCAATTTGCAATACCAACAGCATATACACAAAGTAGTAGAAGTCTCTTAAACTATATATTAAAAGAATACCATATTAGTATCTATATTGTACAATAAAAATGGAGTTACTACAATTAAATCAAGCCAAGCTCATACCTGACCCATCGTTGCAGATGGGTTAAGACCCAGGTCCCCCAAAGATGGAATCTCCCCCGGCTCCACATCTCCTCTTGTCGGTAACCCTCTCAATTGATCCAACGCTGCCATTGTCTTCCTAATCTCCAAAACCTGCACTTTTTCTCTAAACCCACCATAATTTGAGGGCATTTCCTCCAACTTGAACGGCAAATCATCAACATGAAACAAAGTGCTTCCCCAGAAATACTTCACTTCGACGCTTTCGTCTTTCATAGCCTGCTCAATCTTCTCCTCGGCCTTAACCTCATCATGCGATACCTCTCTGTGAGCATACACAGCGTCTGCTCCAATTGCCTTGGCCAATTCAACCAAAACGGTCTCGGGCTTCCCAATCCTGACCACAAGATCAGACCCTCTGGCCTGAAGGTTCTTCCTAAGGTCCGACACCGATTCAATCAAGAATGTGGCACGGTACGGCCCGGTCTTGTCGAACCCGGAAGACGATTTACCGTAGTCTCTGGGGTCGAAGCAGTACAGGGGCAGGACTGACATAGACTCATTGGTAGCCGAGTTGAGGCACTCGTTGTCGTGAACTCGGAGGTCGTTGCGGAACCAAACGATGGAAGCTCGACGAACACCGGCGGCATTGGAGGGGTCGGAAGGGCGGCGAGGGTTTAAAGAGAGAGGGTTTTGGAGGGGGTTTGCGGAGATGGTGGATTTGAAGAAGGGTTTGGGGGGACAGAGGGAGGAGGAGAGAGAGAGGTGTGAGAGAGATGAGATTTGTGAGGGAATCCTGACCTTTGGATGAGAGGAAAGAAGGGAAGAGATCTTGGGTGGGAGGAGGAAGTGGGTAGGAAGAAGGGTAGAGAGAGAAAGAGAGATTGAGGCAGTGGGAAGAGGAGGATTTGAAGACACAATGGCGAGTTGGTTTTGCTCTTCTGGATGCGTTTTGGCTTCTGGGTGTTCTAAGGTTTGGGTGTTGGCATCCATAGTCTCTCAGCTGAGTGAATGAAAATTGAGGTTCAGGAAATGAAGATAAACTTTTATATCTCCTCCTCCTGCTCCATTTATATCTCTGGTGGCTGTGTATTAATTTGTATAATTTTTTTTTTTTCTACAGTGGTTGTTGGGCCCCTGGTTTTTGTTTGTTTGTTGAGCACACGTCATTGTGGAACCTGCTGTGTCTTGGTTTTGGGCTAAATAGGGACAACACAAGCTTTACTTCAGTATTAATGGACTTGTCAGTGGTATAGCGGCTTGTTTTACATTTTGTCTACAGTGTATCAATTGTTTTGCTATTGGTATTAAGCTTTACTATATATAGTAGTATTTGTTGTATAATTAATTGCTAATGTAAGGAGGATGCTTTGGCCTTGCGTTTATGTTCCATCTAATTAATCAGCAGTTATCTAGGTGAAGTCAACGATGAAAACCTGATTCTTCGGGTATAATATCAAACACTTAACTGAGGGCTCAATAACCTCGTTATTAGTTCAACTTTTGATTGAGTACTAATAATTCAGTCTCCTTCACTAATTTCATGGGGACTGTAACAGAGAATGGTGTTCTTGAATTGCCAAACAGTGCTTTGGCGTTCTAAAATTAGCATAGGCCAAGTATTGCTACTTGATACAATATATATAGGATTGGGGGGAAATGGATTTGAATGACCACATAAGTTCTTACTAAAAATAAAAAGTGTAATATGTATATTAAATTTGTACAAGATTACATTTCATATGTTTAAAAAAATCCCCGCGAATGAAAGAAGAAAAAGAGATATAGCGAGAAGTCGTGCCTTTCATGGAGACAACTCCAAACGTTGCAAAACATACAAGTTATAAATCCCTGAGAAATAATAATATATTTACCAACAAAAAGGAATTATAACAAAACAATAAAAATAACACATCACAATTTTTTTACAGGAAAACCTACGCACACAGCCCAAAAACTCGCACTTCCCATGACTGTGAGAGGCGGGCTGGTGGGGAACCATACCCTTTCATAAATGCAACCATCAACCAGAAATCATAACCCAGGGATGATCAACCAGAATAGGGACTGGACCCAAGAGCCTAAACCAGCCACCTAAAACACCTCCTGGCTTGCACAGGAAAATCACCGGAAGCTCTAACAATACCTCTTAAACCAGATCTGCTTGAAGTGCTACCTAACTGCCAAGGATGGAAACCTGACATCATCAAGCTGGGAACTGAATTACACCCGTACGCTAAGCTAACAAAGCATCACCTAAATTTCAACAGTCACGTGAGAAACCACATCTAGCATCAGAGTTTTTTAAAATCAATTCGACAACTAACGAACGCAATTAAAAGAGGTGGACAAGGCAATACCTTAGTCAGGCGGCTTCTGAAATCAGGGAAGACATGCAATTGTTAGTGCAAAACCGGGAGTGTGGGGCGTGGTCTGACAACATTCAGCACCCCTCTAGCAGTTGCCTTTGACACGAAAACAACAAATATCAGAATCTTACCATTCTTTAAAAGAGAAAATCCAAAAACATAAAATTACCTCAAAGAAGGAATTGTAGTTTAGACGCAAAAGGAAACGCCTAAGAAATGGAGCTCGCTGACTCCCAGCAAGCCTGCTACTTCGCAGTATAGTGTACAAGGAGTTCGATTTCTTGTTAAATTCCTGAAGAAACAAAAATGAACAATAACATTTTATAGCAAAAGTTAATTCTTATTATTACTATTATCGGTACTATAATTATATTGATGATGATTTTAATAATACAGGCATAACCAAACTTCAGATTAGTGTTTACCATGCTTTATATACTGCACACAGATATAACATCCGCAAAGTATCTGATACGGATATAGAAGGCATAAGTTGACACCAAAGACTCACATGCAGGGACGGACCTACATGTAAGTGAGGGTGGGCAATTCCCCCCTGATTTTTTTTTTTTTTTAAAAAAAAAAAATTAATATACCCTTGTTATTTTATTTTTTTCAATTATATACCCATAAAACATGAATTTCTGGGTCCATCCCTGCTCACATGAGTGCTGGTCGCAGTATATTCATGCCTTAGTTGATTTGTTAATTGGTAAAGAAAAAACCTAGAACGTAAAGTAGCAAGTGGTAAAGAGGAAATTCCCCTTCCCCATATTTTTAGGGTTCTTTTTTTTTTTTTTCTTTTTTTTCAGAAGGTGATGCATCAAATTCTTGTTAGGTAATTGTTATGGGCCTGCTGCTCACACAAAGTAATACGAGTGCCAATTAATGGTCACCGATTTGTATTTTGCACTAGAAGCACTATAAAAATTTATGGCAAGTGCATAATCTGGAAATAGAATCTTTCGGATCAGCTGATTTCGTACTCACTCAACATCGCTAAATTACATAGCATATGCAATATTGGTTGTGTGTGTGTGTGTGTGCGCGCATGAGAGAGAGAGAGAGAGAGAGAGAGAGAGAGTTTTAAGTAGATGGGATGGATTGATGGAAGGCGCATGAGATTTCAGGAGTGGGATCAGATAATTCTGAACAGATTTGGTTAATAGGAATCTGAATCCTTCAATTCCTCTAGTCAGACATCCATCAAACCGGTGACAACATGTATGTATAGACTGGTAAGCTTAAGCAAACAGGTTTCTAGCATTAGTTGACAAGCAGAATGCTGGCTGGTCACTGTTATTGCAGGTTTCCAGACAAAATGCGTGGAAAATAATTGTATAGGAAGTTAGAAATAGTTCTCAGAACCACATCCGTAGCATTAGTTGTTTACAGGAAACTTAGACAAGAAAAAAATGTCACATGAGATTGAAAAATGTAAAGTCAACTTATCATGCAAAATTGGCAAAACAATTGTGTAGAAGGCACTGAGCCATACACATTACAAGTGATTATCCTTGCCATTATCTATTGCAAGTACTTTAAAACCCAAATAATTATACAAGACAAGTTTTAGACTGTAGTACCTCAGTTATATGATCCAGTTCAACAGTATTTGCACTGCTTTCTTGGTTCTCAATGTTCCAGCAGAACTGCAGGCAAAGTTTCATTATGCTGTCCAGTATCCTTGATACAGAGCCAATGTCCAAGAAAGATTGTGAAATTAAAGCTGATAAGTATCTGCAAAATAATTTTACAAAGGTAATCAACTTACGTGAATTAGCTATCCCCGAAGTAAATTTCCTTTTGGCAATCAGAAGATCAGTTATGGCACCCATTTTAATTCATTATACCAGTTAATCAAAGGAAAGGAAGAACCAAAACGTGCAGCCATGAATACACTACCAGAAATGCTTTGGAAAGAACAGATGCATCTAGAACTTTTCTTAAATTATTCACTTGAAGCAATAGTCCCAAATGATTTTAACCCTATTGAATCTCAATTTTTATATGTTCCTCAGAACTAATGCCAACTCGTATCACTTACAGTTAGGAACTTGCAAATCCTAGTTCCCTAGTTCACAAATGTAACAAAGCAAACATCCATTGCTCTAAAACCATATGTGGGCTTCGTTCATTGCCTAAAAAGCAGAGATGAGGAACGGCGAAGATAGAGAACTGGGAACGCATTTCGAGTACAAGATTACAAATTATCATGGTCACAACAAAATTAACCACATCAAATATGATAAATAATAATAACAATAATAAATAAAAATTAATTCAAGACAGACGATGTAATAGAAGAATCTCAGGCCATAAGATAAAAGAAATTGCGCTTTTAGATCAGTAATATGTAATAGAAGAAGACAGATTCTCACCTGTTTTTCTTTACCCCTTGAATAGGTTCACTTCAGTTTTGTCAATGACTCGTAGGATTATGACCTAGTTTCAGTTGATTCTTAGGAACAACTATCAGTGATCTACTGATTACAATATTTCATGTCAGGTTGACCTTTCCCTTTAAGGATGTCACATAACTAGTATTCCTATTCCTTTTGAAAAGTCGATGTACAAAGACTAAATTTTCTGAATTACCCTTAGGATTTTATAACTTTCTAAACATGTTAACAATGTAAGTTTTAAATTTTGGAGGATTAGTTTTGGACATGTAAATCTTAAAATAGTATTGGGTTTGTTTAGGATTTCAAAGAGAACAATGTAGTAAATGCATATCCCCTTAAAAACTTAGAATCCCCTAAAAGAACAATTATTTTGGTGTGTTGGGGAAGCGGAAACACATGAATACAAAGATCCAATAAAAGCCAGCAAAACAATCACACAAATACAAGATATAACGTGGTTCGGCCAAAACCAGCTTACATCCGCGGATGAGAAGAGATTCCACTATGATTCATAGAGATATTACAACAATAAAGTACTAACACCACGTACATGTCTTTTCACCATGTACCACTCCACGAGCCTATCTCCTCGCTACCAGCGTCAACAGTGTTTTTCCTAATCTACCAACCCATAAACTACCTTTACCCATCAACTCCCTCATGAGACTACATCTCTCTCAATCTCATAAGTCTCAACTCACAACCTAGGTATCTATTTAAAGAGTTCCAAACTCAATTCCTTGTTGGACATGGATTACAATTCCTTAGAGCCCAAGATTTGTCTAACAAGAAATTACCTAACAAAATACAATTCTAAAATAGAAACCTAATTAAACTACGAATTTGAGACACAACTTCTAACATGGTGTGTGACGGAGTAGTGCTTTTCACTCGAGTCTGAATGCATTAAATACAATGCCCCTTTAAAAAGTTAGGATTTCCGTGATGGACACTAAATTTAAAGAAGGAATAAACGATTATAGTACATAATCCACTCTTAACACATAACATTACATCTCATATTAAAGATGCGACCAGAAACTTCCCATTTTACTTACTCGTGATGGAAGCCCACCAGTTCAGTGAAATCATGAGAATCCTGAATATGAGCTTGCAAAACATTCCACTGAGATTCTATCACATCCACCTGCGAAAGAAACAGAAAACTTTTGAGTGGGTAGCAGGACCCAAATGAAAATGACATGATAAAAATTCTAAAGCATCTTTCTGGCTGCTTGGAATCATATGTCCACTTAGGAGTGCACATGATTCGGTTTGGTCCAGGCTTCTAGAGTGAACAAGGACCAAAACGTCCCCAACAGTTCTATAGATGTCTGAAGCAAACCGCATAGTAGGGATAACTGGAACCGAACTGGACCAAACCAAACTGTAGATTCTAAAGCATCTTTCTGGCTGCTTGGAATCATATGTCCACTTAGGAGTGCACATGATTCGGTTTGGTCCAGGCTTCTAGAGTGAACCAGGACCAAAACGTCCCCAACAGTTCTATAGATATCTGAAGCAAACCGCATAGTAGGGATAACTGGAACTGAACTGGACCAAACCAAACTGTAGATTACTGGTTTGGATCGGTTCAGTTCTACTATATTTGGAGATGATGACTGAGATTTTTGGATGTCTTGGGTTCAACGAAGATGATGAGTGAGGCATGCTTATGTCTTGGGTGTCACTGGAAATGATAGCAGAAGAAGGAAAAAATTTGTTAGACGGTGGTTGTGTTAGAGAGAACGGTGGCTGTGGCTGTGGCTGGCTATGGGTTGAGAACGATTGTGAGTAGGCGGCGGCTACGGTTGTGAAAGAGAAATGCTGATGCCGAACTATATGTTGATTGTGGTTGTGGTTGACGGTGTTTGGTGGGGGGGGGGGGAGAGAGAGAGAGATGGCGGTGAACGAAAAGATGGAGAGAATGAGATCGAGATTTTGATAGATTCAGATCAGGGTTACAGATGGGGGAGGTGCTCTGCATCGGTCCCAGGGATACCCTGATTAATCTAAAAATACATATATTAGGGTTACAGGTTAGGATTTAGAAAGCTTTACAATATATATATATATATATATATATATATATATATATATATATATATAATACTAACAGCTTGGTTTGGTCCTTACAGACCCCAAATCATGAATCGAACCAAAAAGAACGGGTTATCCAGAAAACCAGACCAAAACGAGTGGCTTAGTTTACTGGTTCTAAAGGTCTTTTGTGCACCCTTAGCCCACTCCTATAGAAGCCCCATGAAGAACATTTTTGTACATATATTTACTCTTTACAACTGATCTCTACCTTCAAGGGGAAAAGAGGAAGGAGGAAATTTGCAGAAACAACTCTTGGATAGCAAAAAGGGAAAAGGAAAGAAAAGGAAAAATAATGTACGAGCTTATAGCTATGCAAGTCATCCAGGTAGCAAGAAGATTGTCAATGTGCAGGTGTTAACTTGCATTGAACCAGATCACAACACATTCCACTACCACCAAGAAGAGAATAGGTGATGCTAACTAAGAAGAAAAAAGAAAACGGAGTAATTTTGTACAAGCATGCCATAGCTCGTGCCAACAATCCAGTAAAATGAACTACTCCACTAGTGTCAGATCATGCAAAAGAAAAATATCATAACTCAACAAAGCTTTTTCCCAACTACTAGAGGTTAGCTATAGAAATCTTATTTTTTTCCAAACCATTGTAATCTCCTAGTTTATCTCAATGGTTTTTACTACAACCATCCAAAAAATGTGTTAATTTCTAGTTACATTCTTTCTTGTCTTGCAGCACATCCATATCAGCATAAGACTCGATGCATATGCTGTTACTTAACTGTGTAACATTCTTACCCATAAAGAGTGACTAATCTAATAACTGTTTTATAGAAATTGCCTTTCAATCTTAGAAGGATACCTTAGTCACACCATATAAGATGGACAATGCTTGCCTTAGGCCATATAAGAAGGAACTTCCTTCTGCAAGTGATGTGGCCCAACAAAAATTTAACATGTGTTTAAGAATATATATAATAGTAAAAAATTAAAAAAAGGACTAAATCCATTTTTAACGGTTTCTCGGGTACATAGAACCCATCTACGAGAGCTCTATTCCAAAACCCTAATTGCGCCACTGTCCACCACCTCTCCATCTCTCTCTCTCTCCACTACTACTCCCTTCGTCTTACCACCATTGATAAAAGAAAAAAGTCAATCTGCTTTAATTTAACCCAAACTCAAACACCCATATACTTGACACAAATGGAATCCTCAAAAGCATTATAAGGAAAAAAAACTTCACAATTAAACCTTGTTTCAGAGACACCCACCAAACACAACTCTCCAATTGAAACCAAAACACATACAACAATTATCCAAGACAAACCCCACCATTACAAGAAAAACGAGAGAGAGAGAGAGAGAGAGAGCTATTATTGTTGTTTAATAGATTAGTATAGGAAAAGGGCAGTGAAGAGAGAAGGAAGCAGAAAAAGAAGAGAGAGTAAAGGAGAGAAATTTCTTAACTCAAAGGACCCCAAAACAACAAAGATATTAGAGGATAAAGCAGTATAGGTAGAGATATATACGAAGAGATGGCTTTAAAATGAGTCAAAAGGTATAGATTGAGGAAGCTTATTGAAGATTAAACATGCAATTGAAAGAGAGAGTTGAAGGACTACACATGATCATGAATCAGGTGCTAATTTCTGCTGTTTTATTTTGCTTTTCCCTTGTTCAAAGGTTTTTGCTTGGTTTTGGCCCTTCTCTGATATGCTATTGTCTTACGGATTTTGGTTAATGGCGAAAATTGCAGACAGATAGAGAGGCGATGGATTTTCAAATGGGTTCCCTTGAGTTCCAGTTAAAACGGGTTGAATCCATTTTAGTTACTTTTTAATAATGTTTTAAATTTTGAACACGTGTCAAGTTTTGCTTGGGCCACATCAGATGTAAGAAGGAAATTCCTTCTTATATGGCCTAAGTATTGTCCATATAAGATAATAATTAAGAGAAAGAAAACATGCATGGGAAAAAAGACAAGAAAAGAAATGTAAATAAAAGATAGAAGGAAAGAAGATGAAAAAGCTTCCATTCGAAGCAAAGTAAACAACAATTTGGAATTTCTTATGAGTGGTTAGAGCATTTTTCTTCCCATTTTAAATTCTACACGCACACTTTTTTTCTCTGTTCTTTTACCCCAATCTAGAACATTTTCTTAACCACAATCAAGTATATAACTGTCATATGGTTTTTTTTTTTTTTTATCTATCTTCATATTCTATATATCTTTTCTTTCTTTTTTTTATAGGTAATTCTTATTCTATGCATCTTCCATTTCGCTATCCCCATAACTTGTGTACGTATGTACAAATTTGCATAGGTATGCATCATCTCAAGCACAATACATATTACCATAGAGTACAAGGACATCCCACGCTAAGTTTTTGTGCTTGATGTGTACCACACTTTCGAACACCTAAACACTTTGTGACCATGCAACACATCTAGCAAAGCTGACTGTTCCTGAGATGTTAACTGAGGCTAATAAAAAGCAATAATAGAGTGCTGAGTAAAGTATGTAAAATTGCCCAGGCTGTCGATTACCATCCCCAAGAAGAAGTGTTGCCACTAACATATTCATACGATAACACATTTCGTCAAGTATAAATCAACTTTAGAATCTTAAAACAGTATCAATCAGAAATCTAAAAATATGACTTAAGGAAAATTAATAAATTTAAACAATGAACAAGCAGTTTTGCCAACACATAGAACCTTGTATTTCTACTAGAAAATATTTTTAAAATAATACAGCTTTAAAAAACTATAAGTTACTTCTATTCATATATAGTTTATATAAATTTAGTTTATAAATAGATAAACTGAATATGGACGTAAAGGTTCTACAGTATTTATCACCTGGATATAAAATTGAAGATTTCTAATCAAGAAGGCCATATGCTCCCTAACACGCCACATTGGCCTAAAGCGTTGTCGTCTCTGCTGAGTCAATGAGCATTTCATACGGTCATTACGACGTCTGGCAAAATCTGTGTGATCTTGATGCATCACAGAAGCCCATGATTTTTCCAATTCCATTTGCGTTCGCTTAAGCCGGAGCAAATATTGGAAGATCCTGCGATACCTGAAGCATACTTATGGTTACATACAAATATATATATATATATATATATATATATATATATATATATATATATATATATATATATATATAAAGGCCAGTAATTTCAGTCAGTACCACCTATTAATAATGGCCAGTGACTACACATGCACAACCACAAGCACACAATTGAAAAAGAAACTATGTAAATGCTGATTTTCATTAAAAGAATAATAAAAATGTTATTTTCTATTCAAGGAAAAAAAAAAAAGAAGTTATTTTCTTAATAAGACGCCAGATTATTAGAGGGTGGGAGAGTTTTGTGCATTAATTCAAACCTCAATTTAAAAGAAAACATAAATAGGTGAGCCAGTTAAGGAACTTACTTGGAGAGCACTTCTTGTGTAAAAAACAAGTGCAAGGGCCAATCAACAGAATATTCAAGGGCAATAGCATCCCAACCATCAAGGGACATATCTGAAAAAGTTTCTGAGAGTGCACCTGAGTCTCCATTAGTGTAAGCTTTTGCCTTTGGCAAATCCACTTGGGAGGGTTTAACCATAATTCCAAAAGAAGGCATCCTAGGAGGAGTAGGGGAAAAAAAAAAATTAACTGCATGTTGTTTACAAAATTACACATTGAGTCAACTGGAGCAAACCAAAAACGCCATTTGGACAGACCCTATCTTCAATGAGACATTAAGAGATTCTATATGGGCTCTAACCGTAAGGACACCCTTGAAAAGTATTTATCTTCATCACCAATAGTCTTTATTGCAGCCTGCATTCCAAGTATGAACAAAAATTATACATGAATGTTTTTTAAAGACTTCTTGTACTACATCAAGGACTAGGAAGAAACAATAAAAGATACAAAATCCTGAGGCTACAAAACCACCAGAAGCTCGTAGAATTAACAGTGGAAGAGAAGCAACCTGGGTAGAGCAACTCTCAGGCCACAGCTATAAAAGGATTGACTTAAATATAGTAATTGAATTTACATTAATTCTTTGACCAGTTTGAGTGGTTAAATTTATTGTTGATGAAGTATGCAAGAAAATTATTAAAATAAATGTTTTATGCAAATTGTCTTTTTTCCATATCACAACACTATCATAAAACTATTAAATTTTATAAAAAGACTAATGGTACCACATCAAGGACTAAGACGAAACGTCAGAAGAAACAAAATCCTTTGGCCACACAATTCAAATTGCAAAACACCTGAAGCTAATTGAAATGAATAGAAGTACCTGGGTAGATTCACTGCACACCACAGGCCACAGCTATGCAAGGATCACTTAAATAAAGTAATTGAACTTACAGTTAAACCTTGGCCAGTTTAAGTTGTCAATTGTTTGATTGATGAAGGTTAAGGATCTATAGTTACTTAGGAAACGTAAATTTACTTTTAGGAAGAATATCATTTTGCAGATATACAGATAAGGGAAACTCCTAAGACATGAGACTACATAAAAAAAACCATGAAGTTTCATAAAGAAGGGTGTAGCAAAAATTAAACCACATGCTATATAACAAGTGAAGTAGCATGGAAGTCAAATTCATCTAATCTAAACCAACTCCATGTAAAAAGAGAGTGTATGATGGACAATGTGCTCTTTCAGACAAGAGGTACAGAAATTTTATGCTATATAATTCTTCTTCATAAATAACAGAAATGACAAGTATGTAAAAAGAGTGTTTGACAAAGTGCAGACACCCTAGGTTGTTGAGTGAACCATCCAACTTGAAGTATTTTGCAAATATCTCAAATATCACTCTGAGCTTTTTAAATAAACCAACTTTAAATGAAACTATACTTTGTATAAGGTTATAGAAAATGAATTTTCAATATAAATATATAAATATATATATATATATATATATATATATATATATATATATATATATATCAAGAACATGCATAATGCACATGGCTTTTAACAGGTGCAGTGAGGCACCTGTCATGTGGCACCAATCTCCCTTAGCTGTTGTATGGCCTTTGTTCCCAGTTTGATCAAATTTAAATGAAACTAGACTTTGGATAAGGTTATAGAAAATTAATTTTCAATAATAAAAAAATTCAAGAACACCCATGAGACCGTGCAACAACTAGGTGCTGATACACCCAATCCCTGGCTTGGAAACTAAGAACCCTCTCTATATAAGCTCTCTTTCTCTTGATCCAATCAATAACGTATCAAAGAATCACTCAATTCACTAAACCGTGATCAGAAAGTTGGCCAACGCATCTGTGATGTATCAAGATCTAAAAACAGTTTCTCAAATCACTAAATCACAAATCATTTCACACTAAACTTACGAGATGAAACGGGACCATAAGATCAGCTTCAGCGGTGGATTGGCGAGGTGGTAGACGCATCAATTGGCGACTTTCCTCAAGAAAACTCTGGAACATTAAATCAGTACTCGTCAAGATCACAACCAATGTCTCGAAATAATAATAATAATAATAATGATAATGATAATGATAATAATAATAATAATAATAATAATAATAATAATAATAATAACAACATTCATAAAATTTGTACAGACAGCATTTCCTGCCAATCAATGTAAAAAAAAGTTCAGAAAGATCATATTTTCTTTTTCTGTCGACCATCCTTAGTTTTTAATGCATGTTCATATAACTCGAGTATGAAAAGAATAATAAGTATCAAAAGGAATAAAAAACACAATCATCCTCTAGGAATGCCTAGTTCAACCATGGACTAAAAATGCAGGGAAGGATTCAATAGATTTTCTTTACATCATCTTTTTCTGTTTAATATCAACAAGAAAACCACAGATAGTGAATGATAGAAGTAAGAAAAACCAAGTCTCGAACAAGCACAAACTGGTTCTACTAATTATCTCATTAATTACTTTTGTTGTGAAGTTTATGCTTGTTATCTTTAAATATGTATAGATCTAATATACTTTGCTTATAAAAGCATACATATATGTATAGATCTAATATAAGCGGTGAGCATAGCTAATAGAGTCACTAGAAAATTTCAGTAGTATAGTGACGTTGAATACATTTCTGTTGCTTAAGAAGAGTTAACACTTAACAAGGGGCAAGATGCAAACAAATGCAGTAGAAGATTCCATCAATCATTATTTACCTAACAATCAAGAAAATCATGGATATTTAACATCTTTACAATTCATCTGGATATAAAAATATAAATCAAGCCGTGTGGATTCAAACTATTTCTTAACATTGCTACTTCATTTCAAAGCCCCCACACACATACATAATAACAATCTCCACATCATAAAGGAACCCACCAAGAATAACTAAAAATAATTCGCACCATAGGAAGCAAAAGTGCAGTGTTGGTCATCATTTACCTGGAAGAAATCACCTTTCGCTAAAAGAAAGTAGTCTTTAAGGGCCTTTAAGTGACCATTTAAGTCAGCACGCACAACCACAAGCTGCAGTTATGGACGGAAAACAATAATGAGATTTTCTTATGATATGACGTGAATTAGAAAATTTTGCGTTCAGCACCTGCCAAAGATGAGTGGCTGCAATAGACCGAATCGAGTCAATGGCGCACTCAAATGATCTTTTGTGGAACTCAGAAGATTCCTGCACACAGTGAACCAACAATTTAGCCAAAAAGCAAAATGCAGGGATACAGGAACAGGAATTTTCACTATCAGCAAACATAAGTAATCTGCCAAGTCCATCTGACTGTACTTAATGTTCAGACGTTATTGCGTGCAGTTAATGTAACAGAGTAGATCAATAACCCCATATGGAGGTTGATACAAAATGTTAATTACAATCATATTATGGCTAAAGCATGAGGACCTTCAAGTCTTGAAGCATAGCTTCAATCTTATCAGCCTCAGATTGTGGAAGCAATTCTTCTCCAATTAACTGTGTATCTAAGAAGGGTTCCTTCTGGAAAGAAATGCGCCCTGTAAATCCTTGACTTCTTTGCAGGCCTCTAGGCATCCGTTGATGAGATGAATCATCCTGGAATCGGAAGGCAGGACTTGGATTCCGAAGAACCCTGACTGCTTTTCCAGAGAAAAGAATGGATTCTGCAACACGCATGGGAATATACTCCGGTAGCATATCCTGCAGACAAGCAGAAAGCATAATTCACTTGATGCAGCTATTCTGTTCAATAGATTAGAACACAATTAAAGAAATGTGCAATATAACCAAAAACAGGAAGAATCAATAGCAAAAAAGTGACACAAATAAATGTTATAACTTATAACCCCAATTCCCAAACTAAAATAGAAAAAAAATCTATAGAGGTAGATGATTCCTGATAGGAGCTGCCCAAATGTAAGAGACCCCAGGATTTTCCACGAAATAAGATGGAAAAGGAAATGCAAGAGAGACTAACAAACTCATAGTTGATCAGTAATTAGATGGCATTGTTATCTGGGAAACCTTCATTCTATCAACAAAAACAGGTTCCTTGATCATCTCAACTTTCACATCCCGTTGAAGGACTTTTATCTTATTCATTTCCTACTTCACCGCAAAAACTAATAGCTTTCAATTTTCATTATGATGATATGTGAAAGGGAAAAAATTGCAGAAAACAGTAATCATTGAACACTAACAAAAGGTGAACATGCTGTGTTATACCCCATTCTGATATTCAAGGTCCATCCTATACATCATCCCACCTCCATTTCAAACAGGGTTACAACTTATTTACTACTTGTGTATATCTCCTAATATCCAAAGAATGAATTATTGAATTGTGACGAGTTTTTAAATCATTTAGAAAAATGACGGGTAGCAATATGATACTATAACTTGATTCAATTTCCATGGTCCAATAACGGCGGGTAATATCTGTATGAATCTCTTGCATCTTAACCCCAAACGGCATTGTTGACTATATTACTAGTATAGATAGCCCCACCACAAGACTGCACCAGTTGGAGATTTAACTGCAAATCGTTGGAAACATCCCATGCTACCATCATATGCAACAATATCAACTTATTTTAATCTAAAGCCAAATTTTTATGCCTACCTAAGAACAATATGGCCATCTGAATTCCAAACTCAAGTTCTTTCCATTACAATAAAACTCACAATGTTGCTTAAATGATTCAGTATCCCATTCCTTAATTCAACAACCTTAATCCCCACTATTTGGAGTTGCACATAACACCATTGTCTGCAATCAGACTCTGTGAAACCATATCCTTGGTAAATTCAAGGCAACCACTAATTATTCTGATATTGAAAGCAAACACTTTGTGCAAATAATGTCAAAGGTTCGATCTTATCCACTCTATCCCTCTCAGCATCCTCGATTAACGGGGACCAGGGCTCGAAATGGAGTGGACTCGTATGAATCCAGATACGGATCCATATTGTAATGTCTGGATACATTATCCGAATTCAGGTTCGAATTGGATCCTATGGACATGAACCGTATCCGACCCATATAATTTAACCAAGATCCAAATAGAATAAAATGTACTTGAACTGTGTTGGATCTCAGATAAAACTTGATTCTTTAAGAATATTCATATTAATATCCATATCCATTGTTGTTGTTGTTGTATCCATTTCTGACCCAAAATCCGTGACTGATTTTTTAACAAAGATCCATATCCAACTCGTTTTTGAATCCTGATTCAAAATTAAAATCCAAACCCAGTAAAATGGACTCCAGATAGGATCTCAGGTTGAACCCAATCCATTTTAAGCCCTTATGGAGACCACATCAAGTAATGACCCTACTAATTATTCTGACGCTATATGCCTAGATGCAACGGAAAAACTTCAGCTCCCAAGTGTGAGCACGCAGATTCAAACATCAAAGTAAATACTTGGTGCAAAAATTACAAAAGTTTAAGTCAGCACTCCCCATTAACCAAGGCCACACTATGTAACTGCCTCTTTTTACAAATTATTCTGAGAAGAGTACAGACCAGGAAAATTTTGAAGCGTCTTTATTTGAATCATTTTCCAACTTATAAAGGTTACAATTTTTAACTCCGATGAAGGAGGTTTCAGGTACATATAAACCTTTTTTCCTTTGGGAGATTCCACACAATTCACTGGCTTTATAACTACTACATGTGTCTCTATCAGCTTTTATTCCTCCATAAATTCACAATTCTCCTTCATGCAAGATAAAATTAAGAAAAAGCTCCCATTGTTAATCACACTTCATGTTCCTTTTACAATTTAAGTATCTAGCCTCCATATTTGTGTAAAGGAGTTAAGCCATGTGTTCAGATCCCATGTCAAAATCTCCATACTCTTCACATTCACAGAATGATCAAAGTATTTTCCTTATTCCATGTTTTTTTTCCCCATAGGGTTGGTCATAAGGCAAAAACATGAAGGCACTTGTGCAAACAAAATCAAAAAGTTGGTGGATTTGTTTGGAGAAACGATTTGCACCACGGAACCAGTATTTAAGTGAAATACACAACTAGTTGCAATATTCAAATCTATAAAGAAAAAATAGAACCTAATGACTTTAGCACATGGAATGGATAAGTAGACAACCATCTGACAGTTGAATGGACATATAGACTCTCTTGAACTTATTGCGACCAAGGAGAAAGTTCGACAAATGTGGCACTTGTTGCGTCTACTCTTTCAGAAAGGAAAAAGAAAGTTTCAAGCCGATCGCATATTTTCATTAACTCTTTTTTTTTATAAATCATATCTTTTAATTAAATGAAATCAAGCAAAGACGACAGTTACGAACTGTGTCTGCAAACGCAATACCATAACAGAAAATGATCAGGAAAACTCCCTAAACCGCCATGACTAATCAACTTTTACAGAAAGAGCCTTCGGATAATACAAAATTTCAGTAAATATATATACATATATATATCGCAAATGTCACTTAATTCACTAAAAATTGTATCGCGTGAACAAAAGTGGAAGATTAAGCCACAAAATCATTACCGATCTAGATTCCTTCAAGATATTAAAATAATAAATTAATTAATTAATTAAAATGAGACAATCCGGATAAGCAAGGCAAACAATGCAAGAGCAACGGTTTAATATACCAGAGAAATATGAAACCCTAAGTGCCAATCTGTCAGAGATGTATCATTAGTTGACATTTGTGCCAACTTTTCAAGCACATCTGGATGAGATGAGTCATGTTCTGCATCTCTGTCTTCCTGCCTGAAAATAGATAAAATCAATTACCCAGTTTCAAGAAACCACAAAACTATAATGCAAAAGTTAAAATGCAAATAGACATCAAGTGTAGAGATCATGAAGTTGTACAAATGTTCAATCACTGAAAGAACCAAAAATAAAGGAATAGGGGAGAGGGGTTTAAATACATCTATGAAAAATTACAGTCAATCTTCAAAGTTCTCCTACATGCATGTGTGAGATGTCTGTTTAAGTAGCCATCACATGGTCATACTTCCATAAAACACAATGTTCCATTATATTGTGCCAATAAAAGAACTGCATACAAGGATTATAACTTATCTTTTTCACTCTCTTCCTCATCTTGCTTTCACTTATTGCTTCTACTCTTATTCAATAAGTTATCTATCTTTTTACTTTTCCGTTTTCACTTCTAAGGTCCTGAGAAGCGAGAATCCGATTCTCTAAGAATAGCATAAAAGCGTACTTGCATCTGGAACCAACACCAAAGCACTGCCAGAAGGATGGCGCACTGGACAAAGGGTGAAGGACTGAAAAATAAATGGAAGATTCACAGTGGACATAAATCAAAATAGTCCAAAATAAAGAAACAGAATGCTGCGTAAAGGAACAGCTTATTATTGCCCAAATAGTGGGAGCTGCAACATTAAGAATAGCAACAATGCCAAAAATGACAGTTAAAAGAAATCCTTAAACAATACTAGTGTTTGATAATACTGCTATTCAAAATTAATATTTAGCAACAAACGGGCCAGTGGCCTAGCAGTATCAGGCCCTTAATTCCCAAAGGGAGGTCAAGGATTCAAGCCTTAGTGAAGGCATGTGTGTGTGAGTACCAACTAAGAAAATAATAATAATAATAATATTTAGCACATGTACTATAATTTATGAGCACCTTCGTACAAATCATGAATTAGATACTAATACTAATTTAAAGCTACCAGTCATAATCATTTTCAAGTAACATAACACACAAGCAGTACCCTTAAAAAAGCTAAAACAGGTGACCATGTCAAAAACAGTGCTCATGTAAAATATTCCCTAATCCCCGCTTATGCATTACGGAACCATGAACTCTTAAATTGCACAACATTAAAATAACAACAGGATTTTTATCAAATTCCAATTTCAGTAACAAAATAAAAATGTTCGCTTTGATAGCCATCTTTTGCTGTTTCAAAACATGTATTGCTAATAAACATTATAAGCTGGCCAAAGCCATTGCAGCACACTAGTAGAAGTACTGAAAATAAGAATGTAACAGCTCTCACCCTAGCTAGACACAATATTATCCGCTTTTGGCTCCCCCGGACCAGAGACTTCCCAAGGGGTCATCCATCTTGGTACTACTCCAAGTAAAGCACACTTAACTACGGAGTTCTGATGGGTTCATGGCCATCACGGCTTGGAAACACGTTGTGTCATAGAAGGGTGTTGAACCGTACATATAGCACTTCCCCTTCCCCAGGCGATGTGGGATCATGACACCCTATAGCCTGCCAGTGTGGTAGCTCGTCCAGTGTCTCACACCCGCCCACAGAGGTCGTCACAAAGAATGTTCTCTTTCATAGCCCTCTTTTGCTGTTTCAAAACATGTATTGCTAATAAACATGATAAACCAGCCAAAGCCATTGCGGCACAGTAGTAAAAGTGCTGATATGGAAACTAAAATTGAGGGTGGGCTATGGATTTGATTCCTATTTTTGACAAATAAACATTATAGACTGGATTCAACCAAAAACATAAATGTGAGAATCAGTTTTCCAGTCAGCAAAGACCCATTACCTGCTAATAAAAAATTCTTCATGCTGGTCATGAAGAATTCCATAAATCATCCAGGAAGCAAGTTGATTGTACATGACTTGATGCCCATGCCAAAGAAGCCTATGCATTGTGCAATAAAAAAAATTAGTTTGGGTATCATGCTGCAAGTCAATAATTGTGCCTTCACTTTGCAGATTACTACAACATAATTAACAAATTACAAACGTGTTAGGTGAAAAGACCAGTCATGTCATATAGCGGCTACAATTACAAGCAACCCCATATCCAAAGTCTAAAAATACTTTCAGTCAAAATAAAGATGAAGATTACAAAAATTTGTGGATCAGGCACAGTTTAAACATCTTTCACAACTTCTGTATTTGGAGCATAGGAACATATTGAAACATTGTTTTAAAAAAATTGTCTTTATTAAGAAAGCCATTAATGGGCCAAATAGTTGCTGAAAGCATGGTCTAATAAATTTTATAGCGAGTTCTTGAGTCCTAACTTTACCCAACTTCTCTTGGTGGTTCACATTTTGTAAGACAAGGTAATAAGTCGGTGGATCTTGTGGCTAAAGAGAGTAACCACAGCATATTATGGATTTGAAGGTCAGGTAAAAAGACATGCTCACAATGAAAGACCTGGGTCATCTGTAATATTTTTCAGGATCCACAAAGCCAAGTTATGTAGTGATACGACTCAAAGAGGATATATGTTTCTTGTATGCTGGAAGATAGCACCATGCAAGGCATAAACAAGCTGAAACTCCTGTCGATCATAATGTTATGTTTCAAATTAAGCTACATGTGCTATTAAATGACACGTGAAGGTGTATACAGGTTTGCATGTATTTAGCAGCGATAGGAGTAGATATTAACCTTATTTCCAATTAAGCTATGTTAGCCATTAAATGACACAATGAGGCATCAATACAGGTTTTGCGAATTGGTTATGATAAGAGCATACATCATCTTTAAAGGAGTCAACAAGGTCATGCACAAGCAATATCTGCTATCAAAAACTAAAAGTGGTCCTGGTGAAAATCTTGCATTTTTTCTACCTAATTAGCAGTAGGGTACTAAGAGATTTGGGTTTCTTTCTTAACTTTTAAGCCTGGTGATCATTTAAGACAACATCTAATGGTCGTGTTTTTTTGTGTGGCAATTCAATGACATGGAAGACTGAGAAGCAGCAAGTGTTACCTATAGAAAATGTGTTGAGACGTATCAAAGGTTATCGTCCATACAAGTTAATCTCCAAGATTTGCCTGTTTTAGTTGTTGGTCCTAAAGAATATGTCATGATTGTGAGGCAACAATGTGATACTTCTCGGGCAGTAGGTATTTGATTTCACCGATAACTAAATATAACAAAGATACACTCTTGGATAGACTGCTTCGCCGAGCATATCAAATACCAGGAGGATTAATAATCAGATAGTAGTACATAGAACTAAGTGTTGAGACAGATCACAGGGCAAATGCTCATATGAACTGTTAGACAATGTGGGGAAAGACTAATAGCCAATAGATGCTTGTTTGAGTTGTTAATCCTTTAACAATGTAATGCTACATCCAGGTAACAATCTAACAATCTTCAGGAGCAACAAACTTGGATAATAATTAGCAACAAGCTGAACATCTATGATACATTGCGAGGACAACAAAATAATTAAATATTTTTTAAAAAAAAAAACATGTGCATGCAATTGCCATGTGGTCATGAATATATTTGACAAACAAAGTAAATATAAATATAAGGGGGAAAGAAAGTGGATGGAAAATACTCATACTATTAATAATAAGTAATCAAAGTGAACAACAAGATCCATACCTCTGAATGCATGTCTGCAATTCAGGCACCCCACAGTGGCATCGTTTGTGCAAAAGGTTAAGAAGTCGTCCTCCACAAATACCATCACGCTCAATCTCTAGAATGAGCTCGTAAAGAGGTGGCAGAAGAACAAAAAACTAGGAAAACCAACCATCAACAAAGAAACTCAGATGAAAAAGAAAAATCATATCTTAGACAATATCAGAAAAGGGACATGTTGAAATTAGAGATTTAAGTCATAAGGAAATCATTTTGGAAGCGGAAACAGATTGTTCTTGGACAGAGTTAACCTTACCAACTCACATCAATACTTTTTTCAATCTTGACTTGTAGTGAACAAAATTAACAACAATATTTATGTGTACGATCAATACAAAGAAACTAAAGATCATGCAATCGAGATAGGGGGTCCAACAACCTAGAAAATCTAAGACAAGGAATCCATCAGAAGCTCAAACAAAAGAGCATGATGAAAAATATTCTACCAAACAAACTTATAAGAGGGATTGCGTCACCAAGAAAGAAAATAATCTACTGCACTTGGCTGATCTTCAACAAGACCTTCAAAGTGCTGAGATTCAAGAAATGCCTTGACTTTGCAAGGAAAAGCCACATAACCCTAAGTAAACAATACAATAAAATACATAAAAATGACCACAAAACTGCTTTCAGATTATAGTTGTAAAAATTTCTTCTTCATTAGAATTTTTATATAATATTGTCCAACAAAAGGAAAAGAAAAATAGACTTGAAAACAATCTAAGCAAAAAAAAATCCAGCAGCCCCTTGACGGATGGTGCCCAATTTTTGCACCTAATCTCTCCCATCAACTAGAACAATATAGCAGAGTAAGCCTGGAACAGGGTGAAAGCTACTCCACATAATCACGTTCCCAGCACATCAATGTTGGTGGCCAAACTTATTACATTTTTTCATAGTTGGCGAAATCTTCTAACTATCTGCCAACTATTTCCAAAGTTTCACCTGTACTTTTCTTCCTTAACTAAGTAACATGGCTGTTATGTAACATAATATTCGTTAACAAGCGAGAAAATCTTCTCCTATTGATCAAATTTCAGAATGGCATAAAGAGAAACAATCCTTTGTGTGAATATACAAAGAGCAACTATAAACCAACATCAAAGATATTCATCTTTCAATTATTTTGTTTTGTCTTCACAGAGAATGCACACAAACAATATAAAAAAATGATTACCAAAAAAAAATTACTACAATAAAAGAGCCCATGGGATATGACCAGACCTACCTTATTGAGGCCTTGGGTGACTGTTGCCAAGATGGGCATAGAATCTGACAACAATTTTTGTTCAATATGTAGAACGGCTGATCTGTAGACAGACAGCACCTCAACAATGCCATTAGCAATGGCCCTTCGGTACACACTATGCTTCTTTTTCCCTTTCAATAATTCAGATGTTCGAGACAAAGGAGACTCATTCCCAGACCTTATCCAACTTAAATTCCGGGATTTAGTTGCAAAGCGATCGAGCTCTCTGTAGTAAAACCCTAATGTGATTATCCTCTCAATGACATCCCTGCAAACATTAGCAATACCGCATGAAGTGCAAATGCATAAGTATGCTGTTCAATCAAACAATTCAAGAAACACATAAAGAAAATACAAAGCAACAGGCCACAACAAATTGTTTTACTTCCATCCGTTGAATTGCCAGGTAAAATGTTGAATGTTAAAGAAACAAAGGGTTTACAATTTTAGATTATTCGTATATCAGGACCCAGTAAAACCAAAAAGAAAATCAATCTGATACAACCGTTTGATTCAATTTATGAGAGTTATTTAATTTTCAAAGGCCTGAACAACAAAGTCTCAGATTTTTTTTTTTTTTATTCAACTTTTAGACTGGAAATAAAAAATAAAAGAATTGTTCATATATTCAAGAATCGCTAGTTAAAACCCAGCAGAGGCAAAGAATGTCAAGAAATGAATAAAACAATTGTTCATATATTCAAGAATGGGTAGTTAAAATCGTAGTAGTGGCCAAGAATGTCAAGAAATGACTGTTATGGTCGATCCACAATATATACAATATATCCAAGAATTGTGACCGAGAAAGAAATGAGAGATGAACTGATGATTGGGTTTTGAATACCTTTCGCTGGGTTCTATAAAAGAGATGTCGGGAGCAAGCTTGAACGTGCGTTCGTCGGAGATGGGTGCATCGGGAGATAATTGGATGCCGCCGAGAGATCTCTGGTGTTCCCTTTCGTCGATTATGAGATCTCCAGTGTAACCTAAGAGTGCCAGTAGGAGTTCGTGCAGCATCGATGATCTCTTGTATTACGAATGAATGCACTCGCACACCAGAGTGAGAGACGATTTTTTATTTTTATTATTTTTTGTTAAATATTAGAGACTTATAAAATCTGACGGATCTTGAACTCGAACAATGGAATCGAATCCAAATTTGCCACACGTAATTCCATCGCAAGTTCACAGTATGAATTTCTCACTGGCTCTTGACCAACCGATTCACTTTCGAGCTTTCGAAACCCTAAACCCTTCACAATCCGAACAAAAACTTTGGAGTTTGTTCTCGTCCAAAAGACTCACCGATTGCTCCGTGACATCTTCTGCGACTTCTTTGAGAATTCGATTTCCAAACAATGTACATGAAATTCCTTACAGCAAGATTAATTGTGATAGAGGAACCGGAACTGACGCTTAGCCGCTTAGGTCGAGCGTTTTAAAAATAAGGTAAGGCGGCTTTTTATTTAACTGGAAAAAATATATTCCCTCTGTCCCATACTAATAAAATTACCGTCCAGGCAGCGAAACAATAAAATAACAAGTGTCCTTACAATGTAAAAAAAAAAAAAAATTAATGAAAGATTTAATAAGTTATTTGGATTAAATCTAGTAAAGATCCAAATTAAACCCGTATCTAATTATCTTTTTTTCCATGCTACTCTATTGTCCTAATTCCTAAGCTTTAAGGAATTACAATTACAAATATCTTGTTCAAATCAAATTCATAAAAGGAATTGAATTAGAATTTTCAATTATGGGTGATAAAATTTCATGTGTGAACTAATATATATATATATATATATATATATATATATATTGATTTTGTTCTTTTGAAGTGTGGCTTGTGTTGTTTAGCCCTCCGTTGCCTTCTTGTTGAGAAAGAAAAATAAATAAATAAAACCAAACCAAATTGTTTGTATAAAGGTAGATGATTGCACTTGTTAATGGTGTCTTGTGCCACATGTGAAAATAAATATAAATATATGATTGTCTTATAATTAATCAACCAAAAATAATTCTTAAGAAAACAGATTTTATTTTTTTACCAAATCATGACTAAATACTTTCTTTTATTTATTTGAATAATGTTAATAAGCCTATTTAATTCAAATACTTTAGCAGGGAGTGACTAGGTTTACAATTGAACTCTTAAGTCTCACCATCATCAAAAAGCTTAATCAAATTCCTTCTACATAATTTTTTTAGGTTTGATTCAGATTTTATGAGAAAGAGAAATAATCAAATTAGGATTTGATTTAGATTTTATTGGGTACATTTAACCCCAAAAAAATTTCAAATATTTTATTTTTTATTTTATATCGGAGGGACACTTGTCATTTTATTGTCCTACTACATGAGTGGTAAGTATGAAGTTTCTACTCACAGGTGAGTAGGTAAGTATTATCCTTAATAAAAATGTCCCAAATAAAAGGTCAAAGTATATTTTCTTTATATTGTCATCATTGTCCTTTATTTTTTAAAAATTAAATTAATAAATAAACTATTCTGTTCTGAATCATAAGATTTTAATTAGACAAAAGTGAAAAAAACCATATGAACTATTTTAAAAATTGTAATAAACCCTCTATACTATTGTAGGTTGCCCTAAACTATTAAAAAATTGCAAATTGCCTTCCGGTCACCGAAATTCATTTTTTGATGTCCAAATAATCAAAATTACCTAAATACTCCTACTTATTAATTTATATAAAATTTATAAAATATCATAAATATAAAATACTCATAATACCCTTCAAATGGCATCTTACAACTAACTAACAGTGCATGAATTTTTTTTTTACACTTTTGTCTAATAATAAACAATAACAATAAGAGTAATAATAATTAATAATAGTAATAGTAATAATAATAACAATAATAGGAATAAACATTTAAAATAATAACAAAAATAAATTGCTTGATGTATTCATATGGTTACAAACAGTTTTTGCAAGGTAATAAATTATCAAAAAATAGCTAAAATAATAACAACAATAATAATGAGAATTAATAATACTAGTAGTAGTAGTAGTAATAATTAAAAATAATAAAAATAAATAAATGGTTTGATTGGTCCTTCCATGGGTACACATGCCTACAAATAGTTTCTGCAGTCATAAATAAATAAATAAATAAATAAACAAAAATAAATAAAAATAGTAAGTGTATGATTGGATGCCCCTAAGGGTATAGCGGTGTTGGCAGAGATTCGGGAGGTAAGTCCTTAAGGTCTCATTTTCGATAACTTGATGGTCCGTGTGTTGTGGAGCCGATACACGTACTCAAAAAAAAAAATGTGTATGAATGGACATGAACATATATATATATATTCAATCAAACTCAGCTTAGCCTTGTTAGTTATATAGCAAAAGTGGAAAAAACCAATTATTATTAGGGCTAAATTCATAAAACTCTCACTATTTTTAAATTTTGATCATAAACCCCCTACACTTAAAAAAGTGATCAAATTGCCCCAATATCAGTGTCTGACCCATTAACCCTGTTGTGAAATTACAGGTTTAACCTTACTATTTAATGTTAAATTTAAAACTAAAAATATATATTTTTAAATTACAAGAATACCCTTTAATTATCTTCTTCACCACCCCCCTCTTTCAAACTCGCCTCTCTCTAAATTATTTTTTAAATTAAAAAAAATAGTTTTAAATTTAACATTAAATAGTAAGGTTAAATTTGTCATTTCACAATCGGGTTAACGGGTCAGACACGAATATTGAGACAATTTGATCACTTTTTGAAGTGTAGGAGTTTTCTGAAATAGGTTGGGGGTTTATGATCAAAATTTAAAAGTAGTGGGAGTTTTATGAATTAGCTCTTATTATTATTGTTGTTTTTATTATTATTATTATTATTATTATTACTATAAGATGTCCTTGAAGGGTATTATGGGTATTTACATCTATGATATTTTATAAGTTTTATATAAATTAATAAGTTGAGGTATTTAAGTAATTTTCACCATCTGGTTGCCGAAAAATGAGGCAATTTGTAACGTTCTAATAGTTTAGGATTCAATTTGCAACCAAGAATAGTTTAGAAGTGTTTGTTGTAAATTTAAAATAGGCCGAATTTTTTTTTTTTGCATTTTTGCCTTCTAATTAAATTTATCTATTGCAAATTACCAAAATAAACTCAAATCAATGCATGATTCACCAAATATCCATCGTGAACTATAATCCAATAGATCTTCCAACAAAAGTTCATATCCAATCTATTTTAAATCTGAATCAAAATTAAAATCCAAAATCCTTAAAAATTATCTTCAAATGGGATTGAATCTAAAAACCAAACTCACTCTGTTTTACGTCCTAATATACACACACACATAAAAAAAAAAAAAAAAAACTTATTGTATTTATTATCTTAATAAATTAAATTTTCTATTTTCAAATTAATAAATTCATCATCGTTAATGAGAAAAAATCATTATTAATTTTTATTCTACCATACAAGGCATGACTTGGACCTTCAACCACATTGTTTTGAGAGAATTAGAAATTTTATTTCGAACAAATTAAAACATGAATATGGCCCTTTATGGGAAAACTTACTAATATCAGAAAGTCTTTTGTTAAAGCTTCATAAAAGAAATTTTGGTAGACCGAAAAATGACCCCAAAAAAAAAAAAAATTTGCTAATATTTACTAACCGCTGTTTTAAAAAATGAAGTGACATGTAATGATATAATCTTAGACATGTACGAATATATTCTATGTTTGCAATTCAAGTTCAGTAATAAGGATTCCAAGTTATCTTCTTCAATTTTTCTTTTTTTCTCAATGTGATCCAAAACCTAAAGAACCACAATCTAGAGAGTGACTTCAAGATCAATCATCCCATTACTCGATTTGATGAAGTTATCTGAACAGTGTCTCTTCTACTTCGAGACCATTAGAAACTTTTTTGACTTGTTAACTTGAAAAACGTTTATTGATTGTAAGTTGATTTTCAATTTTATGAACTCTGTCCGACTTGTAAAGTTTAGATTTGGTAATTGCATTTTTTAAAAATACTTTAACTTTAATTTATTTTTTACTGACAAAATTATCTTTTATCCTTGACAACTATTGCAAGACTCTAATAAAAAGTGCCAAAAAATGCTTCGTGGTCGTTGTATTCCAAGTTTTCCTCATTGGACCAGAACAATAACAAACATAATTCCTTCCTCAAATTTTACTTAAAAAAGGAATGATATAGTGATCGTGTTGATTTATTGGCAAAATGTGTAAATGGTTTCACTCAACTTCATGTTATTTACTTATTGAAATGGTTTCACTCAACTTCCTGTTCTCTCTTATTCATACGGAGTGTATATCAAAAATCTCAACTCAAGCTCCATAAATGGAGTGGGACTAGGATGTTGTTCTCTCTCAGTTGCTTGAACTTCCAATATATATATATATATATAGAGTGGGACTAAGCTAGGGCCTCGGCTTCTTCCTTTAAACCCAAGCGAAGTTAATGCTTGTACCGTATCATAACACCTAAAAGAATTGATCCCTGTGAAAAAATAATAATAATAAATAAAATTAATCCCCAACCCAACTCAACTAAGCTAAGGAACAACAAATGATTTAAAACTACAAAAGAATTAAAGTTTTCTAACATAAAAGAAAGAGAGAGAGAAACGGAGAGAAAATATATAAAGTCGATTATAAATACATATTGACGAGAGAATGTAAAATTGGTTGTCGATTATGATTTTCTTAGTTATCAGAGATTGCCAATATCTTCGCCATTGGTAGAAATAGTAAATGGTAGTATCAAATCTGAAATGTGACATTCGAATCTTCTTAGACTTCTTAACAAAAAGATTCTCAATAATTACCCAAAACTTTTGGGACAAGAAAACTACACGAGTCCAACAATAAATTATAGGATAAAATATAATAAACTCTCCTAAACTATGTTTAAATTTACAAATAACCCCCTTAAAGTATATTTTATACATAATACCCCTTGAACTATCACATTTTGTTGCAAAATGTCCCAATGCTTATACTATTTTTTAATAAATGACCATAAATCCCCTTGTTATTGAATTACACTTGATATATTTTTCTTATTGAAATAAATTATGAAAAAAAAGTCATACCAATTGCATAAATTTATACACTTGATATATTTTTCTTATTTGATGACATATTCTCCATTAAATTTGCATAAATTTTCCTTTAATTTTTGAAATAAAAATCTTAAGTAGAAAATTTTAAAACAATTTAAGTGATTTCTTAAATTTTAACGAATATATTGCATGAAAAATAAGGTATTTTTTATTTATATAATTTATTAAATTTTAATGGATATATTATATGAAAAAGAAGGTATTTATTTACAGTAAAAAAGCTTAAATTGAGTACAATAAGTTTTATTATAAGTAGTAAAATTCTATTAAGTTAATCATTTTAAAAAATGGTAGTTTCAAAATTTTTTAAACAATAGTTCTATTTTTTTTTTTTTTTTTGCACTTAACCGTAAATTATATATTCCCGTTTAACCCTTAAAAGACTAAGGGTGGATGACATAAAGAATGAATAATGAAACTAATGAAAGAAAGACCAAGTACCCAGAGAGAAAATCGGACAAGTCAATATTATAAAAAGTATATGGACAAATGAGTAAAATAAAATGATTACGTGAAAAGAAAATTTGGTTTCTTAAGAGAAGGTTTTAAAAGCAATATTAATATTAATATTAATATTAATATTATTATTATTTTAGCATACCCTCTCAAAGTGGATGGTAACGGTTGAGCCTATAGGAGGGCAAAGCTAAGCGGTGGGGTGTGTATTTCTTGACACACACACAAAAAAAAAAGAAAAAAAAAGATGAAGATATTATCAATAAAAAAAGTGTAACCAAAAGTCGCATGTAATAAATATCCTCCTCTTCGGCACTGAAAAATTACTTCCTCGAGTTAAATAAGAGAGATTATCAGTAAAATTTATCCTTTTAAACAACATTGCTAGCTTTGAATTCTTTTCATACTTCTGCAACTACTTTTTTTCTCCCGTTTCTTCTTTTGTTTTTGTCTGCTTTTCCATGGAGATTCACCTCCTCAAATTTGATCGGCTCTATAATCACCCCGGCTTTCTTCACCACCTGTGAAGGACAAGTTAAGTGAGAATAATACACATAAATGCGTTTTTATTATTTGCTACTAATACAGTCATTACTTTTCTTCTTCACAATTAGATATACACAACCCAACCCACTCAAATGGGATAATAAGCAATGTAGCGGCAATGATATCGAATTGGATATAATCAAATAAACATGAAAGCAAAAGAAAAAAATGTTTCTCCAAGTATAGTTTAAACAAAAGCTATTTTGAGGAACTCACTTCTGGCCGATTAAGAGCTCCAACTGTGGTTGCGGGATTAAAATCGGGTCCAAGGGGCATTCGGATGCTCTGTTCATATACTTCGTTGGACGTGTATGGGTAGGGCAATTTCTTCAAAAATAGTTTTTCAGCCTGTGAAATCCATATAAAAGAGCAAAACTATATAAGAGAAGCTTCTATACATAATCAACAGGATATTAACGCGATTATAGCAGCACTAAGCAATAACTGGTATGACAATAATCTGGCAACTCAAAAATCCAAAGGGAAAAAATCTTTACAATTATTTTATTTTAATTTTAAATTTTAATTTTACATTACTAAATTTTGAAAGGAGAGGAGATATCAATAGGCCACAAGTCAAGCATGTCAGATTCTAAATTTTACAGATCCTCCAATTTTTTCTGCAGTGAAAATGTGAACTTTGACTGCATCATGCAATAACTGCCATGTGTTATCATATTTTTTTTTCCCGGAAGGTTAAATGTGTAATCATATTGTTCAAGGCAAAAGACCATGCAAGTTTTTTACTTTTTAAGTGAACCTGTGTTCTACCAGGGCAACTTTTTCACCATTACTTTATGATTAAAATCATTAGAAGCAGACTAGTTATTTGACATGTTGATAAACCATAAATTTAAGAACACTGACCTTTTTATCAAACTTCTCAGAGATGACTACGTGTTTAAGATGTGCGTCTTTCCTCTTTTTAAGAGCTTCTTCCCTCTTTTTTTGGGCATTCTTATGCTCTTCCAGCATCCAAGAGGGTAAGCCTTTCTTTTGTTGTATACGAGTCCATTGGCCCCACCCAGGGAGTAAAACAGGCTTCTCAGGTTCGGGATTTTCCTCGTTCAAGATATCCTGTTTCTCCTTCTCGAAATCATCCTCCACGTCATCTCCTGCAAAAGCTCGGTGTATAAGATCTGCTTGAGATGGAAGCTCATACGTTGACTTGGTGCCAGAAGACAATATCCCATCCACCATATGTCCTTCACTCTCTGTCTCACTATCATCACCTACTTCCTGCATAGAATTCAAGAAAAGGAACAGAATGCAAAAGTAAGGGGGAGGTGGAGGTAATCAAATTAATCAATCATGTAAGCAGTGCAAGCTTAACATATGGAGAAAGGTCCTACCCTTCTATCTTGGTCATGCAGGGAAGGTACTCCAACACTTGGAGACTTCTTGATACTGGCATCTACTCTCTTTTCACTTTTCATCTGCTCATTATCCTTCTTTGGTAACTTTTCCATCTGTTCATCATTTGAAGTTGGTATAAAATTACTGATCTTCTATTTGGGCAGAAAATAAAAATTAAAGACTAAACAAACCTTTTTCAAAGAGTCGGACGCAAAAATAGCAACTTCATACGTTGTATTGGGCCTTGGGTCTTCGACAATAGCATCAAAACTCTATGAACAACCACAATAAAAATTGTCACTCACTGAGTAACGAAAACAACTTAAAAGGAAGGTTGAGCAAGAAATTCTCACCTTAATCACAGGATCTTGACAAACCTCAGACTTCTCACGAAGTAAATCAGGATCAATGTTTACATCCCTATGCAAATTATTACTTCTGTAGCGTCCAATGTTAATATCTTCCTTGGCCTCAAAGTTGTCTTCACTATCGCTATTACCAAAATAATTATCTGATTTAATCATGTTATTGGACTCTTCAACCTGCTTTTTAGGAGCACCAAAAACCCGTCTACCACTTGAGATCCTCGTTTTTAGACTTTCTGCATCACTCTTATCCTCCAATTGCTTTAACGATGACTCATACTCTTGAAGAGCAAGCTTAGCTTCTTCATTAGCTGCCTCTTTTTGCTTTTTTAATCCACGAACCTATGCCAAAGCAATCGAGCAAAAAAAAACAGAGATAAATAAGTATCATTTAGGCAGTTTCAGTCCCAAATAAATATCTGACTCTGAAAGAGAGTGAAATGGGCAGAATAAGAAGCATTAGGCCACCTCTTCTTTCTTGTATCTGAATATATTTAAACCTACTAAATCTTTTTTTTTTCCCCCTAGTTGATAAAACCTCCTAAATCTTCTAATGAAGAAGGAGAAAAAAAAAAGGAAAGAGTAGAATGTCTATACGAAAGTGTAAATTTTTTGATATTGCAAGTAGAATGCACCAAGATTACCATGAAAGGTAAAGAAAGCACTCCCGATTTAGGCGATTCATCATCTTTGTCTATTACTTTAAGTGTCTTCTCTTTCGCTTTCTCCAACAATTTTGATGCTCTATCCTGGTCTGAACCAGATGCATTTTCATCACCATCATCCTCATTACTGCTGTCATCGCTGCTACTACTGTCCCTCATAGAGTTCATTTTCCTACTCAAAAGAGCATGTTGATGAAGCTGTTCAGATATAGCAGCTCGAGTTCCATCATCTTGTACATCCAAACCACGCTTCAGAATGCGCTTTGCCCACTTGGAGCTGTTTTTGTGCTTCAGTGTCATGCGTTCCTGAACGAGTCCATAGGGTTAAAATTATACAAATTATAATAATTAAGATGATAAAATTATACATGGAACACAGACTTTAATTAATCCAAATGCGAATTGATGCTAATTACCTCAGCCCTCTTAAACTCTTGCTTCATAGCAAGTTCTTTAGCAGCTTCTGGATCCATTTCCATTACAGCCTCTGCTGCTTTCAATCTATCTTTCTTCAAAAGACGATGAAATGTTTTGGACTTGATCTTTTTTATGCGTTTGGCCTTCACTTCATGATGAAAAAGAAGGCTACGCATTTTAGCCAGACGATTCTCGCGGTCAATCACATCTTTGACAGATATCTGTCAAATATTATCCACCGAAAAAGGGAAGAAAAAAGCACAATCAGCCAATTATCAGACATCCTATTAGTACGCAAACCAAGTCAAAATCTACACAAGTCATAAATATGCTAAATCAAAATTAGAAATAAACAAAACCATCTTATCAATTACAACTCAAATCCATCATAAACCTGAAAAGTATAAATTCTGTGCAGATCATAAAGAAGTTCAACAACCTGTAAAGGGAAAATTCTATGCAGATAATAAAGATTTCCAAGGATGTTGCAGATACTCATTGACAAACTCAAAAGCTTACCTAGATTGATGCCCATATTGTGCAGATGAACTTGCCAACAGGATATATATTTTTTTATCCATCTTTACAATTCCTAACTAGTATCATATTCATCTAAACCATTTTCTTACAAACCAATTCCTGTGGATTACCTTCTCCTCCATTGCAACATGGTTAGAGATTGCTGGAATTTGATGTTTGGCTTGTTTGGGATTCTTTGGGTTATGCCTGGATCCGTTAGAGGGTTGATTGAGGCTTGGAGAGGTTGCCATGTGGGGGCTCACATTGTGGATGCTTGGAGGGCTACACCTCTTTGTGTGTGGTGGTGTATTTGGCTCGAGAGGAATAGAAGATATTTTGATGGGAAGGAGTTGTCGATTTCTACTCTTAAATTCTCTATTATTTCCACCCTTTTTTGTTGGGTTTATGGGAGAGATCATAGATCTTTAGATGAAATTGTCAATTTTTTGGCTTCTTTGAAGGCCTAAAGGTCCTTTGTGGCCTTGTGTATATTTTCAGGGTTTTGCTCCCCTTTTGAGCGCTTTTATAAAATTATTCTTACTTATCAAAAAAAAAAAAAAATCTGTTGCAACAATCTCCTTTGATAATTCCACAGACTTGACAACAATCTGACGAAAGGGGGGACATTTTGCACAACTTGAAAGATGGAGGGTTTCTAGCTAAAATATAGTTTAGGGAGATTTGTTGACATACATTGATAGAACAGTGTTTTTTTTTTTCAAAGTACCCAGAATAATACCAATAGGTTAGAATAATAATTATGCCTTTTTTATAAATGAGTTAACATCTTATATTGAACAAAGATGTGCATGTTGATACTATGACCAACACGAGAACAACTTTAGAAGAAACAAGTGAATTTCCCCCCAAAAAAAAAAATGTAGATTTACATCAAGGATTAACTTTAAGTTAATATCTTTTTGCCTTGATTATGGATGATCTAACAATATGTATTAAAGATATGTCCATGGTGTATATTATTTCCTAAGTGCTATAGATTCGGAGAGAAGCTCTAAAATCAAGAGGATTTAAATAAGTAGGACTATAACTAAATAAACAGAACCTACAAACAAAAGTAAGGATGTAATGAAGATCAAGCTGAAAATATACCGAATAGAGAACATTTCCGCTAACTAGGCTTGATTATATACACAGGGATAAATTGGAAGCAAAGTTAATTATAGAACTAAAGCAGTATAATTAAATGGAGGAATGCTTCTAGCACATTGTATGACTGGTGTATGCATCTAAAATTGAATTGTGAATTTCATAAAAACAACAATTAAACAAACCAGACTTCAAAAGAGTTTCTGCCCACATATCATGAAATGAGAATGTTGTGATGGATGCGTTACAAAAAGGGACAAAATTAGAAATAAACTTGTTACTTTGATTGTTAAAGTTAACACCTATCAAAGACATGTCCAGCCACGGCCAATAACTACACCGACTAGGAGAAGTGACCTGGTCCTTATTGAGGGCAATGCTAAGGGAAGAGGAAGACCGAAACTAATATGGGTTAAAATGGTTAGGAAAGATACTATATCAACTGAGGGGAAAAAAAATTAGCTAGCAAAACAGGATTCATGCAGCCAATCTAAATAGTTTAAAAAGGCTTTGTTTCTGGCCTTAAGGTTAATGTTGGTAAGAGTATTCTTGTGCCTGTTGGGGATGTTCCGGAGATTGAGTTGTTTGCTCACATCCTTGGTTGTTGCACTAGCTCTTTTCCCATTTCTTATTTAGGATTGCCTTTGGGTGCCCCTTCGAGATATGTGGGGAGCTGGGATCCGGTTGTGGACAGAGTCGAGAGGAGGTTGGCAGGTTGGAAAAAGCAGTACCTGTCCAAGGGGGGTCGGGTTACCCTGATTAAGAGCACCCTTTCTAGCCTTCCTGCATACTTCTTGTCTCTGTTTCAGATTCCTTCTTCAGTGGCTGAGAGAATTGAAAGATTGCAGTGCAACTTCCTTGTGGGGGGGTTGAAGAGTTCAAGTTTCACTTGGTTCGATGGGAACAAGTGTGCCGTCCAATTCGGTGTGGAGGCTTAGGGTTTCAGAGGTTGTTGCCTTTTAATAAGGCTTTTCTTGGTAAATGGCTCTGGAGGTTTGGGATCGAGAGGCATTGGTTATGGAGGAAAGTTATTGCTCGCAAATTTGGGAAAAGTCGTGGTGGGTGGTGCTCCCTAGAGATGCGTGGTCCAAGGGGGGTGGGAGTTTGGCATTTCATTCGGAGGGGTTGGGATGATTTCTGCAAACATGTTCGTTTTCATATTGAAGATGGAAGGAGGATCAGTTTTTGGATGGATCTCTGGTGTGGGGATCTCCCTCTTGCTCTCGCGTTCCCACGGCTCTTTAGGATTGCTTCTACTGTCTTGGGATGTTCGTTTCAGGAGGCATTTTCAGGATTGGGAGATCGAGGAAGTTTCTCGTTTTCTGGAGTTGTTGTATAGCCAGGTGTTTTCTTTTGGGGGATCGGATTGGTGGTTCTAGATTCCTACCTCGCATGGCCGTTTTGAGGTTAGGTCCTTTTTCAGATGCCTTTCGGTTGGTCATGGAGATCCCTTCCCTTGGAAGTCTATTTGGCGGTCCAAGGCTCCCCGCAAGGTCGCTTTTTTTGCTTGGACCTCTGTTCTGGGTAAGATTTTAACCCAGGATAATCTGAGGAAGAGGAATCAGGTGGTGGTTAATCACTGTTACATGTGTTTGTGTAATGAGGAGTCTGTTGATCACCTCCTTTTACATTGTAGCATGGCCAGAGATTGTTGGGATTTGATGCTTCGTTTATTTGGGGTTCATTGGGCCATGCCTTTTTCCTCTAGAGGGTTGATTGAGGCTTGGAGAGGCGACTCTGTTGGGGCTGGCATTAGGAATGCTTGGAGGGCTACGCCGCTTTGTATCTGGTGGTGTATTTGGCTTGAGAGAAATAGGAGATATTTTGACGGGAAAAAGAAGCATGTTTCTATGCTTAAGTTCTCTGTTATTTCTACTCTTTTTTGTTGGGTTTCAGGGAGAGATTATAGATCTATAGAGGAAATTATTGTTTTTTTGGCCTCTCTGAAGGTCTAAGGTGCCCTCTGGCCCTTGTGTTCCTTTTGTTTCTTTGGGCTTCGCTCCCCTTTTTGAGCGTTTTTAATAAAATCTTACTTATCAAAAAAAAAAAAGTTAAGTTGAGTTAAACAAGGGAAACAATGTTCACCACTAGAATTCTCACATCTTATGTGCCTTTGGGTAAAAAAGGAGCTTACCTTTTAAATTTTAACCAGATAGATCTAAATATCCCTTTTCTTTTGTTTCTTATTTTTGCTACAGTGTGGATTGGGTATATCTCACGGCAGTGCCATACATCAATACTATGAAAATCTGTGCAAAAAAAAAAACAAAAATCATGGATTCTTCAATCATCCCACTAAGTGCAAACATAAATTAGACACTAGGGCACCAGTACCCTATAGATTTTGGGAAAATACTCCTACATTCCCTTATATTTATTAGCACAAAAATTGAATTAACTTTACCATGGAGTATAACTACAGTTAGTGAATACACAATTTTCTTTAAGCTAATTAATATTTAGGGCACATATCTTTTGCAAATGGGGAGAGAAATTTCACGGCTTTTGAAATTCACACGCACATCAAAATCAGAACAATTCAGCTATTCAAATTTATTAGAGCCTTGCATTATAATCAAATATCTTACACAATCAATAATGTAAAGACAATGAAAATTTATATATGCATAATTTTTATCTTAAAATTTTTTGGACAGGTAAAACACACATACACTCGCACACTGCAATGAAGACCTAAACTCTCAACCTCCCATGGGGGAAAAGACAGAGTTACAAACTTGGACTAGGCTCTTAGCAGTGCATATGAATGTATCTTATGATTATAGACAAATATATGATCCAAACGCTACATTATTATCACTACATAGGATGAATTAACATTTTAAACAATCTTTTTTTCTTAGAAGGTCGAGTAAAAATCAGTGAAAATTTTAATCTTACTAGATTTATACCGGTGCACCGCGTTTCTGTATGCTTCTTTTTGAAGTACTACAGTTTTGTATAATCGACATCTTTAATTTTGCAAAGTCAAAATACATCAAGAACTACATCAAAGGTAGAAATAGTTATTGAATCTTAATCATTTATTCGGAACCACTATATGAATTCCTCACCTACATATTATTTTTTGTATCACTGTAATTTTCTATCAGGACAAACTTGTAACTAACTGGGAACTGTTCACTCACTTCCTTTTTAAAACATTCCCTGATCAAAAGGACTTAAAATTATAATATATTTAAGCAAAGTATGAAAAAGTTCAACAAATCATACATCTCCAAGATTTCCACTCATCACAGATAATGAACAGTACCAAACATGTGTTCCTACATCCTAAATTTGTCAATTCTCCATGGAACAATTTCCATTCCATCAAAGAAATTCATAAGGAACTCTCACGTACCAGTGAAAATACGATAACCAAATATGACAGATGCTGGAATACCAAAATTGAAAAAGAAAGAATGTGTAGGACCTCCATACCTTGTTCATTGCAAGAAGCCTAGCACCATCTTTGTTGTGAGCTTCCAGAACCTCTCTGTTATTATACAAGGGAGCCATTTTCTTCTCAAATTCAGTTCTAGGTTCAAATTCAGAAGCAATTGCCCCGATAGTTGAAAAGCCCAGATCTACATCTTTGTTAAAATAACGAGTAGGGGCCTCCCTATTCCTCTTGACTAAAGGCCCCCACTTATTAATGTCCTTCTTTGATTGTTCATAAGTTACCTTCCTCTCCACTTTTTCTTGATCTGGTTTAGGAAGTGGGGCTTGAATGGACTTTGATTCTCTCTCCATTCTTTGAACACTCTTTCTGAGTTTACTGAAACCAGACTTCCCATGAAGGGGATCCAACAGGTCCTGAATACTAATGCGGCCATGACCATCCAGAACATCACGACTAGGATTAAATTCAGACTCTGGATATGCCTCAGATATGACAACATCATTTTTCCTCTTCTTACCTGGGAATTAATAGAAAATTTCAGATCAGTCATGTTTTTGATTGCTTAAAAAATGCAATGAACTACAAGTTTTAGATGTCACCACAACAATTACCTAAATGGGTATCACATGTTCTCCTTAATAGATTCTCAGAAATTATTTCAATTACCAACCAAAAAATGTGAAATTCTCCATACATATTCAGAACAGATGCCTAAATATGTATGTGCTACTTTGTTCAGAATAAAATGTTTGGTTCACAATTGCAATGATTGCACAAATACACAGGACTATTAGCACAAGGCACCTTGAATTGCCCTTTCAATAGACAATTATTCAACTTTTGAACACTTCAAAGTTACCCAAAAGCAACATAATTCCAAAGCACAAACTTACCTTCAAAGGCCTCACTGGGCAGTCCAGTGATTTCTTGTAACATCCTTGAATGTCTCCCATCATCTTCCTCTTCAGACACATCTCCCATCTGCTTTTCCCTACTACCATTCATATATCCATCATTGATGTCCTCGTCGCTGTCGTCATCTGATGCTACATTCTCATCCTACAATAAAAATACATATATACATATGTATATATATGAAAAACCAAGTTAAACAGATTAACAAGGAACACCTTAAGCTAACATATGCCATTCCACAATAAATAGCAAATCAAATCAATGAACATTATCACAATGCAGCTCGTTCAAGCTACCACCATCATTACAATGTAAGATTAGGAAAACAAGTGTTTTGGCCATTATTAAACAAATTCATAACAACTTATCACACTTTTAATTACTGTCGAAATTCATCCATTTTGGTTTGGTCCCTGATTTGATTAGGTTCTCAACTCAAAATGAGAAAGCCTCATCCAAACTGCTCTATTTATTTATTTTTAAATCCAATTTTATTGTGTTCACATTATTTTCTCAACATCTGCAAGAAATCAAAATCAATGTTCAGTTCCAAGGAAATTAAAGAACTCCACTGAGATAAGTTGGATATTATTTTCATTTCTTTTTTTCCTTCACTTTTCACATTCACCAACCATTGTAAAACACTCATAGTAAGGAATTTTTATTTTTTATTTTTATTATTATTTTTTTTCTCTCTCTTATCAATATGCTATTACCACCTAATCAACCACTGCTGTATAAAAGTAATCAAGAATTGGTGGGATATCATTAACTGGAAGAAAAAGAAGCCATTATGTCTAAATTCTCATACCTTTACTTAAAGGGTCATTCCCCTCACATTTGCTGGATAAAGACCTGACCGTTAGCGTTAATTGCAAAAGAGTGGTTGCTCTATGAATCCAAATACGAATTCTCATGCTTAATAGCCCTAGCTCTTAATTCTCGTACCTGCTTTTAATATATATATATTTTTAATTCAGATTTTTTAAGTATTAATGTAAGATAACTTTTTTTAATAACTATTATCGTAAGACAACTTCTCACTAACAGTATCCCTAATGTTGGTCCAAAATATTTTATTAGTTAGTATATGAAGAAAAAGGTGGAAGTTCTAAAGAATATACTATAATAAAATTTAGGGTAAATTACACTTACACCCCCTGAGGTTGGGTCATATTTCACCTAGATTAACATTTTTGTTTTAAATTTCATTTACATTTGAAATAGTGGTTTAACATTCACTTACCCCAAATGTCAAATTTTGGTGGGGTCATAGTACTTTTGAGGTGTTAAATGATTATGCTATCCTTTGACCTCCTGTTGACTATTTTTGTGACCAAACTACCCCCAACATACACGTTTCCTATTCTTCCTCCTCCTCAGACCATCATCATCCCAAATTCACCCCTCCAAAGATCCACCAATCCCACAGGTTCCTCCTCAACTCCACCCATCAACCCTGCTCATCCATCACCCAAATCCCACCTCACCAACACTGCTCTCGTTAAAAGACTCTCTTCTTCTCTCATTGTGTGTGTGTGTGTATATATATATATGTATAAGTTGTGCAGATCTGAGATGGAGGATTCAACAATAGAGGTGAAGAAAAACAGAGATCAAGGTGACCGGACGCAACAGTAGTGGTAAATCATTAAAGACGCGGTCGCGGTCGAAGTCTCCAATCAAGCGGCTGATTGAGCGACCCGTTTGAGGCACACGATGACTGGATTTTGGGCAAAGAAGCAAAGAGACAACAAGGCTTGTTATCTTCTTGTTTATGGTCGTCTTCTTCTTCAAACGGCGATGGCGGCGGCGAACTTGCTATTGGCAAGTTTGAACCGGCAAAAACCCACAAGTTTAAATCTACCAAATACCCACAAGTTTGAATATGCTATTATGAGTTCAGAGACCCAAAAACCCACAATTTCGAATATGCTATTATGAGTTCAGAGACCTAAAAACCCACAATTTTGAATCTGCCAAATACCCAAAAATTAATTCAAACCCAAAAAATCATATGTATATATATAATGCTTTTGATAACCCATTTCCCAAGTTTAATCAGTTGAGTTCAAGCATAACATAGTAATAAGTACTCTTTTACCACATAATCTAAAAGGTCCATATAAACAATATTCAACTAACATTGATCATCCTAATCAGCATTTACAAAGAAAGGTCAGTGTTACGTGAATGGTACTCATTGTCCAAATAAAAATATGATGTAATGTAAGGAGCTAGATCGTTGCAGGTATTCCACATATACAATACCTAAAGCACAGATAGATCCTCCTATATACATACGGATATATCTATGTAGTGAGTGTGCAGAGAGGGGGAAATGGAGCAGATTCTAGAGCGAGAAGGGGAAGTTTGGCCGTTCCATACGTTAGAGAAAGAGATAGAGGAGAGGTGAGAGAAAGAGATGAGACAGGAAAGACTCTGGCTCGCCACTGCAATCGCCTACAAATATATAAATATATACATATATATATAGGGGCTATTTAAGATTACAGATATTTTGTATAAAAAAATTGAGGGTAAAAAGGTCAATTCGCATGTGTCAGAGGCCAAAAAGTAAATTAGGGTGTAAGTGAAAGTTAAAACCAAAATCTTCTTCTAGCTGAAATATAACCCAACCTCAGGGGGTGTGAGTGTAATTTATCCTAAAATTTATGCATAATTTACCATTCGACATTGAAAGGGAGAAGAATGTCTGACTAGCCCAATTGTGGATAATCATAAGATTTATAATTAAATTGAAATTTGTTTTAAGTGGATCCTATTCAAGTAGGTGTCAGATTCAATCAATTATTTTTATGAATTATTTTTAAATAATGCACGGATTCTTATCACATTTACATTATGTTTAGAATGGCATAGAGATATTATCTTTATTCTTATTAACATTGAATTCGAGAGACTCAAATTAATATTTTAATTCAATTTGGGTACAATAATTCAGATGAATATATTTGAATTAAACTTTAGTTTCATATAAGTAATTGTATGTTTATAATTGTATTTGAAGAAGGTTAGGTAGACTCCTAGGCTTTTTGCCTCCTAGAACTTTGTAGAAAGGGGGTAAAACAGTTACAAGGGCAATCTCACTTAATGGCATTTCACTGAATTTGTAACCTCATGATTGCTAGAGAACGGATATGCAACCTCAATTTGTGCCACTATAGAAACAGATGCAAGTTTCAGCGTTCAAAAACCTTTGGTGTTAAGAGACAGTTCTAGTTATAAAATCAATCATCCATACACAACTAGGATACCAATAAATAATATTAATATCTTGGTTAGATGAAGAGTTGTTTCCTGGACAAGATTAGGCTTCCTAGGAATGCTGCAATTTATAATGGGCTGCATTTCAATTGCAACTTTAGGCTATTAGGGGCATGCTTCTGGTTGGCAGTGTTCTTAAGCAAGTATGTTCTGAATTAATGAAGTTCATTTATCAATTGTTTCTATGTGAAGTCAGATGGAATGAAACAGCCAAAGTAATCTTGCACTGAGACATCGAAGAAGAAAAAGCAAAAAAAGAAAAGAAAAGGTAGTGACATAAACTTTGCAATTCAAAAGAGAGAGGTACCTCGAATTCCTTGGGAAGCTCGTACTCAAGGCTGAGTACGGGATCATATCGGCGATTCTTTCTGGATTCTTCTTCAGGAATGGCTTCTTCGCACTCATACACGTCATTGGCATCATCAGAATCGATCAATTCATCACTGTCCAAACGATTATCAGCCGCATTCATGCTCTCGAGCTCCTTTCGCAACGAATTTGGTAAACGAGGCCCAGTCCTCTTCCTTCTCTCCCCATTTTGATCATTTTTTCTGTTCATTTTTTTCTTTTTAAACATTTGAGAACTCGAATGTTTGTGCGGATTGCTGGATTTCCTCTTCTTTGTCTCCATGAAGCTTGAGACAGAATGGACCAACTCTGGATTCCCTCTTTTTGCCTCTACGGTTTGCCCCCAAAGGACCGAGCAGAATGACAATATAGGGGTACCAGAGTTCCGAAGTGTAAACCCTTGAAAGATGAAATTACAATTTTGGGGCAAAAAGAAAAACAAATAAATTCTCTTAAAGATGTCAAGAAAAAAAAAAAAAAAATACTTCGAAACTTTGTTTTCGTACAATTACATGCATATATTACTATCTGCATATAGAAGCATGTGTATATAAGAATATGTGCATATATATATATATAGAGAGAGAGAGAGAGAGAAAGAGAGTTAACCTGGAAAAAGTAAGGTAATTTTGCTGGAGTAATAACAGCATAGAACGAAGTCTACTGAGGCGTTCAGGATTCTGACAGAAAGAATAATTAACAAAAGGGACGATACTGATACTTTCAGTTGGTCTCTTCGGTTCACCGCCTTTTGCTTCGGTTCTAGCTTGCTGCTCTTTCTTTCGCTCTACTAAACCCTAACGAGTTGACAGAAGCAGTATAACCTGTAAAAAAATGTATATAGTGGTCTAAACCTATATATAAATATAAATATATATCTATAAACATCACAAAAAAAAAAAATAATAATAATAATTATAATTTAGAGTATTTACTTGATGATATTAGTTATCAGAAAAATAAAACAGTAATAATATGTATTTAACAATATGTATTTATGTTTGAATAAATTATGAAAAAATAAAAAATTATTGTTTAAAAAAATAAAATTGATAATTTTTTTATTTTAGTTAATTTATTATAATACCATGACAAGGTGGGATTTAAATATTTATTAAAATATTACTATTATTTTTTATATTACTTAACACCGTCACTACCACATTATTGCCACAACTCTCCCCAACCGCGGCTGCCTTCTAATATCGCCATTGTTGTCACATTCTACCACCACCACCTGCTACCTTTTATCACTACCACCCAAACCACAGCTGCCCTCCATCATTGCCATTTACTTCCTCTAAGCTATTATTGTTGCCTTTTGCCACTACTAGTTTCTTCATTTCTTTAAAAAAGTATATAAAATAATATCATTAATTTAATTTATTTTGTCACTAAATAATATTATTAATTTAATTTATTTTGTCACTAAAAAATATTATGTAAAATTTAATTTAAAATTAATTTTAACCAAATCATTATTACATCAATTTATATCTCTAAGCATTATTTTTCCAATGATATTATTATTATTATTAATTTACAGAAGTTTGGGAACGGAACATTTCCTCCACGCGACATATTTAAAAAAATATCAACGGCGGCAAAGAAATCTTGCTGCGCACAGAGGAGATGGAGTGGAGTGCCTTAACTTTTTTTGATCTTTATATTTTCAATACTCCGTTCGGCTTTAAAAACCTCTTCCCTCTAAAAACGTCAAAACATTGCCCTTCTTTCTCTGTCTACACTCTCTAAAATATGGCAAACAAACTAAAAGTGGATGAGCTTCGGGACGAGCTCGCTCAACGCGGACACAGCACCACCGGAACCAAACCCACTCTGGTATCGTACCCCTCGTTCTATCTATATGTATTATATAAGTGCTATTTCTTGTCTGTTGATTGTGATGTGGCGCAGGTTCGTAGACTCGAATCGGCTATTCGCAAAGAAAATAAGCAATCAAACGATTCAATCAACGTTTCAGAGAGCAAGAAGAGACATAGGGTATCCGGAGATGGGGATTCAAATGGGGCCGAGAAAATCAAGGCGATTGACAAGTTTCGGGATATGGGAATCAAACAACTACGCGAACAAGCCACCCTTAGAGGAATTTTTACAAATGGCTCCAAGAAACAACTTCTTGAAACGCTTTGTGCCGATTCTAAGAAGGACAATCTTGAAGGTATGTAGATTTTTTGGAATTAATAGTTCTTGATACGTGGTGTATTTGGGAACTCTTTATCATGTTGTGGTAAATGGCGGCCAAAGGAAGAGAAGATAAAGATGAAGATGAAAGAAAGGAGAAACTGGTCACCGCGACCAAGAAGGGTGCGGCTGTTTTGGATCAGTGGCTTCCGGATCACATTAAGGCTCACTACCATGTACTAAAACAGGTAATTCTCATGGTTTTGACAAAAACATCAAATATGTAGTTCTGTGGGTGTGTTGTGTGGTTTTGACAAAAAACATCAAATATGTAGTTCTTGGACAAGGATCCTCTCCAGGAAAGGAGAGGTCCTGCACACCCACCAACCATTTCCTGGAGAGGATCCTTGTCCGTAGTTCTTTGGGTGCGTTTTGTGCTTTCGGAACATTTGTTTGTTTTTTATTTATATTTATTGTTACCATTGGTTTGACATTCTTTCATCTCTTTTATTTCCCTGTGCATAGGATGATGAAATCTATGATGCCATGTTGAACCAGACAAATGTTGGGGAGAACAATAACAAGTTCTATGTGATTCAAGTCCTAGGTATTTTCTCAACTCTTTTTTTTTTCATAGGTTACTTATCAACTCTCTATCTTTTTCCTAGTTTATTTTTCTTATATATATTTTTTAACCCATTGAAATGGCTTCTTAATTTGAAGAAGAGAGAGTAATTAAATCAACTTTAGAGCCTGATTTGAGGGAATTGGTGAGACACGACTATTCCAGTTTGTTATCCTTCAAGCTTTTTATAATAACAATTGGCTGGCATGGAATTATTTAACGATCTTTCTGAGTTCCAAATACAAGATTTTTTCAAACGTTGACATGCACAAATTGATATATCATGGACTTTGTCATGAACATATACGTTTATACTATATTCGACAAATAATACTAACATCTTACCCTTTGCACTCCAATAACTGGTAGCAGAATCTGATGATGGTGGTAGATTCGTAGTCTACAATAGATGGGGTAGAGTTGGTATAAGGGGTCAAGATAAGTTACATGGCCCCTTCACATCTTGGGAGAGTGCCATCCAGGAGTTTGAACAGAAGTTCTATGCCAAGACCAAGAACCATTGGTCCAACCGTAAAGAGTTCGTTTGTCACCCAAAGAGCTATACTTGGTTGGAAATGGATTACACTGAAAAGGAAGAAGAATCAGATGTGAGTTGTTCTGGTGCTAAAATATTGTCCAGCTTGATTGTTGAATACTTGACATATTAGCATTTATTTAAATTAGCTTCTCTACACTTGATTAAAATATTCCGCCCCACCCTGTTTTGTCGCACCCCCATTTCATTCCAAACAAAAGAAAGAAAAAAGAATCACAAAGCAGCACCCAAATGGTAAAGGGGCAATGTTTTTCAAATTATATTTCGTTATATAAAGTACGCTTTCAGCTCCTAATGCCCTTGACAAAGAGGGATGTCCATTTACCAAAAGTTGGTTTGTCTAACAATTATTGTTGTTACAAACTTCCATAATAAGGTTTAAATTTTGAGCACAATCTTGTCTGCTATTTTGAGATAACTACTATCAGGTCCAAGGAAAGTCTAATTCTACAATGGGAATACAACCTCGGGAGACGAAACTGGAGGCCCGTGTTGCAAAGTTCATCTCTCTTATTTGCAATGTCAGCATGATGAAGCAACATATGATGGAAATAGGTTTGCATTATCAATCTTTAAACTTGTACACTATGTAGAATGTAGTTACATAATTGAAAGAATTGGATTTTGTTTTTTTGGTGGATAACCTTACGAGTTTATCTGATTATCAACAATAATATTTTTGGTTTTTGATCATAGGAATTAAGAAATTGAATATGCTTTTAACCCATATTGCCTGTGTGATGGGTGGTCCCCTAAAAGCATGCCTATATCACAGGAATACTTTGATATGCTGTTTACATCGTACTTTTCATTTTAATTTTATGCTTTGATCATCTGTTTATCAACTTTGTTGTATGTTCTCAATTGGTTAATCACTAAATGTTCTGTTCATACTGTTATAGGGTACAATGCTGAAAAATTGCCGCTTGGGAAGCTAAGCAAATCGACAATTTTAAAGGCAAGTTTTCTGTTATGTACTCATGTTTTCCTTTAAACAATACTGTTGTGTCTGATTTAGTTTTAACATGAAAATTAAAGCTGATATACTAGTTATTATGTAACTAAAAGATTTTTCGCTTCAGAGATAAGTTAGAATGTGAAGAAACTTGAAGTTCATCAAAGGCATTGTCAAGATTTCTTAATATTTATCCTAGATCAAACATGAGCATGGAACTTCACACTGTAAAGGGACTAAACCAGATTCCTAAAGCAGATATCACACAAATTATGTGACTAAGCTACCTTAGTACCCGACCAATATTTACCTGGATTCCAGAGATATTCTGTGTGCAAATTTAGGCAAGTTGCATGGAAGGGATCAATGGTAGTAGAAATAGAGGTTTGAGATCTCGAGCGACTTTGTGTTGCTCATATTTAGCATGAGAAGGGTACACTGTGAGTAATGATCATATCTGGTCTGGAAGTTTTGGGTAGTGTCCGTCAAATCTAAAAGATGCTTGAAATGTCTGGATATTTTATTTGTTTTAAGATTATAGATTTGCTAGGTTCTTTGTGTTCCTTTATAGATCCTTTTTATTGCTCGTAGTTTATAATTGTTTCTCTCTTTTATTCATGAGGAGAATTAGATTTCTGAGGCGATCACCAGTTACGGGTTGTCTTAATTATGTACTTATCAGTTCATTCAAACTTGCATTATTACATTGGCTCTGATGGTGCTGTGGAACTAAATAGTTTTCCATCCATTGATTCCATACTTGGTACTGCTTTACTTGCTCAGCACTTCTGTTTGGCATACTACTCTCAAATCTACTTTTCAGAACAACAAGTAATTGCCACCAAATATGAATCTTAGTTATCAAATTTTCATTTGCTATGGTTGGATTTCCCATAATTTGCTTTCCCTTCTGCGTAATCGGGGGAGGGGGGAATGGGGTTTTATCAATAATATTTTCCTAAATTTCCTTCGTCCCAATCTAAGCAATTTTTTGAAATTATTGTTTCTTTTCTTTTTATAAAATATAAAGCAAGCTTTGGAGTTTCTATTATTACAAATCTATGTTTCCCCATCACTGCAGATTTGCATGCCTTCTTAGTTTCAGAACCCAAAAGATTTATCAACAAAATTCAATATTTATATTGCAGTTTTGTGTACTGCACTTTCTCACTTCATAATTTCATATTATTTTTATTGCTGAACTTCACTCCTAAAAAAAAGTAATGCTTTATTGTTCCCCTCTGTTCTGTTGAGCTGCTAACAGGCAACCTTAAATTGCTTTATGTAGGGCTATGATGTCTTGAAGAGGATTGCAGATGTAATTGGTCAGTCACAAAGGAAAAAGCTGGAGCAATTAAGTGGGTAAGAATTTGTTCATTACAATATACTTTGTGTAATGCTTGACTAAGTTTGGTTTGCAATTCCAACTGCTTTTTCAACATAATATTTATCATGTAGACATGCTTGTTTTGCTCTTTTTTCTTTCTTCTTCTTCTTCCTCTTTTTATTTTTTATTATTATTTTTTTATTGCTCATAATTACATTGAAGTTTTAATTTCTAACTTCAAGAAAATTGGTTATAACTTGTCATCATTGTTCGACAATATCTCATTTTGATAGACAATTTTGATTGCAGAGAATTCTATACCGTTATTCCTCATGACTTTGGTTTTAAGAAGATGCGTGAGTCCTTTCTATCTCTCTTACGCATGGTGACACGTGGTTTTGATGCTCATGGCAATCCATCATGGAGAGTTTTCAGAAATATTGCAACTGGCTTTACTCAACTATTGTTTTTCTTTCTTTTTTTTTTTTTTTGGGAGGGGGAGATGGTTAGTGACTTCTGATTTAACACAAAAAAATGCGTATGATGGCAGGTGAGTTTGTTATCGACACTCCTCAAAAGTTAAAACGCAAGCTGGAAATGGTAAATTTTCTTCTCTATGTTGATCATGCTTTGGGATGCCCATGTTGCCTCTGCAAGTTCTTGGTATTTATTTAATTACTTTTGGGGGGACAGTTTTTTCTAACTAACTTGGTAGCTTGATCTATGGTGATTGATGAAACATATAATCCTCATACATAACCTCTAGCGACAAATTTTTTAGTAAGATTTAATGTGTATTCTGGAAATTTATTCTGTTCATCTTAGTGGAGGCAATGATTAAATCTTCTGTTTGATTGAAGGTTGAAGCCCTTGGTGAAATTGAGCTTGCAACAAAACTGTTGACTGATGCTATTGGGATGCAGGTACTGCTTGACTGGTTTTCTCCTTCAAAATTAACTGTGTGGTGGATGCTGGGTTTTCCACCTGTTTAGATTTTTTCTTAACACAGGTTTTTAAGGATTAAAGTACACCACTGCAATAAATGGAAAATGCTGATTATCTTGCTCATATGTACCAATCAAATGGGTTGGATTTTTGCTGAAATGTATTATTGAATATCCATAATGTTCTGTTAAGCCCCAATTTTTTTGAATAGCATTTCTATTGGATTATATAAACCCTTATGTATGTTTGAGGGGTAGAGACTTGAGAGTCCTTCCACCTGTGGAGTGAGGCATCTAGTTGTGATTTATACACGTAAAGGATTTTCTTCACTCTAAAAACATGCCATTTGAGGATCCAATTATACACATTACACATACCTTCTACATTTATTATCTGTATTCCATGTGTACTCTCAAAGCATGCCATTTTAGAAAGAAAACCAAATTCATTTGACTGAGTTACTCTACAGTTTACATTTAGATCATCATCATCATCATCCTTTCCTTTATCCCATATGGATGGGGTCGCCATATGAATTCTGTTTTTTCATTCTTTCCTATTATATATCATGTCTTCACTTATAATTTTTTAAAGTCATTTTTTAGTACTTCAGCCCATGTAGTTTTGGTCGGCCTCTTAAATTATTGTAGTAGTGTAGCAACATCAAAAGCAAGTTTTACATCTCTTGTAGGGTAATGTTAGTGCTTGTATGTGGCAAGGATAATATGCAAAAGATGCTGTCTCATTTGTCATTCTACTAAATGACATGTAACTCGGTGTTTCTAATATAATTTCTTTTACTATTGTCACAGGAAGATCCCTTGTACTCTCATTACGAACGCCTTCATTGTGAATTGATGCCGCTTGAAGTTGATTCCAAGGAATTTTCTATGGTATTTATTATTTTTTCTTCTTGATGTTTTCCTTGGCTTTTGGCATTGAAAACTGAAACTTAATATTAAGCTCATTGCCTTTTGTTCCTGACCTTGCATTGACCCACAAACTATGATATGCTAGAAAGTGCCACAATTTGTTTGATTTATCCATTGGATGATCTTATCTTTGATATTGATTGGTGACGTTTCTGTTGTCCTTGCTCAGATTGCAAAATATATGAAGAACACTCATGCAAGAACACATTCAAATTATACTGTAGAAGTTGTTCAAATATTTAGGGTGTCAAAAGAGGGTGAAGGCGAACGTTTCAGAAAGGTGACAGCTACATTATGCATACAGAAATACTCTCTCATCTTATAATGGCTCTTGTAAAAAGTGTATACAGTTGCTCTTTGAATTACGTTATCTGTGAAGAAATATAATTGCGCATTTAAAGCCTACTACTTGTCTGAGCAGTTCTCTAATACAAAAAATAGAATGCTTTTGTGGCATGGTTCTCGGCTTACGAACTGGACTGGAATTCTATCCCAAGGTTTTTCATTCTTCCTTCTATAAGAATATATATACATTAAAAATTTATGCAGATTATCTGACTGCAAGTTGTGCAATAACAATCCACCAGGTTTGCGCATTGCTCCACCAGAAGCACCTGTTACAGGTTACATGTTTGGAAAGGGGGTTTATTTTGCTGACATGTTCTCCAAAAGTGCAAATTATTGCTATTCAACTCATGCAACAACGGCTGGTGTGTTGCTGTTATGTGAGGTTGTCCTTGTTCAAGTATAAAACATTAATTTCACGCATCAAGATCTCGTATTTGGATGGATTTGCAAATACATTTCACAATGTTCTACACTCATCTTTGATTTGGAATGTACTGAAATTGTCAATAGATTATTTTTATTGCACTTTTTTTTTTCATTTTTTTTTTATATAAAAAATGCCCCTAACATTGACATGCTTTACTTTGAAGGGCTGCATGTAGGCTTCCTAGAAAATTGTTGATTTATGTCTTTCTTATATTTATAGCCGCGCGTCTTATATAAAACTGTAGAACTTTCTTAGGTTGCACTCGGTGACATGGCTGAGCTGCTAACTGCAGACTACAATGCTGACAAGTTGCCAGAGGGGAAGCTAAGGTTTCATTCTCTTGTCTCTATTTCTTTCACTCAGTTGAATGTCTGATTCATGTTTACTGGACTATTGATGATGTTACATGGACTCTTATAGACAAGTGAAGTAGCCAAAATCGGGCATTCTAATTGGTATAGATATGAAATGCGTATGACATGTCTGGTTGGACATGTACCGAACAGTCATAAACTTATTATATAGTTGTACATAAAATGATAAAACTATTTTATTAGTTTACATTTTCAAAATGAGTGAACTGCCATTTTGAAAAATAAAATCACCATTTTAAGCTGAAAAATAATAGAACACTTAAATTATTTGTAAATGAAGTTACTAAAACCTGAGAGTATAAATTAATGCCTAGTTCCTCTACTAATAGTATCTCTAATCATTAATTTTTTTGAATGTTTAGCCTTGTTCCTGTATCTTTAAATTTGGGATTTGATAATCACATACTCCAGTCCATGTGAAACAAGTGGCTTAGTACTAGCCGATTATTTTATTATTATTATTTTTTTGTGCTTAATAGAATTACTTAATGAAATGGTCGAAATTATAAGATGCCCTTAGGCCTCATGTCATTGCCATATAGAATTCAATTGTTTATATGTTTCTTCTCTAATCATGACATTCATAAATAACTTTCATGGCAAAACCATGCTTTGAGTATGCACGTTGGTACAAAAATTCTGCCATCATCTGTTTCATCTTTAGTAATATCACTTTTGTTAAGTTATACTGCTAAGTATTTTTTGAGTTATGTTTTTGTAATGTTAATATTCTATGTTATGATCCATATAGTAGTCCGGCCAATATCAAGTATCACATATGTATTGCTTGGACCTTAATGTGGTTGATACCTAACATTGCAGCACAAAAGGAGTTGGTTCAACTGCCCCAGATTTCGCAGAGGTTCAAACACTTGAAGATGGTGTTGTAGTCCCCCTTGGAAAGTCAAAGGAGCAACTGGCCCCAAAGGTGCAGCTCGCCATCTCTGTAAAACATTTAGTGTATAACAGATTATATATATATCCTAAATTTTTATCTCAAATTTCTCTAGAACAATTTTTTAAGGGTGTTTGCATTGCATTGACTATCAGATTAGATGACCAAAAGATTGCATTCAAATGCTTTTGCAGGGTAGCTTATTGTACAATGAGTACATAGTTTACAACGTGGATCAGATTAGGATGCGCTATGTTGTTCAAGTAAATTTCAATTTCAAGAGATGATCATCAACGATTGTGATTTCCCATTTTTGTTTGTTCGAATTTGCTGCTCCGTTTTGCATCTATCACCGGCTGTATTGTGGTTAGGGAGCTGAGCAATGATGATTCAATTATGTAACTTATTAGTCAGTACTGCACAAAATCTGTACGGAGTATATATTATTAGAGGTAAGGTGAACTTTCAATGGGTCAGAAATAGAGAATATGCCGAGTGATTAACTCTTAAAATGGCTTAGGCATTAGGCTTATATGAATTCTTAAAAGTTTAAATCTTCTCATGTTAGTCTTTATATTTTCCACAATTCTTGTATTCTGTTCTATTGTACACAAAAATAGAATGCTTTTGCGGCATGGTTGCATTTTATCACAGGGTATTCCAATTCTTTATCTCCAGTTTGGATTTTGTTTTTTTTACTTCGCTTCTTTCTCCACTCTGGAGCAAATTTACTTTTATGATCGGATTAAATAAAAAAATGGCCCCACTTGGTATACAGAATGTTAGATGTTGAAGACTGGTCATTGAAGTTTACAACACTGCCATGCCATAGAATACCGATACTATTTCCATAATAAATGCTGCAGTTTGTTGAAATATTGGATAGCAGTGTTTTTTTTTTTTTTTTTTTGCCCCCTGGATGCTGCTTTTCTGAAATGGGCTGGTTTCCATATTTTTAACCATTTCATATTGTAGAAAATGACAATGAAAATAAAAATGAAAATGAAAATGAAAAAAAGATAGTTATATATTCTTTTCCAAACTATGAACTTTTGGTCAAGGAATTTGGACAATAATTTTGATTATTTCACTTGACTAATAAATAAATCACCCAACTATTCAATTTATTTTTAATTTAAATATGCATTTTCAAAACATAGTGTACTATTTTAATAACAAAAAATTGTACATATTACTTTAAAGATATACGAGTAATTATCATTTCAATTTGTTGGGAGTAATTTTTTTATTTATTTATATATATAAGTGGAAAAGTGAAACCAATTTCATTGAATGGAATTGGGCTATCAACGGATTCAACGAATACCTTTCTTCTAGCATGAAATACAAATGGAGTGACGTCAGTGTCAGTGTCAGATTCATAAATATTTTTCTAAAAATTGGGGTCTATTATATAATTATAGAAGCTTTCTGGGTTTCTAAGGATATACTACTTATAAATTAGTAAAACTTAATTAAATGTCACATGAAAAAATAATAATAATTAATTAAAAAAATAATTCTCTCTCTTGCTTTGTTCAACATCGAACGCCATACAAGGGAGAGAAGAAGAAGAAGAAGAAGAAGAAGAAGAGGAAAAGAAGAGAAAAGGTAGGAAGAAGCATCGCGCGACATCTAATTGACCAGGTATTTAATTTTTTTAAGTTTTAGGATTAGAGTTTTTCTCCATCTGTTCTTCTTCCTACTAATGTTTGGGTTATGATTGATGACTGATGGATGCTTATTTTGAGCAATTTCACTTTGTAAATTGTTACAATTATTGATTTCTTGAATGATGAAATGAGTTCTTATCATATCCTGACCGAGTTTGTAAACTGGATGTATAAAGAGCGAGCAACCTGTGGGTTTATTGGGTGACATTTTCCTTCCCATTTTTATGGTGATGGAATTAGAATACATCTAGTCAAGTTAGTGTTGTAAAAGTGATTCAACTATGTTATTTTTATGTTTCTACCAAGGATTTAGCATTGGTAAGTACTGGCAGAGTTACTAAATTTGGAATTGGGGCAGGGTATAATTTTAAATTAATTTGGATGTAAATAATTTGGCTGAAAAAACTCAGGATAAATTCCGAAATGTTTATGTACTTCTTCTGTTGTTTTGATAGAGAAATTTGGGGAATTTGTTTAAATTTTTATGGACTTATCTCCTTGTACATGAAACAAATCATTTTTCCAAACTCCTATATATATATATATATATATATATATATATATAATATAATTGAAAAATAGGTACTAAATGTTCTTGCTCTTTTTCCGCTTTTCTCTTTTGCAGCAGTAGATAGACTTAGTAGTCAACCCCAAACCCGTTGTGAAAAGGTTGTTGAGTTGTGTTGTGGCATTAAGTAGAATGAAGAGGTTTATATATATATATTTTTTCCTAGTTGGTACTCACACACTCTCTTCTGAGACTTGAACCCCTGACCTCCCTTTGGGAAGTAAGATGCCGATACCGCTAGACCACTGGCCCGTTGGTTTATTGCACAGTGGTGCAGTGGTTGAAGTTCTAGCTGTTTAGTATAGGATAACAGAATTGAGTCTGAGCAATCTTTTTGTGCAAATTATGCCAAAGTGTACGTCAGTACTTGGTTCACTTCTGCTGTACCATTGACTAACAGGGACCACATTGGGTAATGGCTTTTTATTAAGCAATGACTGAAATTAAGAAGTTCAGGGAAAATTTTATTCATTTGAGAATAATTTTTCACTACCCAAAATAAAATAAATAAAACCAGTAATTTATTTATTTTTATTTTTAGATTATTTTGATTTAATTACTAGAAATATTCCTTTTTTTTTTTTTTTTTTTTTTTTTTTTCGACATTTCATGCATTAAAAACTTAAAGAAGGAAAGAGATAGTTGTCAAATGAGGGCTCAGTTAAAGTGGTTTTGTTCATCTACTTCTGATCTGGCCTTGGTGACAGAAACGACTACTATTTCAAAAAAAGTAATAAAATGGATTGACAAAGTCTGTTTCGAAGTTGGATTCTTGCGTTTCCAAGACACTTTCTTACGGGCTCCCAGGAACCCCCCCTCTATGACTCCAGAAAGTCACACTTCGGAGTCTGTTACTCCCCCATAGTCTCGAGCGCTCTTTTGCCTGAAGGAGTGAATCTGGCTCCAATGAGTTTTTATCCATGTATTTATCTTTCTATTTCTCTATGCACTTATGTGTTGTGTAAAAAAGGGGAGAGATGGAGAGAGAGATGTGCGGATTCCCTTGGCTCACCCAATTTTCTGTTGATGATTTTTCTTTGTTGAATATCATTAAGAGATGTTAGCAATATCTCATATGTGGCAAAAGAAAAGGATCTAATTCGGTAGAGGAATTTAGCTAAGTACTTGTATCGGGGCGACCATGCGGGTATGTGTTTTTGTGTCAGACATCCCTAATTGCAAATTTTAGGATATAGGGACTCGGCTTGAAATGTGTCTAAAACTTAGATATGGGTACATGGACACATTTTGCATACTTAAAAACATAATGTGCTACTTAAAATGTAATATATCATACTATTTTCTTTTTGTTTTAAAAAAATACTCAATAATAATTTCCGTTATCCTAGTTAGAGGATTTAGATATCCAATTTGGGTATGTTTGTTGGATACATATTTCATTCATACTCATGTCCATGTCATGTCATGTTGACACGGATACGATGAGAAGAACAGGAGAGTCCAGGTAACATAGGTCTTACCGATCATTTTCATTTTTACATTAGTTAGCATACTAACTGTTCAGCGATATATGGACTCTCTGTAATGACCTTTGCTTATGTTGTATGTGTTACTGTCGTGGCCGACTTGTAAATATTGGGGTTCTGTATTTTTATTTTTATTTTTTGTAATAAAGAATTTCAGGCATTTCCTTATTTATGAGTTCATCATGTATTTCTTAGTGAGCCCACATGCATCTAACCTATATTTCATTCAGATTCTTGCAGTTTTAGGTTTTCTGACTACCTTGGGAGAAAGAGTACTTGCTGCATTGCCACTGTAATTGTTGTTTAATTGAGATAAACATGGCTGAGCGGCAACCACTTGATCAACAACATCCACTTGATCTACCGCTTCAATCTTCCATTCTACCAAGAGAGGACATGATTGGCTGTGTGATGGCACTGGAGGCTGCTTTGCTTCCATGCTTGCCCGCAAGAGAGCTCCAAGCAATAGATCGATCTCCTCACCCTTCTCATCAGAGTGAGTAATTATTTGACTGATTTTCTTATGTAAATCACTGGTACAAGCCTGCGAACTCACACCATTAATAATTACACTAATTGCTGACTTTAATGTCTACTTGTCACCAGGGGCGGAGCCAGGAATATTACTTTAGGGGGGGCCGAACTTGTATTATGTTATTAAATTTAATATATTTTTAAACCAATTGGATTATAATAATTTTGTATATAATATATAGTCATAGTACACATGCCTTACAAAATTCAAAAATTTAAAAAAATAAAAAAAAATGCAAACTAAATCAAATTTTCTTCAGGAATTGTTTTAATTTTTTTAAAAACATTTTGAGTACTTTGTTTTTGCTCTAAAATATATGTATATCATTATTACCTTGATGAAAGATTAAGAAACAAAATAATTTTAATCAAACAAAGTTTCCCAAGTTGTAAGAGAACAAAATTATTTCTTTAGTAACTTATACAAGAAGTAGTCATTCAAATTGTCATTTAGCATGTGACAATTAAAGTATAAGTATATATATATTTTAAGAAAGGACTACAATAATAATGAACTTAAATTTTGTTTCACAAGATTTGTTCTTTCAAGGGCATGGTTAAAATGGTCCAAATTAAAATTTTCTAATGGCACAAGTTAAATTCATTTTCAAACTCTTTATTTTATGGCCAATATGTGTGTTTTGAAAAAAAAAAGAAAGAGGGGGGCACCCCTGGCTCCGCCCCTGCCTGTCGCACTCGAACAGTTTTTCTCAATGAGATACTATTTTCCCACTCCTATAAGCATAGTATCTACTGTACATTTATTAAATAGTCTGGTTACGACACCATTAGTTGCTGTTTTTATATTGACTAGATTTGGGAACATTTTCATTAGTAAATTATATTTTTTTACTAGGATGTATCTCGAGAAGAGTAATGTGAAAAGAGATCATTTCTAATTATAACATTGCAGGATGAGTAATTAATTGAATATCAAGAATTGTGGTGAATAAGTGGAAAGTGTAAACTGTTGGAATTTGAAAGGAGTGATTAATAAAATTCCTTGTTGAGAACGTCGAATGAGTGTGTAGGTCTGGAGAAAGTTGTAAGATATTTCACCATTTTTTAAAATTCACAAGAAGATGTTTCTTTGCAACATTTGTGATTTGAATGATAGTTGCTGTCTCAAGCTGGCTATCACGAGTTTTGAGCAAGATTATATATTTGGGACATTCGAAGCAATAGGCGGAAGATCAATACAAATTGGAGTGTACCGGTTTCCTTTGGGAATGTAGGAGTTTGGTGATATACTTGGCTGTGTATTTAGGTTAAGCCTACCTTTACTTATCCGGTGTTGGAACTTGGAACTATTGATATGTGAAGGTGGTTTTCGTGTGATTTGGTTCTTTGCTTGAAAAATAATCTTCTGCCTTTACTGAAAAGCTCATTGCTCCAACTTGAACAGTAATCATAATTGTTATAATCTAGATAATCCATGTGCAGATTCATTTTAGCTGTATGAAGCACCAAATTTCAAGAATCTTCTTTAGTTAACTCATTTTGTTTGTTTGTTTTATTTTGCTTTTCCTCTCTGACCGGATTTGATACTGGCATTCCAACGTTTCAAAGAAGTCGAGGGAACTAAAGAGCATTTTAAGTATTAGACGGTGGCAATTGAGACTTGAATTTATGCAGCTCTATACATTTAAAGGTTAAGATCAGTAAAAAATATATATTTTTTAAAAACTACTTATACGTTGATTGGTGGATACAAGATGGAAGATTGTGGAGAAATTTTGCATAAGTAGGCAGTAAATATTTTAAACATTACAAAACTATTTGGAGTTTGTTGTCGAGAATATTTTGACAGTGGGTGGGAATTTTGTGTTAAAAAAATGCTAATCTATAGCAAGGAGTGAATTGTTAAAAAGCGTATGCTTTGGCAGTAAATCACAAGTTAGGAGGAAAACATCTTATTTAAAATCATTTTAAATAGAAAAAAAGAAGGGAATATAACCAAAACAAACAATACAAATATTATCAGTATAGGTCGTTGATTCAATAAGGCCAGCAAAGTTAATGGACCATCTTGCATTCATATAGTTTGCCTCAAAGAATGATTATAGCAGACAACTTAGGCAAGCCTACTCAACGAATCTAATAAGTTGGAACACATGCAAGTCAGATATTTCATCATTTTTTAAGGGTTACAAACTTGTATTCTTATAGATTTAAGATCCTTGGCTGTAACCATTTTAGGGGCTGATTGGGCCAACCATGTAAATTCCGTGTTTCTGGTGAACCGACTGTTCGTGGGATATTCTTATCATGGCTGCAGACTAGGATATTATTATGAGCCGTCATTTTTTTATTTTTTAAGTAGGATGAAAAATAAAAAGGGTAAACTATCACCTAACTTGAGGTATAACATAATTACACAGGCCTCCCTATTGATTCAAAATTATAGGGGACTCCGCTGAGGTTAGTACTTTGTAATAGAACACCTTAAACGTTAGTCAAAGGTTGAAATTTGTTTATATATATATAATTAAGTTACAAAATACTGAAATTTCCCTTTTACCTTTCAGCTTAACCCCACTTTTCAACTAAAATAAATTGATAACCGTTGAGGGAAAAAAAGTATAACAACATTCTTTTTTAATGCTGTCCAACAGAAATTTTGACGGGGATGTCAGTAAATTTTTTGAATCAGCAGAGAAGGTACTTGTAATTATGTTATGTTGTACATCAGGTGAGGTGAGTTTAATTACCTAAATAAAATAGTTACCTCTTTTACACAATAGTACGTTGGATTTTAAAGAGCAATATTGAATATACAGGATGCATAGAAAGATTTGTGACACTTAGCTCAATCTGGTAAAGTGCACCAATCTTAAGGATCTGTTGGAGTAATTGTGGATTCAACACAGATGCTGCGAACAGGCTAATGCTATGCAAGCTGTTTGTTTTTAGATGAGGCCTTAAACTATCCACTTTTGATGTTGGTTACCGTAGTTGTGGCTGCATGATGGGAGTTATTGTTGGGATGGGAATTGGACAGGCACTTGAATATATTTTAGATCTCTAAGAGAAACTTTATAGGAAATTTTTATGTCTCATTCATAAAATGTTGGAGATAAATGTAATACTGAGTTATAGATTTCTGTCAAAATTGTTTAAGGGATAAACCTGCATTTCGATGGTCTTTCTGTATACTCTGTTATGAAACTTCATGGCTGTCTTACTGAATGTCATAGTGAATGAACTTTGAATCAAGATAAGTTCTCTCAAAGTACATGCTTAATGTAATTTCAACATGCATTTTGGTGTTGCTAGAAGAGATGATTCTTCTTTGATTGCTGCAGTTGATGTTGAGAGGCATGCTAGAGATTTCATGGAAGCTGCTAAAAAACTTCAACTCTATTTTATCGGTCTTCAACGTGAGGATCAGCCAACCAAGGCAGGAACCCTTCAAAAGGTAATTTGCAGGTCACAATATGATAGAACGTTTTATGTATTTGTTCTTCTATTGCACAGATTTTTCAGACTTCAATGAAGTTATTTCTATAGGGTTATGTGTCATATTCTTAATAGGAGATTGCCGCGATGGAAGACGAGTTGAAGATTAAGACTGAGCTTATCAAGAATCGAGAAAGACTGATTCAAGGGTGGAGGAAGGAGTTGAAAGACCAATTGGACAAACACAACACCGAATTAGAGAGAGTGTAGTCAGTCCCCAATGTATTGGTGGACCACTGGCTAATGCCTTAGGATTAATGATTTTATGTACTTGCCAATGTGAAATCATCACTCTAGCTTTTAGATTTGATTATGACTAAACTATTCTTGAATCTGGACCAATTGTGCAAGGGATGTCATTATCATTATGTGGATTTGCCTGTGAGTTGTGAAAAAGGGAAAAAGTTGTCCTTTTGGGCAAGGGTTGTCAAGGAGGTGTTGAGCTCTCCTTTGGTCGTGGTGTGAGCATCCTGCTCATAGTTTTTTCCAAAGTTTTGTAGGTTGTTTGTGTAACCTTTAGCATATTGGTCACTTGTCCGTAATTAAGCTACTTTAGAGCAAGTCCAATGGTCCAAAATCCAGAGATTTTGGGCCAAATTCCGCAATTGGACTCCTCCAATGGACTCGCCAGAAATTAGGCTCCACCCATTGGGTTGGGGAATGGATTGCTGAAAGCAGCGACCCCTTCGGCGATTCGTCTCAGTTTTCTTTTATTTTTTTAATTCTAGCCCAAACAGTGTTTTATCCCATAACACTGTTCCTAAGGGCATATTTGCCTAAAAAAACAAAAGAAGGAAAAAAACAGATTTTTGGCTTCTTTTTGTGTCCTTTCTTTTTTTTTTTCCTCAAAATAATTGAACCAAATAGCCGTTAAGGCACTGTTTGGCTGACCCAAACAGTGCCTTAAAGGCTTTTTTAGGCAAAAAAAAATTTTAAAAAAAATAGAGAAAAGTGTTTTTCTTTTTTAAATTTACTTTTAAAAATATTCATACTGAAATATAGCCATTTTAGGCACTGTTTGGCTGATCCAAACAGTGTCTAAACGGCTATATTGGCACAAAAATCTATTTTTTGAATTTATTTTTTTTAAAAATAATTATATATATATTTATTTATTTAAAAAAAAAACCTTTCATTTTTTATTTCAAATGATATTAGAAACCTTTCATTATTTATTTCAAATATGATTATATATATATATATATATATATATATATATATATATATATATATGTCTTTGTTTTCATTATAATTTAATAAATCAAATGATATTAATCAAGATTTCATACATATTGGCTAAATAATTTAATCAACAAATAATTTAATTATTTATTTCAAAATAAAACATTACACAATAAATATTCTATTACATAAACTTCATAACAATTTAAAAATAAAATAATGCAACATAAATTAAAGTGCTTCACCAAAGTGGTTCCACAAATTTTCAATTAAAAAAATATATATTAAAAATTTTAAAAATATTAATAGTTTTGAACAGCGAAAATGTACCATTAGAATACATGCGATAGCTAAAATTTGGAGACTCTGAAAAGCAATGGCTATAGAAAATGCTGACATGGCTATAGAAAAATGTTGATGTAACAAATTCGGAGAGCCTAAATTTGGAGAGTCCATTGAAGATGTTTTTAGTCATTATCAATTCCAGATCCACTGCGAAGTGAGGAGTTCTTGATATTTTTTTTATTGATCACACATTTGCTGTTAATTAACTTGACTAAGGTGTTATTTGATAAATCAATTCAGCACCTTGACATGGCACCATAAGCGCCACCTTGATATCGCATGATTGGCACCACTATCAAAAACTCAGCACCCACCTTGATATCGCATGCCAATCACCACTATCGAAAACTCAGCACTTAAAATTCAGCTGTAACGGTTTTTAGATTACACCTATGGAATGTTATTGAGTGCATTCATCTAAATCGGTTACACGAATGAAATGTAATTGAGTGGTTGGTATGGGATACATGAATTACTTTATCCAAATCCTTCTGTGAGTTGAAGAAAACCTATATGGAAAGGATGCCGCAGATTTGTTGACAAGCACTGGACATTCGGAATAAAACACGATATATAAGACATTTGCAGTTGCAAGTCACAAACAAGAGACCAAACCACTGGAATCCAGGTTGCAAAGAACTTTGGAAAACACGAGAATCAAACATAATTCACTAGGGTTGCTACCCTAAACAGAATCCTTGCAATGCATTCATTCAATTAAACAGGCTGTGGTAGAATACCAATTTAAAATAAATAAATTAAAATAGGCCAGAAACTTCCAAAACAGTACTCAATCTAATTTAATTTTAAGGGGGGAAATATAAAAAGCTAGAAAAACAATAACTATTGATAAGAGAAAAAGAAGGCACTCAGAACTACAATGGTACACAGATTAAAAGGCCTCTTTCGCAACATAGGATGAAATGAGAAACACCTAATGAGCAATACATGATATATCTACTTTTGATGATTAACATCCTTTTAGTCAATGCTCCATGAGTGCATCTTTTCTTCTCTCCTTTTTTTTTTTCCTTCAGAAAATGGTAGGATCGGAAGATCATCCATCTATTTCTTTGCATAGGTAATTAGCATAGGGTTATCTGGTGTTATTGGGAAGCCCTGGAGTCCACGCAATGCGGTACAGGATTGTGTCTCATCCCCATACTCGACAAAGGCAATTCCTGGTTTTGCTTCCACCATTCTAACTTCCTTAAAGCCGGGATAATGGTAAAATAGCAGTTGCAGCATCGTTGGAGTTGTCTGATGAGGAAGATTCTCAACAAACAATATGTTATTTGGTGGAGCTGGAGGCTCTGGCACTGCTGATTTTGCACCACCCAGATATACCTGTGATAACTGCACCATATTAGAGAGAGAGAGCAGAGGGGGAGGGGGAGAAGTCATAGAAATATATAATTAAAAACTAGAAGTACCTAGAAATAAATACAAAGAACAAAACTTACAAGGTATAGCCATAGTCCCTTGATAAATTTGTGAGACAAGAACAAGTTGCATCCATTTAAAGCAAAAAATAAATATGACAACTCTCCATCAATGTCACCAGCAAAATCTCATGAAATCATTGCATCCAGAAACAAATTCAACTGCCCTTTATTGGGAATCATAGAAAAAGGAATCATTCCAGGCATGAGGCAGCCAATGTGCCATACATCATGCTGACATTAATTTTGTTTTAAATTGTAAACGGTCAAAGAAGGCCAAAAGTGGAAGTCACTGATGCTTTGGTCATTCAGTTGACTCCTTGCTGCCAGTCCGTGCTTGCTGTCATGCTGGCAAACATAAGCTGCTAAGGGTGGGACTTGGGTGGGCCTAACACGAGTCCCACCCGAAAAATTTAAGAGCATGGGCTGGTATTTGAAATCATGAAACTGGGACAGGGTTTAAATCTTAGAGCTCGAATTTATTTTGGGTGGGATTTGGTCAAAGGTTTCACCAAAAAACAAGAAAAAATATTATTATATATATATTTATGACTAAATATTATTTAATATAAAATAAGGTTAAGGTTTAAATTGGATGACTTATTCTTTGGTGGCATAATATTATTGGTAGTTATTAACCTAACTTGTGACACAATTGTTTTACAAGTTTGAAGTAAAATTATAATAATTGATAGTTAAATTTATACATAAAAAATCTCTGAATGAAAATGAGAGTTTTGAGTTAAAAATAACCTTATTCAAGGTACATTTTAAGTTACTAGAGTGTTTTAATGTATAAATTTTGAATCTTTGAATGAAAATGAGAGTTTTGAGTTAAAAATAACATTAGTCAAGGTACATATGAAGTCATTAGAGAGTTCTAATGTATAAAGATTTAATCTTTGAACGAAAATGAGACTTTTGAATTAAAAATAACCTTAAATTCTACTAATCAAAAAAAAAAAAAAAAAACTCTTAACTTCTAATACAAAGGAATATTGTTGAATCTCACAAGCTTGCGTAGTTTTATTTCAAGGTAACTGTCAATGGTTTCAGTATGTAATGCATATACTATAGCAATTTTCTTTTCAATTTTTTTTTGTCTAACTTTCTATTTATTAGTGGGTTATTAAAATTTTGAACAAACAGAGCAACCCACATAACCCGTACAGGACTTTGGGCTTGGCAACGACTGAAGTGTTAGTCCCGCCCCAACCTGCTTGAGTCCCACCCCTATATGCATCAGTTGTGGAAAACTTCTGAACCAATATTCAGATATCACTACCCATTAGCTTAAGCATCAAATGGAAATGATATCTTCCCCATTTGTGTACATCTGTTTCCCTTCCTAAGAAATTCACCAATTCAAACAGATTTTTTTCAATAAATGTCAAGCTATGTACACCTCTTCTCTTTATTATATTTCAATTTTATTATATTCCATGTTTACCTCCTTCCTTTGTCATTTATTCCTCTATTTTGTAATTGCTTAGTCAAAAACCAGACTCCTAGAAACTATCAAAAAAAATTCCAACCAAATGATCTCAGTATATGTTTCAAGTTAAAAGTGACCCAACTAAAAACTAATAATCTACCATATTTAGAATCAGAGTGATCCTCATCAAAATATATAGATGCAAATTTAGTGAAGTTAATTCTAAATTTTTTTCATAACGATTCCAGAAGTGATCCTTAGAAAACTGAAAACATTCTTACAGGAGGTGTTGGACCATAGGCACTAGGAAAAGCAGGATTCAGACCCATTCCAGCTTGATTAGCATCATGTTGGTCTTTTCGCTTCCTCCCTAATGCACAAGAGAAACATATTAATATACATGAGGTATATATGCGTAGTAAGAGAGAACAAAATGCCATATATAAGGAAACCAAATCTTTAAATCATATTACAGATGTACCATCTTGTCATCACATTTTCCCCAAATTTCATGCCTCTTACTTCTTTTTCCTTTTATTAAAAAAGCAACAGTTTTCATTTTTCTCGGTGACAATTGTTCAGTGTTCTTTCTTGCAACAGACAGAACAACAGAAAATTTTCCAGCAACTTCCTCACTTAGATATGGAAAACTTTCAGCAATTAGAACTCCTTATGACTTCTTGTCTCCCTTCCATTTCCTCTTCTATTCACAAAGAAATGAAATACCATCCTTCCTAAAATATACAAGGGGTTTTCTAAAAGAAATAAGACAGAAATAGACATGGTAGATGACATCTTCATCCAAAGATTTAAACCAAAATTGGTGATTACATGCCATTAACTATGGCCAGTTCATTTACAGTTTCATTTCACGGGTACAGTTGTTAGATTATACAGTCTTCTTAATTTCTATAAAGGCATGATTACTAATTCAAAGAACAATCAGAGTTATTAAAATCACCACGTTATCCACTGCTATTCTCAGCCAAAAAAAAAAAAAGAATCAAGTGGGATAAAATCAAATCCCAAAAGTTAAGAGAAGAGGCAGAGAAGTTTTCCTCAAGCTTCAAACTGACCCCAGCAGGAGAAATGGGGCCTTAAAGAATATCGTTTTCCCAGAAAATTTATCAACAATTGCCCAGTGGCTTGGGATTTCTGAAGTTTATTGTCGGGCTTACATGGGGTGCTGTGGGTTATGCCTCGCTCCTCGTGAGGACTGATTGAGGCTCGGAGAGGGTGTATAGTGGGTGCCCAAGCTCGTGATTTTTGGAGGTCAACGCCCTTGTGTGTTTGGTGGTGCTTATGGCTTGAACATAATAGGAGATCTTTTGAGGGAGCGGAGTCTTCTATTGGGGTGCTGAAATTTTCTATTCTTAGCTCTCCTTTTTGTTGGGTTCTAGGAAGAAATTGTAAATCTACGGTGGGAGATAGTTGATTTTTTGGACTCTATGAGAGTTTAGGGGCCCTATTAGGCCTTATGTAGCTTTTGCGGGATGTGTTCCCCGTTTGAACGTTTTCTATTACATCTTTACTTATCGTGAAAAAAAAAAAATTACAAACATTTTAATCAAACATAAAAAGAGAAACAAAAATTATTAGATAATGCACAACATTGACATACCATATCAGCAAGCACCTAAGGAAATAATGATGTAAAAGAACAGTGGATAAGGGCAAGTTAGAGAGAGAGAGAGAGAGAGACTGTTGTTATCTTGTCAAAAGACTTTTGGAGTAAACGTAATAATAATGTAGTGTTCTAAGAAACTTTTAGAAGAAAGAAGGAAATAGTGGAAATAGGTGAACGGGATATTATCTTCAGTCAACTTCCATGATGATGCACAAAGATGTTGCAATCTCATAGTGCATAAGTATTCTGGAGGGCTATGTGATCATTGCATTATCATCACATAAGGAAAACTTTAATGTAGTGGTAAAATGAGAGAAAGTTGGCCAACCTGGGGCATTACGTACAGCAACACTGCTGCAATTTAAGCAGTGTTAAAAAAAATGTATTAAAAAAAAATTCTCAATTGAGAGCATAAATTTCATGGATAAAGCAAAATGGTGAAAGAGGGTCTATGTAGCCAAACTAAATTGCAGTACGAAGGCTCTTTCTGATGCAATTGAGTACAGCTAGTTCTAAGTGAAGCACCATTTATGTATGTTTTAGATTTTTAGTTCAATGACAGCGAAGATAATGTTTAAAAGATAACTCAAATACAGTTTCTTCTACTTTGGCATCCTCTTTTTCCAACACGCCACCTATTTGAGCCCTTCAAGTTTTGAGCCTTTACTAAAACCCCAAAGGATTTTATGTTTTATCTTATTGATAGGAGTTGCCTTGTGCTATAGCCATTGAGGTCTTGTGTGGTGCCATGTGCTTATAGTCTTGAGCAGCTATTTTTTCCTTGTGTTTGTAGCCTTCTATTTTTACTTCACATTTCATGTTTTTTTTTTTTTTTTTGATAAGTAAAAATATATTAGAAAGACGTTCAAAAGGGGAACACGTCCCTAATACACAAAAACGAAAGAGCAAAATTTACTTCACATTTCTTTTGGGCTGTGAATATGATTACCTCACCATTCTTTTAAGTCAAGAGAGTAGTTTTCTGCACATCAACATCCTCTTCAACTTACATAACCCAAGAGGTCATTTTCCGACTTCATGTTGCTAACTTACTATTCTTCCATATTTTTTTTTTTTTTTTTTTTGAAAAGTAAGATTATATTGAAAACGCTCAAAAGGGGAGCGGAACCCAAACAAACACAAGGGCCAAAAGGCGCCTTAAACCTTCAAAGAGGCCAAGAAAACAATAATCTCCTCAATAAATCTATAATCTCTCCCTGAGACTCAACAAAAAAGAGTGGAAATGATAGAAAACTTAAGCATAGAAAAAGGTTTCTCTTTTCCCTCAAAGTATCTTCGATTTTTCTTGAGCCAAATGCACCACCAAATACAAAGAGGTGTAGCCCTCAAGGCATCCTCATTATAGCCCTAACAGAGACACCTTTCCAAGCCTCGATCAACCCTCTGGAGGAACAAGGCATAACCCAATAGACACCAAATAAACCAAGCATCAAATCCCAACAGTCTCTGGCTAAGCTACAATGCAAAAGAAGGTGATCAACTGTCTCCTCATCGCACAAGCACATATAACATCGATTGATCACCACCTGATTCCTCCTCAAATTATCCTGGGTTAAAATCTTACCCAGGACGGAAGTCCAAGCAAAGAAGGCTACCTTAAGGGGAGCCTCAGAACGCCAAAGAGACTTCCAGGGGAAAGGGCCTCCGATGCCAACCAAAAGACACCTAAAAAAGGACCTAACTTCGAAACGGCCCTAAGAGTTAGGAACCCAAAACCAACAATCCGATTCCCCACCAGTGATCACCTGGCAATACAGAACCTCTAAAAAACGAATAATCTCCTCAATCTCCCAGTCCTGAAAGTGCCTCCCAAACTGAACATCCCAAGTCAATCTCCCGTTATCAAGGTGATAACAGTCAACCACCATGGCCTGTCTGTGAGAAGCAATCCTATAAAGCCGTGGAAAAGCGAGGGCAAGGGGAGTCTCCCCACACCAAAGATCCTCCCAAAATCTGATCGTCCTGCCATCCTTGATCTAAAAACGAACATGCTTGCAGAAAACGTCCCACCCCCTTAGGACCACGCACCTTAAGAGAGCACCACCCACCACTGCTCTCCCCAAACTTGCTCGCGATAACTCTCCTCTAAAGCCAATGCCTTTCAATCCCAAACCTCCAAAACCATTTACCAAGGAGGGCCTTATTGAATGGCAATAAGCTCCTACTCCCTAAGCCTCCACTCCGAATCGGACGACACACATGATTCCACCGAATCAGATGATACTTGAACTCCTCTTCCCCCTCCCCCCCCCCAAACCCAAAAAAAAAAAAAAAAAAAGAAAGTTGCACTGCAATCTCTCAATTCTCTCAGCCACTGACGAAGGAATCTGAAAGAGATAGATGAAATAAGTGGGGAGGCTAGAAAGGTTTCTCTTAATTAGAGTGACCCGACCCCCCTTGGAGAGGTACTGCTTTTTCCAACCCGCCAACCTCTTTTCGAATCTGTCCACAACCGGATCCTAGCTCCCAAAGGCAACCCTAAGTAAGAAATGGGAAAAGAGAAAGAGCGACATCCAAGAATCTGAGCAAACATCTCGATCTCAGGAACATCCCCCACAAGCACAAGAACGCTATTACCAATATTCACCTTAAGACCAGAGACAACTTGAAACCAAATCAAGACACATCTCAAATATCTCAATTGGGACGCATATACATCACAAAGCACTAAAGTATCATCTGCAAACATCAAGTGAGAGATCTCCAATTGACTAGTAACATCCCTACCCACCCGAAAACCTCTAAAAAAACCCAACTCCACCGCCCCCTTCAACAATTTGCTAAGAGCCTCCATCACAAAAAGGAACAAGAAGGGAGAAAGCGGATCACCTTGTCTCAAACCCCTCGTACAAGAGAAAAAAACCCATCGGGGCTCCATTCACAAGGACAGAGAAACAAGCACTAGAAATGCAAAAAAGAATCCATCTCCTCCAACGCTCACCAAACCCCATCCTCTCCAATAAGTAGAGGAGGAAGCTCCAGCTCACATGGTCATAAGCCTTCTCAATATCCAGTTTGCATAAAACACCCGGAACCCCACTACTCAAACGGGAGTCTACACATTCACTTGCAATAAGAACGGAATCCAAAATTTGACGTCCTCCCACAAAGGCATTCTGAGAGTCAAAAATGATGCCATCCATAACCTTTCTCAACCTAGTGGCCAAGACTTTAGCAATCAACTTATAAAAACAACCCACTAAATTGATAGGGCAAAGATCCCTAACATCCATCGCCCATCCCTTCTTCGGTATAAGAGCAATAAAAGTGGCATTCAAACTCTTCTCAAAAGAGCCCTAATCATAGAAGGCGTGAAAAGAGCCCATCACCTCCTCACGGACCACCTCCCAGCACTCCAAAAGGAATCTCATAGAAAAACCATCTGGACCTGGGGCTTTATCCCCATTACAACTCTTCAAAGCAGACAAGACTTCCTCCTCTGAAAATGGCTCTTCCAGAACATAGCACTCTTTACTCGAAATAGAGTCAAAGTGAAGCCCTGCAAGCAAAGGCCGCCAACCAGCTGGTTCAGCGAACAACCTCGAAAAGTAATCAGTAAAGCCCTTGCAAATCTCCTCCTCCTTACAAAACATCACCCCCATCCACCCGAATCCTCTTAATGTGATTGCCCCTTCTGTGAGCATTTGCAAGTCTATGAAATTTTTTTGTATTATTGTCGCCGTCCTTGAGCCACAAAGCTCTAGACTTCTGCCTCCACGAAATCTCCTCCATAACAGTAATCTCAGCAAACTCTGTCTGACATTCCACCCTCCTAAACTTCAAGGGAACCGGCAAAAGGCCCTGACCCTCCATCCTATCGATATCAGCAATCTCAGAAAGAACCCGATTCTTCCTCCAAGTCAGATTTCTGAAAACCTCTTTGTTCCAAACTTTAAGATCATTCTTCAAAAGACGTAGCTTTCCGGCGAGAGAATGACTAAGAGTACCAACCACTCCATACCCCACCCACCAGGATCGGACTCGCTCCAGAAAACCCTCAGCCCAAAGCCACATATTCTCAAATCTAAAAGGGGACCTTCTGCTCCGCATCCCACCACAATCCAACATCCACCAAAAGAAGTGGATGTTCCAATGAAACTTGATAATCAAGGGATAACGGGGGGCAAAAAACCAATGGAATGAACTTCCTAAAGAGGGGTGCTGTCAGTATTATTACTAACTAAATTTTAGACAACCAACCCTTGCATCTTATTTGCCAAGTCACACTTGATAGAAAGAGCTCATGTAGCAATACAAGAAAAATCTCTCACCTCATATTATAATGTATTGGTCTGTGCACCAAAGAAGTCCATTACATGCTTTAGTACTAGCAAAAAAGTTTAGCTTTATTTTCGAATCTCAAGTGTTTAAGCAAACGCTTGTTTTGATTATTGAGTAATAATTACTTTATGTCTGCTTGTTCAGCACCAAAAACATGGTGGTTTTATCCCATCTAATGAGAGAATCAATGCTTTACAATGTGGAATAATCATGTCAGAATCAACTGGATCTCGCTTCCAAGTTTCCAACACTAGATGTTTCTCATTATGTATTCTTCTCTTACTCGTAAACAAAGTACATTTATTTATTTATTTATTTTGTTCAGGTAGTACTCACACACGCATTGCCCACGCTGGGGCACTAACCCCTCCCCTCCTCTTTGAGGGTGAGGGTAGGGAGGTTATACCACTGGTCTAATGGCCCATTGGTAAGGTACATTTATTTTTTATTGTAATAATGTCAATACTTATTTGGGGAGCAAATGTTACATAGGTTCTTGCCATTGTCAATCAAGTATATGATCCAACAAGATATCTTTCTAACCAAATGCTCATTATTCTATGAATTATTGAATGTCAATGAAAAGTAAGGATTTACACGTATCTTGTGTAGGAACGAATGTGATTCTTACATAAGATTCAAACAATATTGACTTATCCAAAAAAAAAAAAAAAGATTCTAACAGTATTGGAATAGTTCAAAACTTCAAATTGATTCCTTTAAGATCTATAAGGTCTCAAGGCACTACTCCATAAAATGGTAGAAAAACAAAAAGTATATCTCGGAGTGCACATAATATTGTGTAAAAAGAATATCTTACCTCTCTCATCGTGCCTCTTTTTTCTTTCTCGCGGAACAAAAGTACCATCAGCTCTTGCTACGATATCCGATTTTGTTTTTGCATATTGTATCCTCTGTGTAAATTACATATTATTTAATCATTTTGGGAACTGGAAGAGTGATTAATAGAAGAAAAGGAACATCATAAAGTTATAATATATAGGAATAATTCATACAATTCCAGGAATATAATGAGAAATAAAAAGTACGGAAAATCGTTCATTGTGTTTGATTGAACAATACTACAATACAAAAATATGCTAAATAGGAAGCCCCAGTAGCATCAAATGCAAGATAAGCCCATAAGAGCAGAAAATAATATCCAAGTGGAAGTCAAATTCATATCTGATGGAAGGATCAAGCACGCATCAACAATTAGGTAAAATAAAATTTGATAGAACCTAAGCTATAAATGAACTGTTTGACAACCGATAGTCAAATACCAATAGATTAATGCTTTAATTCTTAAGTTTTTTTTTTCATTCACAAATAATAAAATGCGAAATAACTAATATCTTTTTTAAAAAATCTGTTAATCCCAGTAGAACGCCTAATACACTCAATCTATATTTAGGGAAAAGAAAGTTATTTAGGAAAAAAAGAAAGATCGAAATAGGAAGAAAAAGGAAAGAAATTGGCAAGTGAAAGAAAAAGTGGAGAATGATACCCCGGTGGAATCATATGGTCATTTGATGAAAGTGAGATCATATGACATGGTTGAACTCTGTACGGAATATTCTGCTAGGTAAAGCCAGGCACAAAACCAAGAAACTAAACCAAGGGCTGCGGTTTACAATTGCCCTAGGGGACACAGAAAATCACTACTCCCACTACTTCATTCTTCTGATGGTCCGGTTATGCCTCTGCCAGCAGATGAGTGGCAAGCATCACTCACTGGAGCAGACAGCTCACAGCAACTTAAAAGAGCTTTCAGTTCAAAAGCCAAGGCAAGACAACCAAGACCCCCCGCTTAACAAGCAGTCAAACAATAATATCACACCTAACACTTGGGTGCAAGATCTGGCCTTTGCAAAGGTATTGAAAAAGTTTATCCTAATTTATCTGATGATATCAAAACTGGCCCATAAAATATATTCAGTAACTAATGTCATATGTTTGATCACATAACATCCATTTGAGTAATTAATTCTTAAGAGAAGTATGTTTGATTACTGCAACTGTATATTATTTGGAATTTGATATATAATAAGGATGTCATGGACTCAATCTCTTAAGTTTGTAGCACATAATCATAGTACTCAGATTACGCCAAAGAACAAAAGAGAACAGAAAAAAATAAAAATAAAAATAAAAATCAACCGAACATCAAAGTAAAAGGTAGGGTTCATATTACTTTAAAAAAAAAAAAGGAAGAAGGTTGGGTTCATTACATACCATGGGTTTGTCATAGAATGGAAAGCCCTGCATTTGGCGAAGCGCATTGGTGGCGGAAGAAACATCCTTGAAAACAACCCAAGCTTGACCTTTATGTTTCAGTGTCTTGAATGCTAAAACCTCTAATATCTCCCCAAATTGAGAGAACACAGCCTTCAGCGACTTCTTCAACTCTGAAATTTTATATCAGATTTCACTCTCCATGGTACACACACACACACACACACACACACATAACGAGAGAGGGAGAGAGAGGGAGGAAGCTAGGGCAAAAGCTCTACCAGAGATACATAAGATATATATAATTTATTTATAGAGAGAGCGAAGTAATACCTTCGAGCTTGATTTTCTCGTTGAGGTTGTTGATGTAGATAGTCATGTTCTGACTAACGTCGCCGCCGGTAGTAATCTCCGCCATCGTGTCTCTGAAATCAAACCTACGACTTCAAACTCGCTAAAGCATATACTTCAAAGCTTTGATTTGTCCGAGAGGCCCATACTAAACATTTGTTCCCCCTCTAGGTCTAGGACAATCTAGGGAGAGAGAGTGTAATTGGGTAATGACTTATGCCAGTCTGGCCCAAACTTCATATTTAAGCTAAAGCTTTCGGGATGTTGTGCCATTTCTGTTAAGTCTGTTATGGCTTTTGTTTAAAAAAATTCAGGCCAGGCCCAACCTTGATTAAAATTTCTGGGCCTAATTTTAGTTTAGGCCGAGTTCGAAGTTTACACCGACTCAAAGGCTCTGTTTTGCTCCAAGGGAAATAGGTGCATAAAGTAGAGCATGTTCGGGAAGGAAACCCATGTTTTTTATATGATTCATTTTCAATTATATTTTATTAATGAGGATTGCTAATTGGAGTCTGTGTGATAGGTTAAAAAAATTATTATAATTAATACACTTCTCTTATTTTTATGAAGCATTAAAATAATTTTATAATAATATTACCCTCTTTCTTGAAATTTATACTCTCTCCTCCGATGTGTTTGTATATATATATTTCTTCTTTCTTTTATTTTCTTACATGAGTGAAAATAGGAGCATGGGTGATGGGAAGAGTGGCGCGAAACATGAGAATAACACGACTTCAAACTAATTCGTGGTTTAACAAAATAATAATAATAATAATAGTAATAATTCATTCCTTTTTTGATAATTAAGAGAAAAACAAAAGAAACCAAGGGATATACCTCGGTCATACACAAAACAAAGAAACTATTTATAAACTTGACAAAGCAAAAAGTATACAGATTACAGAAGCTATTACACAATGAAAGTCAGCATCATTCATCATCACGTTTTTGACGAGGAAACCAAGTGTAAAAGTGACCCAATCACTAATAACCGACCTGATAATTAAATCTAAGTATCATTACTGTTTTGATGCCGAGAAGTTTCAATTATTAAAAATAGTGATGATACATGCGCAGAAACTGTACACAATAAAGATATACCTAAGCTGGGGCCCTTATGAACGTTGACTGAGGTGGGACTCCAGCGGACCACTTGACGACTTTGAATGGTGTACAATAAAAGATTCTAGAAACGACTCAGCAAGCCGCCTCCTCCTCCTACATATGATATTTGCACTTACGCAGATATTTCCAATCCCGGGACTTTGTATCTAGAATGTTTAAAGAGTCATACGAATTGATTGGAGAAAAAGTCGTAAAATCAATTAAGCCACATGCCAACTGTCTGTCTGTCTGTTATATCTTAGGTAAACGACGAACCCACGGCTCATGCCCGTTTGATTAGATTAAAATAGAGAAACTAATAACGTTGGCGCAGTAATTGTCACTCAACTTGAGGGTATTTAAGTAATTTTACTCTCAAACGATAAGGTCTCTCTGTATGCTTCAAGGACCAGGGTATCATCAATCAGCCAATAAGAGGACCTTGGTGGGCCCCCAACCCAAATAAATGAAGCCAGCACGGTGTTTCTCTCTTTTTCCCTGTAACCTCACGCGTTAAATCATTTCTTTCTTCATCTTCTTCTTCTATATATACTCCCTCTCTACCCAAACGATCTTCACAACTCTAAAGCAAACGAGAAGTGTTCATTTGCAAGCTACTGTGACAGAAGTTTTTCGAAAAGAAATAAATCCAAGAAGAACCAACTTCTTTTTGCTGTAGCTGGAGTTGAATTCCACAGTTTGATTCAGAATGGCTCGCTCTTTCTCAAACGCTAAGCTTCTTTCTGCATTCATAGTCGATAGATTCTCTGTCGCTGCAAGCAGGTACTTTAATATTCTTTATCTTTTGCTTTTTGTTATTGTATTTTTTTTGCTTAGCTGTCCTGCCAAAAATACAGATGTAAATGAAAAACAGGGGATGTATGAAATTCACTAATATAAGATGCTTTTATATGTCAAACTGTATTGATTGATTAACATAATATAATTATTGTATCTATAGGCGAGGTTACGCGGCAGCGGCGCAAGGTGGGAGGAGCAGCGTGATAGTGAAAAAAGGAGAAGAGTCAACAAAGACTCGTTCGTGGTCTCCAGATCCCATCACTGGATACTACAGACCAGACAATCACGCCAAAGAGATTGACGTCGCCGAGTTACGAGAGACGCTCTTGAACCACAAGATCAACCGCCCTTGAAACAAAACAAGTACCACTAGTAGAGGAAGATGATTTTCTCTCTCTCTCATCCTAAAAAAAAAACGCAATTGTCAAAGCTCTCTCTTGATGACTCTGCTCTGGTGGCCTGTCCAACGATTGTTGCTATCTATATCATTTTAATTTCATTTGCCTTAACGTTGATGTTCTATGTATTCCATCAACGTTTACAATTCAGGAACAACCTTGGTTTCTTGGAAAGAACTATATGAATAAAAATTCTGAACTTCTTTAGCATTGGTGGATCTTTGGTGGTCTTAAAATTTTATTATCGAGGATTAATGGCCACGCGTTTAATTTGTTGAGTGAAACAAAACAAATACCACTAGTAGAGGAAGATGATTTTCTTTCTCTCTCTCTCTCTCTCATCCTTAAAAAAAAAGAAAAAAAAAAAAGGCAATTGTCAAAGCTCTCTCTTCATGACTCTGCCCTCGTGGCCTGTCCACCGACGATTGTTGCTATCTATATCATTTTAATTTCATTTACCTTAACGTTGATGTTCTATGTATTCCATCAACGTTTACAATCCAGGAACAACCTTGGTTGCTTGGAAAGAACTATATGAATGAAAATTCTGGACTTCTTTACCATTGGTGGATCTTTGGTGGTCTTATAATTTATTATCAAGGCTTAATGGCCACGCGTTTAATTCATTGACTGATACAACCTTAAAAAAGTAAAAAGAAAAAAGAAAATTTGAAATTGAGGAATTTTTTATTTTTATTTTGCCCTTTTCTTTTCCTCTGCTCCAATCACAGCACAGAGCAACCGACTTTACTAATAGTGTAATTTACACAAACTTTCCTCTAATTTATTATAATTACACGAACTTCCTCTCTAATTTGAGAATTTATTTGGACCCACCATAAAAATAAAAATATCTACACATATCTTTAACGTTAGTCAAGGAACTTCAACGTTAATCAAGGACGAAAATTACTGATGCCATCCACTTAATTAAGTAAAATCTCTATAATACCCTTCATCTATCTCCCCTCCCTCATTTTCTCTCTCTACCCACTTTTTCTCTCCGATTCATTTACTGGCAAACCACCACCACTGTTCCGGCAACCTCTGTTAGCACCTTTGCAGCCATCAAAGTCATCAACAGAGATATGGTGATGAAATTGAGTAATAGTTATCAATTAGAAATTGAGTAATAGTATTTTTTTGACCTTGTTTTAGCATGGACATGAATTTCGAAACATCTCCAAATAAAAATGTCAATTGCCATTCCAGAAGTGAAATATATATATATATATATTGTCATTCCTACTAATAGTTATTGACAACCAAGCTAATTGAGTGATAAATTTTCAATAAACCTTACTACTATAATGAAAAGGAAGAACAAAGCATGACTTGAAATCACCTTCAAGTCAACCTCTTGTGGAATTTTCAATTCTTTTTGGACATATGACTAGAAAATGAAAAAAAAAAAAAGAACAAAAAGAAAAAAGGGATAAAAAATGGAAATAATATTATAGGAGTGAAATGTTAAGAGGAAATATAAAGCTGGGGTGTGAGCGCGTGTGAGAGAGAACAAATGGTAGGGGCAGTGAATCAGTGAAAAAACACATCACAGATCTAGAGAAGAGAAATCCAAACAAAGGGTAATACTCCAATTTGTGCAAAGCTTGCCCAAAAGCAAAAGAACTTTTGGATTTTGGTCTATGCATTAAATTCACAAACCCCTTTCAATCATTTATATCCATCATTGGATTATGCAATTATTCCACAATATTGCAATACCAACCAAAATCAAGCACGAGATCACTGTCCTACACCCCCAACATTGTCGAATTGAAGGACGTAAAGGCCACCAAGCATAAGATCTTCTTCATCATGGAGTAAAGTCGGTGGCGAACTTTTTGCCAAAGTCCTCAAAAGCAAACTCCGAGAAGATTCTGCTCGGAAATACTTCCAGCAACTCATTAGCGTCGTCGATTTTTGCCACAACCGTGACGTCTACCATCGCAACCTAAAGCCGGAGAACTTACTCCTTGACGACAATGAGAACCTCAGTCTCCGATTTCGGGCTCTCCACTTTGCCGAAGCAGTAGAACATACCTAAGAACCAATATCTCTCCACTTTGCCCAAAAGCAGTAGAACATACTTAAGAACCACTTCGTCGGCGCCTCTCTCTATGACGTCGCTTTTAATCAAAAGCTGGTATTTTAGTAATTTCAGATAACAATATGAGGGCATTTCTGTTATATACATATTTTGGGAAGTTTGTAAAAAATATATATTCTATAATTGGCAACTTTCGATGTCAAAACAAGTCCTAGTCGAATTGTAAATTCAAGTTACTATATCGGGATCGACAGCGACTGCGAAATTGGAAGGTTGTTCAAAGTTACCATAACTGAAATCATTTGAGAAAGGTAAGAACAACACTTTAGGAAGGAATCTTAAAAAAGTTATGATACATTCCATACTTGGTATATTTTCAGAAATTTTCAAAACAGGGTTTTTACCAAGTTAATTCAAATCGGCTAGATTTGAATCGGTTCAGCCCCATTGAACCAGTTCAAGGCCTTTAAGCTTGGTTTTGAATTCTCGCTGCCAATCTTGAACCGGTTCAGCATCCTTGAACCGATTCAAGAAGTCCTGACAGCAATACAACTTCTAGTTTCCTGTTTCAGATTTCTTTCCTAGTTGGTCTAGAATTGTACTAAGTCCTATGCACGAATTTTTTCATATGTTCAGAGGGACTAGGACATTCTAAACTCTATATAAACCTTGTCATACACATAGGTTTAGATACGGTTTTTGCATAAAAAAATTCAGATCTAATTGATAGCCTTTTGAGAGATATTTTTATTCAGAAAATCAATCTGATTTTTCTGATTTTATTTTTGAGAGCACACACACAAATAAGAGTGATTTAGCAGTGTTGCTCTCTATCTCATCGAAATTGAAGCATAATTGAAGATTCATAAATTTTGGAGAAGCAGAATTCATTCGTTCTTCGTCAAATTCAGATTTAGAAGAAAATGGGTGAAACAATCACACTTTGAAGGGGTTAGAGCATTCGTGGAGTGTTATTTGATTTACCTGCAACTCTTCTACAGAGATCAAGAGAAAGCTTGAGGTCGAGAGTCGCTTGAGGTCGAGAGTTGTTGGACGAGGGAGTCACAAAGCCAGGGATTGTCAGCAATTGATTGTTAGTAGAACTATAAGGTGTAAGACTGAGTCAAAATTCGGTATACTTTGCTTCAAACATGGTGAATCATTTATCTCAGGATTACAAAGTCCAACGAGATTTTTCATGTTACAATTGGTTTATTTTACAAATTGGAGTTTTCTCACTAAAATTCTGGTGTCATCTCTCAAATTATATTTACTTTACTTGCACTTTATTTTTGCTTTGTGGTTTGATTTTAGTTTTATTTCGGTAAAATTAAAATAAGTAAAAATTAGATAAAAGAGCAAGTTAAATATATTTATCATCCTCTAGATTATCTATCCCTATTATATTCCAAACCATTACGTTGCTTACAATCTCAACAATTTCAGACGTCTGTTAGTGCAATTGACGGTCCGTCACACATAAGGGAGGTCCATGTCCATGTAAAATAATTTCATTTTTAGGAAAAGTCCAAGTAAATTCCTAAACCACAGGAAATATTTCTGTAATTATAACAAATCATATAAGAAGTTTATGTAAATTATCCTTACTAATATTTAAATTAAGAGTGATATTTACTTTGTGTTCCCAATTTTCAAAGTAAACAAATATTATGGGACGGAGAGACTATTAGTTAATACCGTGGCTCTTTTATCACTTTTTCTAATGATCTAAACCCACCTATGTTAGAGCCATTGGTTTTAGCGCAAATTAGTTGGATTTATGCTCTTTTTATATCTAAACCCACCTATGCTATGTTTTAGGGTCCATTGGTTTTACTGCAAATTAGTTGGATTTATGCTCCTTCTAATTGGAAGGATAAAAAAATAAATAAAAGGGAAAATATAGGTATGGATGAGAAATTCTTAAAAAAAAAAAAAGAAAAAAAAAGTGTCTTTTTCACTTTTTATTTGGTTGAATGAAATGAATAGTATAAATGATAAATTTATATTCTTTATATATTTGTTTAGTTAGAAGGAATGAAAAAAGGCGTATTTATATTCTTTTTATTAATATACCTTATTATAAAAAGTAAATATTATAAAGTATATATATATATATATATATATATATATATATATATATATTACCTCATTTATCATTTATACTATTTATTTCATTCAACCAAAAATTATATTCTTTTTATTAATAATAAAAATTACATCTTTGTTAGGGGTAATCATTTTCTCTCTCTCTTCATCCCTTTCTTTCCTTCCCTTCAATCAAATACAAAAAAATTCTTCTAACCCCCCTCCCATCCCTCCTTAATCCTCCCCTCCAACCATTCCATTAAAGATTTCAGATTGTTGTCATTGTAATGTATTGGACTTTTAAAACAGCACTTCCTCTTAAAATGGTTTTTCTTAAAAAAAAAAAAAAAAAAAAAATACCCTTACCACACTGGTGATATCAACACCACCTGAATCCATATCTAATCCAGTTTCTCATTCTTACTTAAATCAATTATGTATAGTGAAAAAAAAAAAAAAAAACCTCAACTATGTTTGAATTTACAAATAAAATATATTTTGTACATAATACCTCATGAACTATCATATTTGATTACAAAATGCTCTATTATATTTCATTAAATGACCATAATACATTTTCTTATTAAATTACACTTAATCCATATCTCTTATTGAAATAAATTATGAAAAAAATTCATACTAATTTGATGACATATTATTTATTAAATTTGCAAAAAATTATATTTATTTTTAAAATTAATATTTAAATAAAAATTCTAAGTAGAAAATTTTAAAACAATGTAAAGTGAAACATGCTAAAACACCCCCAAACTTAAGCTGAGAATGACAGAAAGTAAAAAGATTATACCAGATGGGCGAAGCATACAAAACCATGTAATGGAAACTTAGCATTGGAAGGCGTACTCCCAAACTTAGACTCCAAAAACCTGTCTGAAAAGGCCACACTAGCAACTGTCAAGGCATATGCATAAAGTGATCCAAATGAGAGAGAAAATGTGCACAATTTGTTGGTTTTCAAAAGTTGAAATCGAGTTTTAGACTTTGATTTTGAAATGTGATTTGTTAAGTGTTTTAATGCATGATTTTTTTTGATAATTTCTTAACTTTTTATGAATATATCGCATGAAAAATAAGGTACTTTTTATTAATATTTTATGGAAAAGAATGTATTTTTTCACGATAAAAAGTTTAAATTTGAGTATAATAAGTTTTATTATAAATAATAAAATTTTAATAAAAAGTTAATCATTTAAAAAAATCCTAGTTACAAATTTATTTATTTTTCTTTTTTAATGAGAAATTGATACTAATAATAAAATTAAAGTAAATAATATAATAAATATTTAGATTGAAGAAAAGATAATAAAAATGACAAATTTAATAATAAAGAGTAAAATATTTTTTTGCGATCTTTAGGAATATAATTTATAGTTCAAGAAGGTTATTTGCAAAAGAATAATAGATAAAAAAGTGTTTTCACTTTATCCTAAATTATATCATAATACAACACACACTATTACAAAATTAATGAAATAACATTATGCAACACATCTACATAAAAAAATACAAACACATTTACATATAAAAAAAAAATGCAATACCCATATCGCAATACTATAGTCTATATCACTTTAAATTAAAAAATTTACATATTTACCTAATTATTACATTATCAGGTAAAATTATTTAAAAGCAAGACACGTGCTGGAGAAAATTTAGATTCAAAAATTTTTTCTCCATAGATTCAATTGATATTGTATATAGTATCACTGGGCTAACTAAATGTGTGTAGAGATGTTTATGGTATTATTCTTCGTGCTGGGTGTATCTTTTTTCAAAAACTCTCTGACCCATTGTTTGCTGAAGCGTTGGTTCTTCGTCAAGCATGTGCCTTTGCTATTGAATGGGGGCTATAGAAATGTGATTTTTGATTGTGATGCTAAAGGCCTCGTGGATGCAATTAATCAACTTAGTTCATGTCCTTCTTCTCTCTATGTGCTGGTCGCGGATTTCAGATCTTGATTACTGCAACATGAAGGTTTTTCAATTGTTTTTGCGCCTCGTTCACATAATATGGTTGCTCATGTGTTAGTTGAGAACGCTCTTAGATGTGAGTATAGTTATGTTTTTCTTACAAAACTTCCTATGTATCTTCAACAGTTTACTTGTATTGATGCATTACTCTCTGTTTGATATGAATACAAGTTCTTGCAGAAAAAAAATTAAAATAAATAATAATGATAATAATAATGTTGGCATTGCCGAAATAGTAAGTAAAAACAAATTGACAGAGACCGATTGCATGCTTTCCACGTGCCTGCCTGAAGAAATAACGGACACACAACTAAGGACACGATTGACTAACGCTTGTTCAATGCACAATCAGATTATTTAAATATTTTTCACAAAATTATGTATATTTCTAATTTATTATTATTATTTTTTAAATAAAATTGGAAACAATAATATTAGTTTACTTAAAAAGTAAATTACCGGATGATAAAATATGGATCCTTGCTAATAGTTGAAGCCATCCATGTGCTCCTCATCAATTGAAATCGTGCGCTCTACGCTATAACAAAATATACAAACACAATGACCCTCCATAAAAGGTGCCTTAAAAACGTATTAATTATACACACTATGCTCTGCCTATTCTTTATATATATATATATATATATATATATATATATATATATATTTGTTTATATTTCATTGTAAATATAGCAGTTTTACATCTCTTGTTTACTTCGCTCTTGAACATAATATAATCATGCTTGCCAGCACAAGACGTGCATTAAAATTTATTTAGTCTTCTACCACCTAGAAGCTATGGCTATGGGTTTATAGAATTGGTTTTGATTATATTGAGATAAGTAATTCAAATAGTAATAATAATAATATAAGCTTTCCAAAAAAAAGTGAAAATCTTTGTTTAATGGGTTAACAATATAAAATTTCATGGAAGATGAGAAGAAAATAAAAAGAAAGAAAGAGAAGAGTGGGTGATTAACTAAAATCCCCTAGGAAGAAGAAACAAACGGATTCAACTCCAACGTGTTCCCTTCACAGTCCAATCCACACCCACACTGCGGACACTCGTCAAAATTACTTACCGGAAAGCTCGCCGAAACGATCCCGACAGAGAATTCGATCTCAGCACCGTTCCGTTTGACCTCACCGATGTCCAACCACAGCAACACCACTTTAACCCTCACACCCTTCAGTTTCTTGAGCCTGTCTTTGGATATCACACCCTTAATTGTGGACTTGTACTCCAGTTCATACGAATTCTCAAGTTTGAAGCTACACGTGCCATTCAGATAAGCCGTGAACTCGCCGGTCTCGGAATTCAGATCGTAGCCAGTCGCACCTTTAGGAAGAAGGCCCACCGGAAAGTCGTATTGCTCTAGAACTTGGTACGCAGACAACGAGTTGTCGCCGGCGGCGGAGAGGAAAAAAAGAAAGAGGCAAAGGATGACCGTCGAAGAGACTGGTCTTAGCCGAAAACTCAAATCCATATTATTTTCACTCTCCCTCTAAAACTAGATCTCTTTGAAGGTGGAGATTTCTGGTATGTACGTGAATGCCCGTGAGGCTGTGTGTGTATATATATATATCAAACCGTAAAGACGATCTCTGTCGATGGTGACGGATGAGGGCATGGATGTTCTGTGCAACTTAGTCTAGAGAGACTGTTTGTCCACGTGTCGTTCAAAGCTTTTAATTGGACGAGACTTTCGGTATTCAGGTTGGTGACGGAAGTATAATTTGTGAAGCTGTCCACCTTAGTGTTCCACGTGCTTGCTTTTCTCTCCAGATGGCTGATTTTGGAAGCTTCAACCATTTTACCAAACATATTCTACTTTCTAGTTTTTTCAACCACTGGTGTTTTTTATTTAATTCTTTTTCAAAAGGTGACGAAAAATGCACTCACACAAGTTACAACACGGCTCAAACTCTAAAGCTCCTCTATCAATTCCAATTTCCAACATTGACTAATCTTATTTTGTAAGAAAAAGTCTCTGATGCAATGACACAATAAACAAGTGAACAAAGGTGCTATCCAGAATACAGGTATGAAGAAAATAGAGAAGACGTCTGGTGAAGGAGGGGAAGAAGACCGATCTTACAATATTATAATGGAGGTAGGTCACATATACATTTCTGATGGTTTATTTTTTTTTTTTTCATGCGATAGTACTATTTATAAACCATGAAACATGCTAGTCATTAACTAGCAATTCCTTGTGCGTCTCGCTCCTAACCATGACCACATGGGTAGTCATGATACCTAAGAGCCTAAGATGTCAAATTCTCTTATCGAGCCATGCACTATGTTGCGTCTCCCCCATTTGGGGCATTAAATATATATATTTCCATCATCTCGTTGATCGGACCTCGTTAGGGATGGAGGCACTTCTTTACTTCCCATCCACCGGTCCAAGATCCTTTTAAGTTTTCCAAAGTGAGGTCCCACATAGATGAGAACAAAGTGAGGTCCCACATAGCTAAGAAGGTCCTAACTTCGTTTCGTGCTATGTTTGGACTTATGGAGATATAACAATTTAAAAGTGAGCTCCCTGGGGTTCTAATGCCTCAGGGTATTGTGAGCCTCAAAGGGGCCTGTAGGCTGAGCCTTTGAGTACTCCTAGCAACTTAGTACGTTGCTAGGGTTTGTAATGCTCGAGGTCTGGTTTCTCAAGGCTTAGTGACCTGGTGTGGTACCAGGGTTTGAGTCACTCGAGAGTTAGTTCCTCGAGACTTATTGTCCTGATGCGATGCTAGAGTTTAAGTCGCTCGAGGGTTGGTTCCTCGAAGCTTTGATAACCTAGTGTGATGTTAGGATTTGGGGTGCTTGAGGGTTAAGTCCTCGAGGCTTGATGGCCTGGTGCGATGCCAAGATTTGGGCTGCTCGAGGGTTAAGCTCTCAAGGCTTGGTGACCTGGTGCGATTCGAGGGCTTAGGGGTGCTCGAGGGTTAAGTCCTCAAGGCTTAAAGGATTGTGTTGACTTTTAGATATGCCATGCCGGTGACTGACACCCACAATTATTAGTGTAATTTTGCAAATAAGTGTTTGTGATAGATGACTAAAACTAGAGGTTGATTATACTATCAAACTTCAAAATTCAGTTGGAGTTGAAACTAATTGCCTCGCTATATATGTATACATATTATACATATATCTCAGTAATATTAATACAAATAATACATAAGTATATGTTAGTAATATTAATACAAATAATACGGAGTATATTATTAATTACTTTTTATTAATATAGTACACCTCCTTATAGGAGTACAAGTAATTATAAATAATTAGTTATATCATGTACATATTTATTGGTTAATTATAAGTTAGAATGGTTAATTCAAAATAAGCTCAATCGTAATCCTAAAATTACACAAACTGTAGTCTACAAGTTGAAACTATTCCGATTTAATCCTGAAACTAGGCCAGATTGGAGGAATAATAGATCAATCTCGCCAGCAACCCACTAATAGGTCCACCAGTCAGCCTGGAATTGTCGGCCCACAGGATAGGCCTAGGCTTAGCAAGTATCTTTTTAAGGCCAACCTTGCTTAACCAATAAATATGTGCACCAGTGTCACCAATGCGCCCCAGGCATATCATTTCTCTGAAAAATTAAGTGGCTCATATGTGATACTTATCTTTTATAGTGCTAATTTCATAAAAACTCTCACTATGTTCAAATTTTGACAGTAAACTCCCAACTTGTTTTAAAAAACTCCATACACTTTAAAAAGTGATCACATTGCCCCAATTTTGTCACTAACCGTTAAATTGGTGTTAAATGACTAAATTAACCTTACTTTATTTTTAAAAAAAACACAAAATTTAATAATTTTCAAATTACAAAAATAAGCTTGGCGACATTTAGATCTGTCTTTGTTGTTGAATTTACACCCGTCAACACCCAGTAACTTATCTATACCCGGTAGCCTTGGTGACATGTAATTTATCAAAATCCTTGAACCTCTCTAACCCCCCCTCTCCCTGTATGTATGTGAGTGTATTATATATATATATATAAAACACTTCTGCCGCTAGAGTATAGTAGATGTATAAATTATTTTCTCTTTTTTTCTTTGCCCATCTCTTAATGTACGGAACTATGGGTGTTTGCCGTTGGCAGTGGAGATGGGTATGTCTTATATATGTGCTAGTTGGCTCAAGAAAAACCAACTCTTGGAGGAGGAGTCAAGCTGATGGAGATGGGCGTGAGGAAATACGACGAAGAACAATGTGCGTAAGATTGGGTGCTAAATCCTTCCCCCAATAAATTTGGGTGCTAAAAAATAAAAAAGAAAAGAAAAAGGTTGGTATTTCTTCAGTTTTTGTCCAACAAATCGGAAATCCCATCCCACACACTCCCCAAACCACCATGACCACCGCAGGCACAACCGGACGACCACAACCACCTCCCAAAGACACCCCCGACCACCTCCCAATAACCGCCGCAACCACCACCAACAACAATAAACTCACCCTCATCACCGCCGACCTTGTCGCCGCATACCCTGGCAACGGTAGCTTCGTCCTCTGGGCCCACCACGCCTTCTGACCCTTCGCCAGCTCCCTAATGGCCACCTGAAAATTCCTCTCCATCTTCATAAACCTCGTGACCTTCCCCATCCTCTGCATCGACTACCTCAAGAAAATCTTCCCCGTTTTCGCTTCCTGCCTCTCGCTACCTCGCAATCCTTTTCTCCAATCTTGCCCTCTCCTTCCTCAACTACAATAGCTTCACCATCGTCAGCGAGACACTCATCGTTGTCTCTCTCCTCCCCTTCATCCTTGCTGTGAAATGGCTTCTATTAGGGCTGCGATTGCATTTGTCCGAATGGAGGTGAAGAAGAAGGGATAGGAGTATTTTTGGAATAACGAAATTAATCAGCAGCGGATGGAAATCACGTGACCATCAAGGGGCAATTTCTCCATAAATGAGGATTTACAGGTGTACGTGATCATCACACGCACATTTAAAGTGGATCAGTGACAGAGTTAGGGCAACCACCACCAACAACAATAAACTCACCCTCATCACCGCCGACCTTGTCGCCGCATACCCTGGCAACGGTAGCTTCGTCCTCTGGGCCCACCACGCCTTCTGACCCTTCGCCAGCTCCCTAATGGCCACCTGAAAATTCCTCTCCATCTTCATAAACCTCGTGACCTTCCCCATCCTCTGCATCGACTACCTCAAGAAAATCTTCCCCGTTTTCGCTTCCTGCCTCTCGCTACCTCGCAATCCTTTTCTCCAATCTTGCCCTCTCCTTCCTCAACTACAATAGCTTCACCATCGTCAGCGAGACACTCATCGTTGTCTCTCTCCTCCCCTTCATCCTTGCTGTGAAATGGCTTCTATTAGGGCTGCGATTGCATTTGTCCGAATGGAGGTGAAGAAGGGATAGGAGTATTTTTGGAATAACGAAATTAATCAGCAGCGGATGGAAATCACGTGACCATCAAGGGGCAATTTCTCCATAAATGAGGATTTACAGGTGTACGTGATCATCACACGCACATTTAAAGTGGATCAGTGACAGAGTTAGGGCAATGTGATCACTTTTTAAAGTGGTGAGAGTTTTCTGAAATAGGTTGAGGCTTTGTGATCAAAAATTAAAAGTAGTGGGGTTTTTATGGAATTAGCCCTATTTTTTATATATAGATGTTGATTCACAACATTAATGGCAAACAAGGCATGATAGCGCACCTCTTAATCATCCGGACACAAGTTGAGCTAGAAAGCAAACAGGAATTCCATAATTAGCTGGCAAACCTAGTTGCATTAGCTGCTGTTTGTGTTATCAAATAAAAGTATGTGTTACCTTTCAAAAAAAATAAAATAAAATAAAATGTCTAGCAGCTACCAAACAACAGTATGAGAAAAAGCTTTAGCAGCAGATATAGAAGACCAATATTCTCATCAATAAACGAGTCCCACCCTACCCCAAATTAAGTGCTTCAACAACCAGCAACATACATGGCAGACTGATCAGACTAATCAATTAACTGTGAGAAATGGATAAACTACATAGAAGTCACAAATCTGATTGCTATCTGTGCGTGTACTAGTTCTTTACCCTCATACCATATTATTCTTAGGTCTGGCAAAAACCGAGAAGACAGTAATCCCCTTAACCCCTCAAACATACCAACTAAAGTTGAAGGTTAGTTAATATACGCAAATGTTATTGAGATCAAATCATACCACATGCCAAGGGCAATCTCTGCGAAAGCAAATGGTCGGAAGCATAAGAAATCCAAGATATCAACAAGCTTGTAACGAAAAAGTATAAGCAAGCCAAACTCTAACCAGTATGTCACCGCTAAACAGTTGATAATGATTATTACAACTTTTTAAATCCTTGTACTGCCTCTATAAGCTAAGGAGGGTTTTACATGGTGAAAGTGTTTACTAGTAGATCTTTCAATTGTCAACATATTTGATTCGCTGGACCGGTGTGATTCGATCTGATAATCCAATGAATTAAATGTTACTGAATCCATATTTAATTTTGAGTTTATAAAGCATCTGGTTTGACAATCCGATTGTTAAGAGTTGTAACTTCTGTTAAACATTTCAAAATGTAAATTAGAATAAGTGAGAGAAGATCCAACTCAAAAAAACAAAATAATAAATGAACAAAAAAAAGGAAGAAAGGAAAGACAATTCTAGGTTGTCCATTCCAGCAGCCTCTCTATGCTGTTATCAAATATCTGGAATCTTACCAATTCAAAGTCACTAAAGAAATTGGCAAGTGCGCACAAAGTCAGTCTGATGGAGAATACTTGAGAACATTTAAGAGAAGAAGAGGACGGGTCCTGTCTTGTAAAGGAGAAGTCTAAACATTAATCCGGTGGATGTCATAGTCACGTCATCAACCACCATCAGGTTGTTGGTCACAACCATCTGATTAATTCTCAGACCTCTCCTTTAGAGGAAAGGATCCGTTTCGGAGCCACAAAGTGTGTACAATGGCTACAAATGAAAACTTATCACCCCCACACCGCCAAGCATTTGAATTCTTTACCTCCTAAATGGAGGAAACATCTAATGGAAGTTCTAATTTTATTTTGATGATGATGTGGCAATGTGGAACAGAATACTAACATGTTGATGAAGGGGGCTAAGAAATTATCTAGGCATGCATTATTTCCAATTTCACTAGGATCTTTCACTTTCATAATAAAATTAAATTCTCCCACAGCAATATTCTAATACATGTATAGCCTTCCTTTTCAAGGTTGTAGTGTCACTTTATCAAGAACATGCTTTGTGAGGTCGTACAGGGCTAATAACACAACTTATCTATCAGGCATAACTACGTATCGGGGCTCGGGGGAACCATGGGGACCCAGGGGTCTCGCTGGGTCACTCGATGGTACCCTAATCTCATCGAAAACAATACATAACACCATAAAAGCACATTACAGTTTGGCTTCTCAACCCTAATTCTATATGCACCATCCTTATCAATCTCTCCTTCCTAGCTGATAATTGCGCCAAGATAACAAAAATGCTCATAAAATAGGTGCTCTAATTTCATCAAAGTTGACTAATAACCCTACTTGCTAATGCAATCTTGATATACATACTGCATTTATGCATCATAAGTTGTATCTCTTTCATCACTAAACTGTGAAAGCCACCTCTTAGTCTCATCAATCAATGCCACATGAAATGTACAAAATGTAAAACAAGGATCCTCATCCAAGAATTAACATTAAAATAAAAATAATTCCTAATCTAATAAAAAATATAGTCCATTGAAACCCCAAGGGGTTGGCTCAAGTGGGTATCATCGAGGGCGAAGACTGCAAGATCACTTTGGCAAGTTGTGGGGAGGGATCTTCTTGCTAGCAGCACAAATAGTTGACCCTTCGAGAATAACATACCAATGATTGTTAGGTTCTGGTGCCTCATGAAGCATCGGGTTTAAGGTTCGGCTCCTCTTGGGTGCAAACAATTCCTTCGAGAGGGGAAAAAAAAAAATTCTAGCCATTGAAATCAAAGCTCCTTATCAAAACAAAAGCTAATCTTTTGAAAAAAAGTAAAAAAGAAGAAGAAAACCTAAAAACAAAAGACTTGGATGAAACAAAGTTCCAAGGGAAGAAGACAAAGCAAACAACACTAGAGCACACAATTTAGGAAACCAACCAATAATGAAGATGAAATGATTTTTAAAAATAACTGAAAAAACAGATTGTGCCCTTTAACAGTCATCAAGATTAATCGTCGAGAGGGCCTGTCCTAATGCATGCATCAAGATAACATCTGTACATTGCCATCCTGATGCATACTTAAGCTAGCACACATCTGAAATTCAGGATGGCAATACAATCCCCCTATTAGATCTGCCCAAGAATGCAAAAGTTAAAAAAAATTGAATATCTACTGATATGGCCCAAAAGAATTCAATACAACCACCAGTATGCAATAACGAGAGCAATACATGCAGAAGGAAATTTGCACATTGCATGATACAACCAACAACAACGATTGGCAGGGTTAGGGCAAGAAAATTTAATTGGCAGAAAACCGTATAAGACAGTGCCAACCACAACCAACATAAGTAAGGAGAAAAGTACCCGAGAAGTACTTACAACTCTTTATGAAATCAGTTCACATCCTTGAGTCTTTTTATCAATGCATCCAGAGACTTCTTTTTGGGATTCTGCTTGTATCCCCTTGATCCAAATGTTCCAAACAGCCGATCTGATTGATCCCTTAACTTCTCCGAAATGGTCACCACTTTTCTGTAGTCCAAAGAATTATAACTTCTCTCTCTGATTACTGGATTCAAAAAATTCTCCGGATGATTGCTCAAAAGCAAATTAATCAATTGTCTTGCCTCAACAAACGCTGTTTTCAACTGATTTGCATCTGCATCTGATAAAAGAGGAGCTTGAGTCTCTGCAAATGATTCCAACAACCGAATATCTACATCAACCCCCATAATAGCATTCATATTAAACCGTTTAACTGATTCCCCATATAAAGCCCCAACAATCATCTCTGATATGTGAGAAAGGACGTCTTGTAGAACTCTTTTAAGAACCTGAATTGGTAAGATCTGCTGAGCAGTAGAAACCAGAGTTTCCAAATAAATAATCACCTCATTCACGTATTCATTTCCACCCTGTGGAGGCTCGTCGATCATCCAGTTCACATTCTCAATCAATTGCATGAAACCATCAACTTTTTGTTTAAGCAACCCAGAGAGCATCTCTTCGGCTGCATCACGGGCTTTGTTTAGTGGAAACTGCCTCCTACCTCTCTCAGCCATTCTTAAAGGGATGCCCGAAAGCTGTGCAGCATGACGGAAGAAGAAATCACATGCACGCTCCATGACAGCCAGGTTTGCCGCAACCTGCATTGCCTGGGAAACACCATGGATAGACGTACTGATAAGCTTCAATAAAGCCCCATCTAAGACCTCACCCAAAAGTCTATCCAAATACTTCTTCACAACATCATAGAAATCAAGCTGACCACCATATGACATGAAACTCACAGAATCCTCAACAAATGATCGCACAATCCGACAACAATCAGGCACCATTGAAGAAAATGGTGCAACATAAGGAAATGCAGGTATAATATCAGATGTTTGTATATGAAAGGAAAGGACATTCATTGAGTACTCATACTCTTTCTTCATCAACATCTGCTCAAACTTATCAGCAGCAAGTGCTTCGGCCATTTGCTTACGACAATCCGATAACAGTAACTCATGGTACTTGTCTCTGTGCTTGCTCAACACATCAAGCAAAGCATCGACAGGGTACCCATAACGACGCAAGGTTACACTAAGCAAACTCACATAGTCCTTAATCAACAGCAAATGATTTGCTGTTTGCATTCTAGAAAATTGATCTTCCAATACAGAGCACATTTTACTCACAGCCGTATCCCATAAGTTTTCTACTTCCATTTTCGATATTAATCCACCACCGGTCCTCAAAATTCGATCTTCAACTATAAAGAAACCAGCAATTTGAGCAAAAAATGTCTGGTGAGATTCAAGAAAAGGTGTCATTGAAGATACCTGAAAGTCCGAAGTCAATTGAAGCTTGCGATTCTCAAAGTAGTACTGTTTAAACCGATCTTCAACCCCTAGTGTCTGGTGAATATGATAAGCCTTATACAGTGGAGTCAAATCAAACCCTAAAATACCAGTCCCATAATTACCATAACCATCCTTACCTTCATCTCCGATTTCGCCGAGTCCATCATCATCTTCTTCTTCTAAAGCATAAACGCAGTCTCTTAAACTGAGTCGACTCTGTTCTTCAGCTTGCCTTTGCTTAATGCGTAGCTCTTCTTCTCTCTGCCTCGCAGCCGAGGCATGTCCGATAGCGAGTTGCCCAAGATTACGACTCACCGTACGGATCTCAACGAGCCAATCGCCAAACTCTTTGTTGATTCGCCGTTCGATATTCGATCTAATCGCCGGGATCTGCTTCTCCAACATCCGCCGAAGCGTCGTCGAGGGCGTTTTATCGAGAAACTGGCTCTCAATCGAGTCCACACACTTCAACGCCATGTAGAAGTTTTTCGCAGAGAGGTGAAAATTGGCCCGCGAGCAGAGCTCGATCAATTGAACGCAGGTTCGAACGGAGTCTATTGCGAGAGCTACGTTTCGGCAAACGTTTCGAGCCTCGACGAAGGAGTCGAGAGAGGACAAGAGGGGGCGAGCGACGGACTGTAATTGAGTGTTGGAACTGGAGAGAGATGATTTGAGGGAATCGACGTCGGAGAGGAGGGATCGGAGGTCGTCAACGGCCATAATGAAGTCCTGGTAGTGGGCCCTACAGACGTCCTCGATCTCGGACTCCTTAGATCGGGTGAAGTGGCGGAGGTGGTGGAGGAGTGTCTCGGGCTTGCCGGAGGCGAAGGCTTTGCGGACGAAGGGGCCCAAATCTTCGCCGTTGCAGATGGCGGAAGAGAGGAGAAGCTGGTCCAGTTTGTCGGACTCGCCGTCCGTCACCGCGGGGGCGATTTTCCGGCGCATCTTGGTCGTCTGCATAGTCGACTTTGCGGTTTTTTCAACAGTAACCGCTACAGTGACGGATGGCGGAGCAGATTTAGGGGAGAGAGCCAAAAAGAGAGAGGATTTGGTTTGGACAATGAAAATGCGACGTTGTTGGTGTTGGAATTTATATTGACCAAAATGCCACTAGGAACTAATGCAATGTTACTGTACCTTTAGCGCAGAGATTTCAGTTGTGAGGTTGTTATGGATGGGTAGTTTAGTAATTAGAAAAAGGGGACTATTGTTGGTAAATCTTTTATCTTTGACATTTTGATCGTTCGCCGGAGTTTGTGTCTGAGATGAGATCTCATATAGTGATAGTCGACGGGTATGACGATAACACGCGCTTTTGCTCGTTTCAGACATAGTGAATCTGACGATAATTCGACGCGCTGTGGCCTCAAAAAGGCGCGTGAAAAAGTGCTTGTTCTTACATGAAGAAAAACTTTATTGAGCCCCTATGCCCATGGGGCAACTACAATACATTGTATACCATGGGGCAAATACACGATAAAATATTTTTTCCTCTATGCCCATGGGGCAAATACAATACATTGTATACCTATTATACGGTGTAACAAACACGATAAAATATTTTTTCCTCCCCACAATCTTTCTCCACAAAATTTCATAAATTAAAAAAAAAAGTAAATTATATTGGCATTTCTTGAGATTTGGATGGACGTGATCCGGATGGTTAATAACTTTTTTTTGCATTGATACCCTAAAGTTTTTAAAATGTACATTGATATTCTTCAAAACTCTGAAAATATATGAAATTATTTTTTAACCCTTCAACTTGTCAACTATCAAATTTAAATCATGAAATTACAAATTTAACCTCCTAAATAAATTTAATGAATGAAACTAACTCTTGGTCTCTTCTATACATATAAATATGGTTTATATATAATAATATTTATACCACCATAACCACCATCACAACATAAAAAATTAAAATTAAAATTAAAAGAGAAAATTAATTAATTTTTTTTTTTTAAATAATGAGATAACTATATACCACCATCACCACACCCAAACACCACAGTTGAAAAAAGTCTCCACAATCTTCCTACACAAAAATCCATAAATTAAAAAGAGTAAATTATATTGGCATTTTTTGAGATTTTGATCAACACCACTCAGCAAATGGTTAATGACTTTTTTTTTACACTGACACCTAAAGTTTCAAAAATGTGCATGGACACCTTTGACTTGTCAACCACCTAATATAAATCATGAAATTACAAATTTAACCTCCTAAATAAATTTATGAACGAAACTAACTCTTCGTTCCTTCTATATATATAGATATGATTTATATATAATAATATTTATACCACCATAACCACCATCACAACATAAAAAATTAAAATTAAAATTAAAATTAAAAATTAAAAGAGAATTTTTTTTTTTTTTGAAATAGTTCCATAACTATATACCACCATCACCATACTCAAACACCACAATAAAAAAAATAATAATAATAACAATAAATAAATAAAAATAAAATTTGAAAACAGACATGGGCAATCCATATTTATACATCCCAAACACCACCATATCAAGACAACATACCCTGGCGTTACCAGAACCACCACCACCACCACAATAGAAGGAAAAAAAAATAATTTGAAACACCCTAATAACCTAGATACCACCACAACCACAACACAACAACCATCACTAGAGTAGAACAATAATAATAAAAAAAACAGCCATGGCTAGCCTAAACCCACCATAATAAATAAAAAAAAGAAAAAGAAGAAGTCATGTCCGAGATCGAGAGGAGAGAGAGGGGCGGCTAGGTACTAAAATGAATTAAAAAAAAAAAGAAAAAGAAAAAGAAAAAAAGAGTTAAAGATTAAATAGAGAAAGAGAATAAATGATGAGGTTAGCTTTGTGATTAACAGAGTTGTAAATTAAATTAAATAATGAGAAGTAAATATGACATTTGAAATCATACGAGTGTCAGTGTTAAAAAAGTTATTGACCCGTATTTAAGTGACATTAACCAAAACTTTAGGAGTGTCAATACAATTTACCCTTAAGAAAATAATCCCAAAAAAAGTAAAATAAAATTACATTAAATTTCAGTAAGTATGATTATGGTAACATTGCTTGAAAAAATAAAAGTGATTTGATGTGCTATGTTCCAACTATGGCATTCTCCAATAAAAAAACCTTTTCCGTTTTTTTACTATACCTGAGAAACATAACTTTGCAATTCCACGGGAGGAAAATCTCGTAACCATATGATCATTAAATACCTCTATATAATTAATTATTTCAACCAGGACCAAAATTAATTATTTCAACCAGGACCAAAAGAATTAGTTGAACTATTGAAGTCAGGCGGAGCTGTGATTTCAATTCACGTTTTGGCGTGGTATACAAAAACAATAAAAAAATCATTGCGCTAAAATAATATGATCAATTAATTTTTTTTTAACTACTTGACGAGTACAAGAACTAAATATTATTTATTAATTAATATTTTCATTAAATATATTTGTTGTTTTTTTTTTTTTTAATCTTGAAAGCAATGTATGAAAATTATATCCATTGACTTCATAACAAATTTTAAGAGCAAAAAGGAAAAGAAAGAAAACTTTAAGAGATAATTTTAAAAATTAAAAATTAAAAATTTTAGAGGAGGTAAATAAAAAAAAATTAAATTTTATATTATCTCTATTCTAAAAAGGATGTCTCTTTTGAAAAACTGTGAACAAATATTTATTTTGAAACGAAGAGAGTACTTGGCAGGACAGGCCAGGGAACATATGCCCTGGACACACAGTGGCTCCAGCATGCTTGAGGTTGACTTTTTGGTAATTATTTCTCTTTTTTATACTCCATTTTATTTTTATTACGGCACGGAAGCAGTTGAGCCATCCAAAAATGATTTACATATATAATTGAGCTGTGAATTGAGTCAAGCACGAGCTGTTCAAGCTCATTCGTAGGCCATGCAACTCACATATTGACAACTCCGGGGGTTCATTCAGCTCGCGTGAGCCAGTTTTGTGACCATGAGCTAACCATCGTCATTTAGACAATTGTGGTCTCAATATAAAGAAATGAACCAAATGACTCGAGCTTGAGCGTGGCTCATTCAAGCTTGAGTAGAGCTCGAACAAGTTCCATCTTGACCAAAATACTCAGCTCAGCACTAATATTTTGCAGCCCTAGTGGTGTTGTATGATATTTGTAATCATCTCTGAACTAAACAAAGGAATTTAATTCAGAAGCAACAGTTTCTATAGATCCAACAGAGGCTTTCAGACTCCAAAGATATTGAGCCAGACTGCTGCAACTTATCACGTCTATCGGAGGATATAAACTACATCAAGTCCCGACAACGCCAAGGCCAAGCCCTTCCCACAATGCTAATTGGTGTTTAATTCATGCTGGTGTAACTATTTGATTCTGATATATATAAAACATTCTCTACTGATCCACAGGACAGTGTCACATTTTTGAAGTGATGGTGAGAGTACTACAGCACTAGCAAAAGGACATAAACCAAACACAAACTTTGAATTGCCAATCCCGGTATTTCAGCAACAAGAAGAAGAATACACTACAACTCAAATAGATTACCAGAAGAATCTTATAACCAAACTTTTAAGATTCTTCAGGTCACTAGTAGAAGAAACATCACTTGCCCAATATCCTGAATGATAGTGAAAGTTGCAAACTAGTGACAGGATATCGTTTCAACACATACTTCAGCCAGTTCGACTTTTACAAATGTAATGAACTCGCCAAAGAAGAAGATATACCACAACTCAACTAGATGAGCAAAGGATCCTTATAACCGAGACTTAGCCTGCTCGACCTGCAGTAGTTATGAACACCATCTTATTAGTAAAGTCAGCAAGTCATCATCCAAAATAAGAAAAGTGGCCATACAACATAAGGACTGCTGCAGAAGATACTGGATTGCTATGGCCTTACATATAAGTCAACTTGTGTAAAAACTGGGAGAATGTATAGAAAATTTGTGAAAAAAACTAATGATAAAAATAAATCAAAATTATTTTCGCTTTGATTCCCAAAAAGCAAGATGATCTTAGGGTTCAGTTGGATAAATGGATGGAGGCTATCGAAGTTGGATTCCAAAGACCAAAATGATTTGGATTAGATGTATAGGAGAAATATTTTATTACGATCACTGCGAAACTTGAATCTTTACCAGCATGGATTACAAATAACTCCTTACAATTCCTCTTCTCCATTCATCTGAAATCTTCTCAAGTCCATCAAAGTATATTTCTTACATAATTGAACCAAAATCCCATTCATTTGAAATCCTTCAATATAAATGGAACCTTATCTTCCCATTTTGGTTACACGATACCATTCCGATTTGTACTTGTGACAATCACACGAGAAAGACATAAAGTAAACAAAAAAAAAAAAAGTGCACAAACTCTTTGATATTTCAAACAGAACCAGCAAAATTGTTCTTAAATATTCAGGTGCAATCCATGTCATAGATTGGTGCTCTTTGTACTAATAAATAAATCCACTATGAAATATGTAAATTACAGCAGCAATTGAGATTTCTTACCAAAGAAGTTCCCTTGGAAGCTCGTTCTGCTAAATAGGTACAAGGCTTGAACAATTCTCCATAAGTCTTTGACCAGTCATTCAATTTTGAGTAAATGTATCTAGACCCAAGAGAATCAGCCCAGAAAATAATTCCTCCCCTGATTCCGTTCATATAGAGTAAGCATTCCATACTACTTGAAATAAAAGGTGATATTGTATTATCAAGAAGGAAAATACATACCTGTACGCTGGGAACCCCATACCCATAACAGAAGCAATATCAAGGTCGGATGCCTTGACTGCAATTCCTTCTGCAAGGATGCGGCAGGCCTCATTCACAACAGGAAATAATATCATCTCAACAATGTCTCCATCAGACAACTTTGTCAACTGTGTCCACAATGAATGAGAGGAGAGAGAGAATTCCAACTTGGATAATCAGCAATTCACCTAACAACGTCAAGAATCAATGGTACAGATGAGAGAGAGAGAGAGAGACACCTTCAAGTCAATCGTAACATCAGAAATACTCCGAGCCTTTTTAATGTACTTCAATAATTCAGGATCTGGGCTAGCCTTGCGCTTGTCATCATATACATAGAAACCTTTGAGAGTAGATTCACCTGAAACATGTTCCAGAAGAAGCAAAAAACCCATTTATAACCCCTGATGTCTCAAATAGCAATCATTCAACATAAATTCTCCTTTCTTATTCCCAGACCCATATGGGTTAAATAGTTTACCTCCACGACCTTCCTCTTGCAGGACTGGAATCAGCATTGATTTATGGGATCTCTCAGGGAAGTTCTCAATAACTTGGACACCACCAGCAACAGCAACTCCAAAACCAACCAGATCAATCATTCTGTATTGAAGTATAAAAACAGAGAAATAAGATCCGTTTTAGCCTGTTTCAACCAATCACAAAGGTAAGAGATCAAAATTCTAAATGCAGTAGGCTTGCAAAAGAGTGTTTAGACACACATGACATATTGAATTTCATGCCATCTTACAAGTTACAAGCAACAGAATTAAATTGAATATGCTTTCTAAACCATGCAATACTGAGTATGCATGTTTTATGGATACATGATACACACATACAATTATATGGTAATATGAGTCGTATAAAAATTTAGAAATATGATATTGTTTTTGTTTCTTTTTAGTTATTTGATATTGATAATGCCTATTTCACCCAATGAAATTCTGGAAGACATGCCATATACGATTGAAATAGAATCATATCACTTTAATCAGACTCTGAGCAGTGGACATGTACCTAAATGGACCCATTGGCATTCCAAACTTCATGATTGCCTGATCAATCTGATAAACATCTGCACCTCGTTCAACAAGCAAGATGGCTGCTTGGGTGTAAGGGAAGAACATCCGGTTGACAGCAAATCCAGTACAGTTCCTAACTACAACTGGGGTTTTCCTTATCTTCTTCCCAATATTTAGCAAGTCAACTATTACTTGGGGAGATGTTTTCTCTGTACGAACTATTTCCAGGAGAGGCATGATATGAGCAGGACTGCATGAATACTATGTCAATGCTAAATCACGAAATTATAATAAATACTCCATGATCGCATATTATTAAGCAACACCGGAAAAAATGGGCCCCAACAATCCGATTTTGACTTCTTCTCCTTTCTCCAATCAAGTTCAAGTCAATTGTGGAAGTATTAGTAGCAAGTATGCAATGCTGTGGGCAATATTTTTCAAGATTGGCAAAAATTTGTTGCTTTAAAGAAACATTTTCAAATACTGCCTGCCAAAAGCATCAAAAAGAGAGGAAAGTAAAGAAGTCAATTAAATCTGGGTTTCCCACAATATAACAACTCATAAGCACTTTTACTGTACCCACTTAACTAACACAAGGTATAATATTCTAATATATTTTTGCCTTTGTTTCAACTTCCGCCGCCCACCTCTCCCCCCCCCCCCCCCCCCCCCCCCCACTCACAAACACTCGACAAGCAAGCATTCATCAAAGAAAAGAAGCTTCATAAGTATTAGTAGTACGGCCAGCATCAAATGTAGGTCAACTTTAAGGAACCTGAGATAGCACTATTTGGGAATCAAAGAATAGAAGATTTCTGCCAATGTGTTGTTACGTTTCTCACTTCCAATGTTTGTAGGAATAGCTCTTCACCAGTCAGGAAGTAATTCATGGACTTCATAATGCTCAATCAAGTTTAGCTGCCAACTGGAAGACCTTCGCAGGACAATCATCTAATTCTCCAAAAGATCAATGGGGAAGTAAATATTCTGCTAGACCATAAGAATTTCTAGCAACTCTTTTTCTTGCCTTCAACACAACAGAGCTGAAAGCCTTAGATTGAACTCGCCATCCCTAATTCCCTATTTGTTTGCTCAGCGGTCATGCTAAAATAGACAAAAATAGTAGCAGCAGAGTAGCTAAGAAAAACTAGCAAAGAGAAAGTTCTAATTCAAACTCATAAGAGTGGTTTTAGTAATTGGAACTAACCTCTCTGACTAAATCCACATCTCTGAAGCTATCAAAGTTGAGAACACCCGTCAAAAGAGAGATGGTTTTCTCAAGCTTCCCTTGAATCAATTTTCCTTTCTTAACATGATTTTGCAAATTTGCTGGAGAAAGATAAAAAGATTGCAAGAATTGAAGTTGTAAGCAGACAGATATTTTAAGTGATTTATTAAAAAAAAATTTTTTGCTCACCTTTGACTCTGCTGATCCCAGCCAATTGAAAATCCTCATTGACTTCTTTCAGGATTACATGGTAATTACTCAAGATAAACACTGTTGCTATTCCAGAGCCCATTAGTCCTCCTCCAATAATAGCAACCTTATTTACTCTCCTTGGTTCCAAGCCCATATCAGTTATTCCGGGAATCTGTGAAAATTTACAGTGAGAACATGTGACAAGCAATTGATGAAGAGGAAGATGTGAAATCCTTGGCAGTTGAAACCGATATAAAGTTTCACAACTGCCATATCATATAACAATTAAAGATATAAACTTGAGCAATGAAGCATTAGTTTGACCTATAAGTGGGATATATGCCCCTTTTAATTACTGCTCATCGACAATTAAACATGCTCAGGATCAAACTTAACTTCGAATTCAGGTTTCCATTTCTGAATCAAACTAACCCAACACTCAGATAAAATTGCCAAATTACCAATAATAATTGATGTCACAGTCATCTTAGACAAGAGCCTACAATCCGTTCTTGTAACCTGCCATGACTCTACCAAATGCATGAGGTATCCTATCAGATAAATGACACTTAGATATAGGTACAGAGTATGTGTCCAACTTTTTATTTTTAACTATATTTAATAATTTAAATTTATTACAAAAACATTATTAAATTTCTCTTACTATTTTCCTTTGTTACATTATTGGTTCAAAGAATTAAGGAACCATGTTGAAGGCTTAAGTTAAAAACATTATTTTACCACAGAATATAAAGAGCATTAGAAAGCCTGAATATTTCGTCATACCCTGTAACTTAGGTTTATGGATTTGGCAAATCCCACTCTTGGACATATATCCATGCCTGCATGTACCAAGGTGCATATAACACAGATGAGTATGGCCCTTAAACCACCTAAAGGTTCTGAACTGCGTCGACTAATAATTTTTCGTCATACCCTGTAACTTAGGTTTATGGATTTGGCAAATCCCACTCTTGGACATATATCCATGCCTGCATGTACCAAGGTGCATATACACAGATGAGTATGGCCCTTTAAACCACCTAAAGGTTCTGAACTAAGTCGACTAATAATTTTTCAGTGAGTCACTTTTGCTTTAATACATAGGAATAATTTTGTAAAAACTAGAGAAAAATAGGGAGAAAATCTTACAATACTTTTATTCTTCTCACAAGGAGGTATATATACTATACACATATTATACATATAAGGTAAGTATTAAGTTTACAAAGTCAGCTCTAATTAATTACGCTAGTTATGCTAATAGATGAAAGGTAAACCCTAATCAATCATGTTAACACTCCCCCTCAAGTTGGTGCATAGATGTCTCGTATGCCCAACTTGTTGATTGAAGTATTGAAACTTCTACTTGATACTGCCTTGTCAAAATATCTACTAGTTGGTCCTCGGTCTTTACAAAAGGCAAGCTAATTATTCCACCTGCTAGTTTCTCTTTGATATGGTGTCTATCTACCTCAACATGCTTGGTACGATCATGTTGAACTGGGTTATGAGCAATGCTAATTGCAGCCTTGTTATCACAATAAAGACTCATAGGTTTCAAGGGACAGAAACCCAATTCACCCATCAAGATCTTCATCCATAACAATTCTTGAACCCCATGGGCCATAGCTCTAAATTCTGCTTCTGCACTTGATCTAGCTACCACATGTTGCTTCTTACTCCGCCAAGTTACTAAGTTTCTACCTACGAAAGTAATGTATCCAGAAGTTGATCTTCTATCAGTTATTGATCCAGCCCAATCAACATTTGTGTAACTCTCAACCTCTAGATATCCATGTTTAGAAAATATTAGACCTTTACTAGGGGCAGATTTTAGACACTTGAGAATCCAATATATAGCATCTATGTGAGCTTGACTAGGTGCATGCATTAACTGACTCACCATACTAACCACATAGGCAATGTCAGGGCGTGTATGAGATAAGTAGATTAGTTTCCTAACTAGCCTCTGGTATCGTTCGTTATTTGTGGGAACTTGATATAGATATTCCCCCCAACTTGTCGTTTTGGTAAATTGGAGTATCTGCTGGTTTGCAAGCTAGCATCCCAGTTTCAGTCAACAAATCCAAGGCATACCTCCTTTGGGACAGGAAAATACCATGCTTTGATCTAGCCACCTCAATACCCAAAAAATATTTCAGAGTACCTAGATCCTTCATCTAAAATTCCTTGGCTAAATAATTCTGGAGTTTTCTATCCTCTCTGTCATCGTTACCAGTTAATGCAGTAATCTTGTCTTTATTTCTCTTGAGGAATAGAGTATAATCAACTTGAGTCTGTTTGAATCCATAGTTTTTCATTGATTGTGTGAACCTATCAAACCATGCCTTTGGAGATTGTTTAAGTCCATACAATTTCGTAACTTGCAAACCTTATCCACATCATAAGAAGTAGTAAACCCTGGAGAAGGGTCCATGTAGACTTCATCATCCAACTCTCCATGTAGGAAATTACCTCCGCATGATCTTCAGGAATATCCTCAGAAGGAGCCGTTTGGTCCGATGGTTCAAAAGGGGACTCTGCCGAACCTATCTGAGTGCCTTCCTCATTATCTTTTTGATTATCCATATGTACCTTTTTACTTTTCACATACACCTTTAACTCTTTCTCCTTCTTTTCAGGTGTCTGTCCTTTGCACAATTAATATTTCATCCAAAAAAAGACTTCTCTTCCATCTGACTCCCAATCTCCCCCTGAAGAGAAGTATAGTAACTCCCCCTAAAAAATAGGATTCTTTCTCACAGAAGGTAACATCCATAAAAACAAAGAGTTTACAGGTAGGAGGATGAAAAAAACGATATCCTTTTAGGGTGATAGAATAACCCACACAGATACACTTCAAGGCACGAGGATCCATCTTATCCCGTTGATGTGGATGAACATGGACAAAACTAACACATCCAAAGACCTTAGGAGGAATGTTAAGACGGGAAGGAAGAGAATGATACCGAGATAAGACTTGGAGAGGTGTTTGAACTGGAGAATGCTGGATGGCATGCGATTTATAAGAAACGCAGCCGTGAGTACTACATCACCCCAAAATTTTTTGGGAACACGCATAACAAAGCATAAAGATCGAGTCACCTCTAGGAGATGGCGATTTTTACGCTCAGCTATACCATTCTGTTGAGGGGTAGAGACACATGAAGTCTGATGAACAAGGCCATGTTGCTGGAAGTATGCACCAAGAGTATGTTTGAGATACTCTCGTCCATTATCAGATCCGATCACCTGTATGGAACCATTAAATTGTGTATAAAGCATTTGGTGGAAAATTGGAAAAATAGAAGCCACCTCACTTTTATTCTTCATCAAATAAACCTAAGTCACTCGTGTGCAATCATCAATAAAAGAAACAAATCATTGTGCACAAGTGTGAGAAGGAACCGAAAAAGGACCCCAAACATCAGTATGAATGAGTGCAAAAGAAACATCACTTTTATTAAAACTTAAAGGAAATGAAACATGCTGGTGTTTTGCTAAAATGCAATGTTCACACTGAAAATCTAAAAGAGAAACTTTAGAGAATAACGAAGGAAATAAACGTTGCAAATACGGAAAAGATGGGTGTCCCAGTCTTCGATGCCATAACCAAATATCTTCTCTAGCCTTGGATTCCTCTACTCCAACTTGGAACACTAGGGCAACCTTGGAACCAGGTGAAGCACTCAAATCGAAGTAGTACAGGCCCCCTCTCTCCTTACCAAGACCAATCGTTTCCTTCGTAAGAATATTCTGAAAAACACAATAGGTAGGGAAAAATGTTACACAACAATTTAGATTCTTAGTAATTTGACTTATGGAGAGTAAATTATTAGAAAGGGAAGGAACATGTAAAGAAGAAAGAGATATAGAAGAAGACAAAGGAACAGATCAACTCCTAAAACTGGTGTGGACAAACCATTAGCAACTTTAACACTACTCCTAGAAGGATTAAATTTTGAAACAAACCGAGTTGGGTTATTAGTCATATGATCGGAAGCCCATGAATCAATGATCCAAGATTGAGCACAAGGAATAGAAGAAATATTCAAGGCATATCCCAAATTACCTGTATTGGCCAAAGAGGTAGAAGCATCAACTTGGGAAACTTGCTGAGAAGGTTTGGTTACCGAAGAAGGCAAAGAAAGTTGTGGTGCAATTTGAGTGTCACCAGAAGTATGATGAGCTTGAGACCCATAGTTGCCTCCCTTTTTCTGGGCATTTTTCTTCTGAACATACTAGTCTGGATAGCCATGTAGCTTAAAGCATGTTTCTCGAACATGTTTAGTACCATTACAATAGCTCTGAGTATCAGAGGATTTGCAATCAGATGAACCAGAAGAGGACCTGCCTAGAGGAATAGTGGTACCAGCAGAAGGAATCACTGATGCAATCTTAGGAGAAGATCCCAATTTCATAACTATGCCATCACTGAATTTTCCGCCATACTAAAAAGCATAAGCATTTTGAATACTTGGAAGCGGATCTTGAGCCAATACTTGGCTCTTAATTTGGTCTAGACTGGGATCTAAACTAGCCAAAAAATCATATAAACAATCCTCCTCAATTTGGTTTTAAATTGTAGCCGCATCTTTTGCACATTCCACGGAACAAGGATGAAGATAATCCAATTTTTGCCAAATAATTTGAAGTGCAGCATAATACTCAGTCAAAATCTTACTATTCTGACGGGTCTCATGTGCTCGACAACGGAGTTCATACATCTGTGAAACATCTTTGCCAATAGAAAATGTTTGAGCAACTGCATCCCAAACATCATGGGCAATGGGTAAGCGGAGAAATACAGCCCTAATTCCGGGAGCCATCGAATTGAGCAACCATGACTTAACCATGGCATTCTCCTCCACCCAAGTAGCATAAGCAACAATATCTTTTTCATTAGGCTTAACCTTGGTACCAGTCAAGTATCCCACTTTCCCTCGACCAGTGACATATAACTCTACACTTTGGGACCAAGTGGAAAAATTGGAACCATCTAATTTACCTGGAGTAATTTGTAAGGACAAGTGGTCCTGATGAACAGTAACTGAGGCAAACAGCAAAGGGGCAGAAGTTGAATCTCCTTTGTCTTTTGAGTCACGCATTACTTGTAGCATTTAAATATATATATATATATATATATTGACTAAAGAACACAACAACGCAAATTGTTAACCCCAAAAATAATAGCAACACAGATTGCAAAATTCAATAAGAAGAATAGTTACAGTAGAGAAGACCCAAAAAAACTCACGGCACAAAAGGAGAAGAATGAAGTTGGCGACGAGTCAACCTGAAAATAAATTCTCCACCACCTTCAAATCAAGCCGAGAGGGTTTGTGCAAGTCAAATTGATGATTTGCCGATAAGCCGCAGCGGAAATCAGTAGTTAATTTGGCAAGAAATCGACAAACCAAGCCGATTGGAAGCAAAGATAAGGCTGACGACAAAAACTGATCGGTCAGAGAGAAAGATAAGCCATCGGCAAGCAGAGTACAACCAGCGACAGGTATGATTTTAGGTATTATAGAGTGACGGTAAGTATGGGTATGGGTAGAGTTTAGACAAATTCGTGACTACTAAGGTAAATCAGAAAAACCCTAATCGTGTAGGCTGTAATACCATGTCAAAACTAGAGAAAAATAGGTAGAAAAATATTACATACTTTTATTCTTCTCACAAGGAGGTATATATACTATAGACATATTATACATATAAGGTAAGTATTAAGTTTACAAAGACTGCTCTAATCAACTACGCTAAGTATGCTAATAGATGAAAGGTAAACCCTAATAAATCACGTTAACAAATTTAAAAAATTAAGTAGCAAAGATTGAAGCTATTTAGCTATGTGATTAGCTCACTCTAAAATCATTTTTCCCTTTACATTGATCAACGACAACATTAACAACCTGAATTTGTTCAAACCTTTATAGTTCCACGTTGAGCAAAGAAGAAGTGGACCAAACTCCTACAAGTGTCAGACTGTCTAAGTGCCTGCAGGGCCTCTGCTTCCTGCCAACATCAACAGAACGTCATATTATATCATTCAACCAGGATTTGAACATGAAATAAAAATGATCAGTGCACATACCTTCCAAAGTCCCGCACGAGGACCATATACAATACCCTCTTCAATGACATCGATACAAACCAATGGGTGTTTGAGATTTGGAGCTTGTTTCTCAGCCTGAATTCTAGCAAGCTTTAGTATTATTCTAGCTTCAGCCAAGGACTCTAATTTTTCAGTTTTGTATAAACTAACAACCCATGGTTTTCTATACTCCAAAATATCCAAGGCGTGCCAACGAGCTGTATTAACCAACTCATTTGCTGGAGCTATGGCATCCACAAGACCTAAACTCAGAGCTTTGTCTCCAGTTACAGGCTTTGACATCTGGAGAGAGAGAGAGAGAGAGAGAGAGAGATGAAAAAGTTATATGCCAGAATATAGAAGGTTATTAAATACATCTAGAACCAACTGATCAAAAAATTGATAGGCTACCAGCAGAAATTCAAGAGCCGTAGTAAGGCCTACAAGCCGTGGCAGCCGCTGTGTTCCTGAGGCAAGTCACAGATTTGAGATTGAAGAACATTAAGAAGACCGACTATATGCAACCTTCATGATACTCTTCACTATATTATAGGTGAAGTATTGAGAAAGAAAAGCATAATCTCCTTCTTAAGGTGAGATATTAGCTATTTCCTCTTATGTATAAGCATGTGCGTGCAGGTGTTGGTGCAGTGCAACTTTGCGGGATGACTATTATTTTGGCTACGCTCAAATTGAAAAAGGTACATTCTTTTGAGACACCTGAAGCGAAACAGCCAGCAAGAGGCATCAAAATCATTAAACTGGGCCTGTCATCTAATTGGTACAACTTGCGACGTCCCACAGGTACAATACTTCACCAAGTAGAACAGTTTCCCAAAAAGCCCATATGCACACCACATTGCATAAAACAATATAGATGTATTGGAAATTCTGCCTGTCATTCACTTACTGGCTAGAACTTTTGTTTAAAAGTACAGAGCATCAACGATATTAACTATGAATTTTAGAGAACAAGATTGAGAAATCAAATACTTCCAAACATTATAGTTTCACAAGCATAAAAACACAACACTACCTCCAAGTCCAGGAATAATTCCATACAGAAGTTCAGGTGAACCTAGTTGTGCAGTAGAAGTTGATATGCGGGCATGGCAGGCCTGACTCAACATTTTTTGTGAAACCCAAAAATGTCATCCAAGATAAAGACCCAGAAAGAAAAGTGAATAAATAAACTCAACATTTTTTGTGAAACGAATTTTAACACATACCATTGCAACCTCTAATCCACCACCTAAGGCGATGCCATCAATAGCAGCTACTAAAGGTTTTTTAGCAGCTGTGGAAAGAAGCAATCATGAAAACAGATATTATAAATCTAGTAAAACATTAGGAAAATACTCCTGGTAACAGATGGACTCAAAGATTAACATACCTTCAAAAATATCAGTGAAAAATTCTATTGACAGGTTGCCAAGCTTTCCTTCCTCCATTGTAATATACACATTTAAATATAATAACACAGAAATATAGTAATTTTCAAGAAAATAAAACACCCACACACACAGATATATATATTCTTTTTTAGCCAAGTAAGATAATTATATTGATTGAGAAATATGGTGCAGTAAAACATATAAGTTCGTAGCATACTTTTAATCCCTTGACATCCACCAAACGCTGTGACGTCAGCACCTCCTGAGAACTTACCTTTTGCACCTGCTTAATTAATGAGGAATGTTATATTCACAACTTTATCATATGTTCCCATGACTACAAAGAAAGGGTAATCTCTGAAAGTATACCAGTTACAACAATTGCTTTCACATCATCTCTTTGCAATGCTTCCTCAATGCTTCCTTTTAAGCTGAGTAGTTCTATAAATGGACAAGAATATGATTATATTGTGTAGCTCATAAAGCTTTGATTGCCAAAGTTACAGCAAATGGGAAAATCACAGCAGCTTTTAAAAATGAATGTTTTGAGCAGTTTTATTGACACTGGAAGAGTTGTGTCAATTAGGCTACATAACTCAAATTACAACTGGATACAAGAAACAATAAATGGACAATTGGGTGCCAAAAATAACTTCTATAATTTAAAAGTTCAGCTGAAAATCAAATGTTTTCATGCCAATGGAACTTCACCTGGTTGCCAATTATAATTTTTGTCTTCTTTGAAACATAAACCTTTAAATGTAAAAAAGTTGCAATATGCCATCGGTAAACAACACGATGATCAACACAATCGGGTAATAAAGATCATCCCTTACTGTTTGATAAAAAATGAAACTATCAAGACCAGCAATTTCAATTATATAATTCAAAAAGCAACAAAAATAATGCATCTTGAGCTTATATTTAACTCCATGAGTTCTCCTTTATGTAATGTCAAAAGACTTAAAATAGTTGAATAATAATGCATCTTGAGCTTATATTTAACTCCATGAGTTCTCCTTTATGTAATGTCAAAAGACTTAAAATAGTTGAATTTCTCCTTGTTTAAAAACATGTCTGATTTTACTAGCAGAAAAAACAATTTTATGACACTAAAGTTAGCCAGAAACCTTCTTTTGTAAGTTTTCTCCATTACAGTTTCAATTACCCATTATTTATCAGACATTAATTTTTTTTTTTTTTTTTGGTGACAAGAGAGGTGTCTCCATCCTTTGGGTGAGCCCAATTCCTTTGGATAAGTGGCGGGCTCCAATGTCATGGCCAATTTGAATCCCTCAAAGCTAGGGGAATCGAATTCAAGATCTCCACCTTAGAAGTGTAGTTCTAACCAACTCTTGCAGCCCTTGGGATTCTGAACTTTTAAACATTGGGGGAATTTTTTTTCCAACATTTTTGTCCACAGTGCAATACTGATTTCAACATCTATAACTATGACCATGTATGTGCTTCATGTCACGTTGGACAAAGTGGCAGAAACGACTCCAACACAATTTCTTTTAATAGTTGGGATAACAGAAAAAATGACACGTTATGGAGGGAAAACTAAAAATATTACTGATTAAAAAAGAAAAAAGAGAGTCCATGACGCCAACAATGAGTACACGAGAAAACAAATGTTCTCACCGTGCATAGTTCACCCCCAAAAAAAAATTGAAGAAAGAGAAAAGGAAAGAAAGATAGAGAAGAACTAAACTGTCTTTCTTCAAAAACAAAAAGTACTATACATTTTGATTTCTTGATTCTTTTTCCTAAGGACCATTCTTTCTACATCAACCAAAATGAAGAAAAAATAGCGGAGAAAAAAGAAATAGAAAGAAAAGCGAGACTTCAAAGAGATACCTTCGTAAGAAAGCAAATTGAGAGGTGGGTTGGAAATGGAGATAATGGCCACCCCATCAGCTGCAACCTCCAACCCTGTTCTTCTCTTCATCTTGATGTCTTTCCGCGCGCTTTCTCTCTCTGCCTTCTCCGATCCACCAAAATAAACCGAGAGTCCTTCCTGTCTATCATTACTTCCTGTCACTCACTCTGTAGTCTTGATTATAAAATGCAATCATTAATAGTTGTCGGTCTTGTCTTAATACCCAATTTGAGATTATTATTATTTATCAAGGCCCTTGTATAGTGTATTTTTTTAAAATTTTCAAATATAGAAAAAATTTCTAACTTACAAGTCTCTTTCCATCAACGTCATTATCATTTTCTACCAACACACAGGTTGGATTGAGAGATCATATATATATATATATATATTTAATTTTAATTTTTTTTAATTTTATTTTTGGTCACTTGAGGATTATTATTTACATTGCCAATAAATATACTCTCAATTGTGCTTTGGGCCTTAGCTTGGAATAAAAAAATTAAAAAATGAGTATAAAGGTATCAACACTATTGTCTGCTTGGATTGGGCCTAAGCTAGGAATAAATTAAAGCTAATTTTAGATATGGCCTGGAGTTGTGATCAGCCCAAATTTTAGAAAATTTTCTGCTGGACTATGTTTAGAACATTAATTATTACTGGGCCTTAGCTGAATTTACAAAGGCCCGGTCTAGTTGGCCTAAGTCCAACCCTACCTCTTCACTCACAAAGATAAAACGGCAGTACAAAAACCCTAGCGCTCCTCTCTCTCTCGACATTTTGGTTTCGGTAGTCGCGGCGGGACGCAGAAGCATTAGCAACTACTGCGACTATGGTATTACCCTCAAACCCTAACTATCTCTAAACCTCTTTTACTTCTCCCTTCGAGGTTTTTTTTCTTTGTTGGTTCACATTGTTTTTTTTTGTTGTTGCTGTATTAGGGTATCGATTTGGTCGCCGGTGGCAAGAGTAAGAAGACCAAACGGACCGCTCCCAAGTCCGATGATATTTACCTCAAGCTCCTCGTCAAGGTACTCTCTCTCTCTCTCTCTATTTGTGTGTGTGTGTGTGTGTGTGTGTGTGTGTATATATATATATATATATATATATATATATATATATATATAACGTCGTCGCATGTATATAAATCTTCTGAACGCGATGTTGTTTGATCTGTGGTCAGCTCTACCGTTTTCTTGTACGGAGGACGGGAAGCAAGTTCAATGCAGTGATATTGAAGAGGCTGTTCATGAGCAAGGTCAACAAAGCTCCTCTATCTCTCTCCCGTTTGATTCGTTTCACAAAGGGAAAGGTTAATCTCTCTCTCCTTTTCTTTATTTCTATATGATAGATTATATATTAACCCTCTGTTTGGCTAATGAGAATATTGGGAAAAGTAATAGGAAAATGATAATAAAGAAATTTAAAAAATCATGAAAGTTATGTTTTTGAAGAGTAAAAAAAAAAAAAAAAAAACTCATATCAGTCAAGCCAAGTGCTTGTATGCATTTTACCTGAGAGAAAATGAATGAAGGAAAGGGCAGTGGAAGATTTGTCATCACAGGTCCCAGCAATCAGAAAATATGTGATTCTGGCTCTACTTTTACCTTTGTGAGAATGAAGAAAGGGCAGGAGAATAATTACATGGCTTAATACGTATTTGTTTATATGTTGCACGCAATTTCTTTCGTTTTTCTTGTTCTCTATCTTTGCCGTCATTTTCTTTTATTCCAACTTCTTCCATCCAAATGCGCCTTACAAGATCTAAATGGTGTCTCAGTGTGGACGACCTTCATTCTTTTTAGGACCAATAGAGGGAAATTCAATTACATTTAATTGTGTGTGTGTATATATATATATATATATATATATATATATATATTAATGTTGGTACTGATTTGATACCAGGAGGATAAGATTGCTGTAATTGTTGGGACAGTTACTGATGATATTCGGGTAGATAAAGTCCCTGTTTTGAAGGTGACTGCCCTGAGGTTCACAGAGAGAGCCAGAGCAAGGATAGAGAAAGCAGGTGGAGAATGCTTGACATTTGATCAACTGGCTCTGAGAGCCCCTCTTGGGCAAAATACAGTAAGCATCTTGATTGTTATATCTCTGTACTTGTTATGTGTTTATGCAACGGTCAAGTAATTTTTGTGATTCTGATTAATTGTTTTAGCTTTATTCTTTAATCGTGTGAATAACTGAAAAAATTGAGATGCCTCTATTTGCAGTTTTAAGATGAGATGCCTTGTGATTTAGGTTGAATTTGAAGGCTTCTTGATTTGTACTATTTTATATAATTTGAAACTGTTTTGTTCAAAGTACTTGTTTGATTTAGGATTCAATTTTAAGACTGGCGGTTGTAGAATTGTAATAAGGTAGATAAATTGGCGATGCAGAATGCATTTGTTAGATTTTTTATCAATACCAGGTATTTCTTTTGCCAGCTAATGTGATCACTGTGTTCTTGTGTTTATCTCTTGCAAAACTTTAAAAGTCAAATATTTGTGGCACTTCATTGTCATTTTTTTTTTAATCATTTGGGAGTTGTTGGTGTCGCGTGTGATGTTCTTTTGTTGCTGACCTATAATTTAGTAACTTCTTGTTCATTATATGTAGAGTTTTGTTCTATATTAATTATCAGGCTTGTATAGTTTTTTTAGGTGAATTTTAATTTTATTTTTGAATCAAATGACTTGTGCAAGTAAGGAATATTAATCTTGCAAATATGAGTTGCAAGCAAGTTTAGGTTAAGGAGAAATTACATGGAAGGATTCTTGGATCCTTCATTTTCTTTACTTTTTTGTCTTGCTGTGAAAGGAGGTTGATTTATGTTTTTAGCATTGTTTTATTAAGTTGCTTTTCAGGGAAAAGCAGTAAGTTGATTTTTCCTTTATCCTTTGTTTTCCTTAATTATTACCTCATAAAAAACTATATGCATCCTAGCACATTTCAAGTTTCTTCTCCCAATACCAAAAGTTGCTCTTCGGCGAAAAGGAATAAGTTTATATTTCCTCCATCTTTTGCTTTTCTTAATAATTACCCATAAAATGTAGAGATCGATCGTAGCACATTTCAAGTTTCTCTCTCTACCTCCAATCCCCCCCTCCCCTCCTCCACACACGCACCCCACAAAAAAATAATGAATTTTGAGATTGCTGGATGCAAGAGAAAATTTTCATTAGTTTCTTGCATCTAACATCATAATAATGATATCTTCTAAACATTATTGTAGTCCTGTGAAATTTGTCGGTGGATACTGCTATCCCCAAATCAAATGTTTGTTTTACATTCTAAATTTTGTTTTAATTATCAAAAAATTGTAGAACTTATATGGATAATTCTCATTAAAAAAATGAAAAAAGTAATGGCTCATTAAAATGATCTTGCAAAGGGGTGGATTGGGTGATTTTTATACTGTCTTTTGTTATTCTATGATGATATCTTCGAACATTATTGTAGTCATTCGAAATTTTTGTAGAGAAATCCATTTCCAAACTAGATGTCTGTTTTAAATTCTAGAATTTCTTTTGACAAATCTTATTAAAAATGAAAAACTGAGGGCTCATTAAGTGACCATACAAAGGGGTGGTGGGTTGGGTAGTTTTTTTTACGTTTTTTTCGTCTTCCCTTTTTCTTTATATTGGTTTGGTCTGCCGTGGTTCCTCAAGTCTTATTTTGTTATTTTGAGCCTTAGCAGGTGGGAAAAAAATAAAAGATTGTAAAGTTATTAGTTTGAAGATTGGCAGGTGTGTCCGAAGTATATGTTTATGCTTTGGTTTTGTTTTGATTAGATTGGTTGATGTGGCTAAACTCTAAAGTATATGGTTAAGCTTAGGTTTTTGTTTGGTATGAATTGAATAGTAATTGAGATTGTCACCAATCAAGTTCAGGAGTAGGATCTTTTGAAATACTTACCATTTTTTGGGCTTGTTCGTAATCAAGACTTTCATGGCTGTAAGTCGACTCTCTTTAAACGGTGGTGTTTTTATTAGATTAGAAGTGAGTTACCTTTTCCTATTAGATTAGAAATGAGTTACCTTTCTCCAGTAGCCCGCCGTAGTTTGTCTTTGAAATTTCTTACATCGGAGTTCAGATACTCAAATGAGCGTAAACATGCTTGTGTCATACAAATTATTTTTTCCATGCAAGTGATGAGTAAAAACGATATTAATGAATTTGATCATACAAATCTTTATGGCCATGTGCTGCAGGTACTCCTCAGAGGTCCAAAGAATGCTCGTGAAGCAGTGAAACACTTTGGTAAGGCTCCTGGTGTGCCACACAGTCACACTAAGCCTTATGTGCGATCCAAGGGAAGGAAATTTGAGAGGGCTAGAGGAAGGCGGAACAGCAGAGGCTTCAGGGTTTGAGTTGTCCGACCACAAGACAGATTCATCTTTCAAATTCCAAGCAAAAGATGACCTCCTTTCTTATTATGTTTCCTTTTTCATTTCGAATTTTTTTCTATTGGTTTTGTTGGACAATGTTTTCTATGGAATTTCTCTTTGCGTATTCCTTTTCCCCTCTGGATATTTAAGTTATGAGAACTTTAAAATTACATGTAGACATTAGTATATCATGCTTTTGGCCACTGGATGGGTGCCATTTAGAAAATAGTTGCCTCCTTGTGAGGATTCTTTTATCTTCCGAACTTGAAATTGAAGTGCATGGTTGAGTCGATATTGGTATTGAACATATTGACTAGTTTCTTTCAATTGAATTTGTCCCATTCAATTAAGAAAAGTTGCATTCACAATCTCTACTTTTGTTCTTTCATACCTTGGGCGAGGGATTGCAAAATAATGTGAGATTAATCTCCCCTGAACTGACAGGCATCAATTGTGCTAGTTTTTTATGCATACTGCTCTTCCTCTCTGCTGTGCAGAGCTGATTGAGAAGAACTGTCTTTCAATTAATAATTGGTTCAGTTATTGGCTGGCGTTTAGCAGTTCATGTTGCTCGCTGTGATATTGATGATTTGTGTGTGATGCGCTCCGAGAAAATAAGCTTAGTGATCTGGGATTCTCACTTAGAGGATGAGTGATTGTTAACCTTTTGTTTTGAACTAAGGATTGACTTGTCTACGGTATGTACTTGCATTAACTATGTTTTATGTTTGGAAATTATATTAATTGCTTTTCATTGAAGATTTGGAGTGCTTATTCAAGTGTCTACATCTATGATGGACGGACGACTTCAAAAAATCCATGTGAAGATTGAAAGGTATTAAGATGTCACATACTCCGGTGTGCACTAATTTTCTTTTACTTGTACAGCTTTTTGATATGTTCCTGTCAGCATCACCTTCACTGGTAGCAATTTTGCACTTGGTGATTGTGGTCGTCTTAACTGAAACCTTTTAAACTGAGCAAATATGGTTAGGATCAATAAAACCTCACAATCTCGCCTGGTCATTTCTACCCATCCTGTCCTAGTTTGGACACAAGTTCTCCTTTTAGGTCAACACAGTTTTATAAAGAAATACTAATCCAATTGTCTTAGAAAATATGTGACTCGGAATAACTCAGTGGCCTCGTAATGAGAGAGTGGATTTCCCTAACGAGTTGACTCATTTGAGAGCGCGCTGGTGATTTTAGCATGCGTCAGTCCACGGATAAGGTTTTGCTCGAGATTGTAACGTTTTGTCCGAGCGGACGGCCAGGTTTGCTAAAAACCCAAGGGTATTTTAGTAACTACACTGCCTGAACGATCCACGTGAAAATTTCGTCACTACGTGCTGCTGCTCCATAACTTTTAGCATTAATATGGGGGGTGGGGCTACCAATGGTCCCGTAGACTTAGGATGACAATGAGGTGATTTAGAATCTCATCTGTATGTCTAATTTTTTTCACTCCTGTAATCACTTCGAAACGGTTGAAATTTTTTTAAGTAGTTTTCATTTTTATCTTCATTTACATAATTAATTTTTTAAAATGATAGGGCCTGTTAGAATAAATTTTTTTTATCATTCCTAATATAAATAGATATATATCAAATTTATTTTAATAATATATCATAATATGTTATGTAATTTAATACATTTATAATATATTTGAGTCGTGACAACCATCTCCAAAATTTCCCAAAAACTAGTAGAATTTTTGAAAGCAACCCCAATCCCATCACGACCCATTTACCTAATTGGTTACTAAAAGCCGGCGGTGATACGTGGACCACCCGGTTTCGTAGCCCATGTATTTTACTGTTGGTGGTATATTTCAACTCCTTTGGATCAATCTACCCCCTCCCCTCTCGAAAGATAAACATACCTTTGAACAAAAGCAGCTTTAGAGAGAAAGAAAGAAAGAAGAAAATATTCATACGGTACCTTTGAACAAAAGCAGCTGTAGAGAGAGAAAGAAAGAAGAAGAAAATATTCATATGCAGAGAGAGATGGAGAATATAAAGCACAGTAATATATATGTGAATGGAATAAACATGCACGTCGCAGAGATAGGTGAAGGCCCAGCGGTGCTCTTCCTTCACGGCTTTCCCGAGCTCTGGTACTCATGGCGCCATCAGATGCTTTCTCTCTCCTCCATCGGCTACCGAGCAATTGCCCCCGACCTCCGGGGCTACGGCGACACCGACACCCCGCCCTCCGCCACCAGCTACACCGCCTTCCACATCGTCGGCGACCTCGTGGCCCTCCTCGACGCCCTGGGACTGGACCAAGTTTTCCTGGTGGGTCACGATTGGGGCGCCGCCATAGCCTGGTACTTCTGCTTGTTCCGCCCCGACCGGATCAAGGCTTTGGTCAACATGAGCGTTGTCTTCCATCCAAGACACCCTTCAAGAAAGCCCTTACAGTCCATCAGAGCTATATTCGGTGACGATTACTATATCTGCAGATTTCAGGTAACTTTTTTTTTATTATTCTTTGATTGTTTCATTAATTACTATATGTTTTTTCTGTTTGATTGAAATTCACACACCCACTTGGATATGAATTTTCAAATTTACTGTTATAGATTTTTTTTTGGTTATCCAATATATTTGGGATGCAAATTAGAATCCAATTTTTTTAGTAATTGGATTTGTAGTGAAGACTAAGCTGTTACTGTATAGCTGTCGAGGGAGAATTTATGGTTCAATTATTGCTGTTGACTCAGAGACAGAAAATTCATAGCATTTAATGAGCTTTTGTACTTACTGAAATTGACACAAGGGAATGAATACCTCTTCTGAAACAGATGAACCAGCATACAAATTATAAAAGTACTCTCATGGTATGGAAGATTTTTTTCCCTCAATTTCATTTGGGATACTAATTTGAATCCAATGTTCCTTAATAATTAAAGGTTATGTTTCAGTAGATGATGGAGAGTGTTTTATGGTTCAATTCTTGCTATTGACTCAAAACATGGGGAAAAATTCATAGCATTAGATGGTATAAAACATTAAAGACTGAAAATCCCTTCCAAAGGCTTCCAAAAGATCCGCAAAGGCCACCTTGGTCTCATTCAATGTGTTTGGTGTGTTGTAATTTTCCCTTGCATGTTAGGTTCTAGTTAGATCCACTTCATGTGGAAGTGGAATAGAATAGTACCCTACACAAAAAGCACTTCTAATTTGGATTAACTGCACAATAGTCCAATTTTGACGAAACTGAAAATTTGGTGCCTTCTCCTCTAAATATAGTCTTCATTGAAGATCTTATTGATTTCAGAATTTTGTCTTTCCAAGAAGATAGTTTTAGGGAAACTAATACTTTTCCCTCCTTTTTCATTTTTGTTTTAGACTTTGTCTTATTTGAAGTAGTGTTTGTCATTAATAGCAAGAAATTTAATGGACTTCTTTATGATTGATCAAATCCTCTGACGTGTCGAGTTGGAATTCATTCAGCTGGTTTGAAACTTAGATATCCGGTCAAGATGCTCACAGAGTAGATTGAAAATTCTCTTTTTCAAATGTTCTGTTCTTTCATAACAGCAATATTTGACGACAAGAGGATTTTCCATTGCCTTCTGCTATGTAACCCCACAAGAATATCTTTATGGGAAGATAGGTCAACTTGATGTGGTGGTTCTTTTTCCATTGCAGTATATTGGATTCCTCCAAAGGTGATTGAAATGTTTGTTTAAAGTCCTTGCAACACTCTGCTAATCAGTGGGCATATTCATTTCAGTTTGCTTCAATTTAAATGAGATGAATTATGAAAACACCAGTTCCATCTTTTTTTGACATTTGCCATGTGAACGGCAGAATTGGGATACAGCTTCGCAGTATCTTTAGAAGATAGGTGGGGGATGTTAATAATTACATTACATGGCGATCAATTATTATTTTTCCCTATTTGATACTCACACACCCCTTCTCATGGAATTGTTTGCACCCTAAGGATTTGAACCTTAGACCTGATGCTTCGGGAGGCACCAGCGCCAAGTTCTTACCCACTTGAGCCAGCCCCTTGGGGTTCAATGTTTCTCCTTTAGGTGCCAGCTAGATGTTATCTGGTTCTTATTTCTCAACAATACATATCACATGCTTTGCAATTTTCTCACCATAGGAACCTGGAGAGGCAGAAGAAGAATTTGCTCGTGTTGATACTGCGAGACTAATAAAGAAATTTCTCACTTATCGCAATCCAACTCCACTTCTTGTACCTAAAGCAGTAGGATTTGGGGGTTCACTTACTACTCCAATTACATTGCCCTCCTGGCTGTCAGAAGAAGATGTCAATTATTATGCCAGCAAATTTAACCAGAAAGGATTCACTGGTGGATTTAACTACTATCGTGCTATGGACCTGTAAGTTTACTTTGCGATCTTGTTTTATTTGAGATAACTACGATTATTTAATGCTACTTTTGCTACAACATTATTTCTGCATAGATTGTTCCCATGTGGCTTGCACTAGCAGAGGTCACTTTATCTTTACATTCATACCTCACCTTAAATGAAGAGATATATGGAGATGATATTGACGAACAGTTATTTTAGTGCTTGGCTTCTTTACAATTCCATTCATGTTCCTGTTCTTTTTGAAGCAATCACCCTTCATGCATTGCTGAGGGATGTACGTTAGCGTAGGAAGTCCTGTTTCAATGCGTGTTGGATGATTGGAACTGGACACGAGCTCTATCCACCAGTTTAACATCTTTGGTTCTGGTATCTATGTGACACAGTTGGCTGTTTTCCTTTTTTCATATGCTACTTTAGGTATATTAAACATTTTGAGATTAGTGATTAGGCGTGAAAACATTGCAATTTTATTTGTGGAAGTGGCTATATTGGATACCCTTAAAGAAGGGGACTGGGATATTGTATTTACTTTCTAGCCAATCACAACCATCCTTTTATTTGTATCCTATCATATTTTAAGTGGGTACCACTTTTCAAGGACTCATTTGACTAAGACACTCATGAATGGAGAATGGGCGATCTTAGTTGGCTAGAGCTTAAGTGAAGGGTCTTCCATTTAGCACGTTAAAATAGATGATCCAAATCCATATCGATTTTCAAATGTAATTCCTTTTTCTTTTCCTTGTTGCAGAACTTGGGAGCTCACAGCACCATGGCATGGCTTGCAAATAAAGGTGCCAGTTAAGTTTATTGTTGGTGACTTGGACCTGACCTATAATTCACCAGGTGTGAAGGAATATATACACAATGGTGGCTTCAAAAAAAATGTGCCATTCTTGCAGGAAGTAGTTGTGATGGAAGAAGTTGGTCACTTCATCAACCAAGAAAAACCAGAGGAAATTAGCGCTCACATTTATGACTTCATCCAGAAGTTTTGATGTCTGTTTGATATATTATCATGGTGCCTTCCTGTAAGTTAGCTTAGGGTTTATTACAAGTTGGTTCAGAATAAGATTTGAGTTGTAATCTTGATGTAGGTTGGGCATATGATTCTGTGTATTTCTTTTCAGTGGCAATGTTAATTTGCATCCTTTTCTACTATGAGAGACTGAATGGGGATTGCATTCATGTTAAATAAATTGTCTTATTTGATTAAAGCTGGAAAACTAGATACAGAAACAAAGTGTGCTTGCTTATATTATGTGTCAAAATTTACTCTAGTTTCTCGTTTTGTTTGTTATGTTGGTGTAGTGATAAGAACTTGGATTCTCTTGTGTGAGATCGTATACTTTTCAGTTTAAAGGCAACAACCAAAGGTTATATCTGTATTCATTCTATTCCTACCATTATAGCATCTCAACTCTTTCAGAGTTGCAAGAAGAATAACAGAATTTCTAAGCCTTGTGTTTCTGGACACGTTGAGCTGTCTGTTTTGTGCCCCCAAACCATCGTACTGTCTGCCTGAATCAAGTTGAATACTGCCCTACTTTAGCTTGACCTATAAAATTGATTTGTATCTAGCTGTTCAGTTTAATCAACGTGCACACACATTATATATATATATATGTGTGTGTGTGTTTATATGTATATTTCTGGGTTAGAACTTGGAACTTGGGAAGAGACTTGCCTGTATGCAAGTAGCGGTGGAGGTAGAGGCACAATGCACAATCACACGCTCTCCAAAGGACTCCAGTTCAACGCTCTGTTCTGTTTACAGTTTAAAGGCAACAACCAAAGGTTATCCCTGTATTCGTTAACATCTCAACTCTTTCAGAGTTACAGGAAGAATAACAGAATTTCTAAGCCTTATGTTTCTGGACACATTGAGCTGTCTGTTTTGTGCCCCCAAACCGTCATAGTGTCTGCTTGCCTGATCAGTTTCAACAACGCTCTCTTCTGTTTGCAGATTCAACGAGGAAAAGGAAAAGAATATACGGAGGGAAATGTTTTCTTTTTTGACTAGCATGGAAAATGGTGAGGAAAGGAATAGGAGGATGGGTGGGAGAGTTTGTTAATTTGGGAGAAATCTTGTTTCATTTTTAAGAGGACAGATTATTTCTAAACTGACGGTGAAAAATGGGAAAACTTTCATTTTTCATTCATTTCCTTCTCAATTTCCCCATACAACCAAAAAAGAGAGAGGGATGCTGTTCTTATTTCTTCCCCCTCTGTTAATAGGAGGACTAGGAACCAAACGAAAAAAAGAAAATCACTAGCACACATTCACTAACAGACTCAAACTGATGCGCCATCTGACCAAACAGAACAATTTGCCTCAGGTGCACCCTCAGTTCTATTCTGAAGATGTTATTGCTTATATTTCTGTCGTCTTTAAAAAGCTTTTGCTTATTGCAAACAGTTACTAGACCAAGCAAACTTGCATCTATAATCTCTAGATTAGAACTTGTTGATGAAGTCATAAATGTGTGCGCTGATCTCCTCTGGCTTTTCTTGGTTGATGAAGTGAGCTACACCTTCCATTACAACTACTTCTTGCAAAAGGGGTACATCTTTTTTGAAGCCACCTTTGTGTATATAGTCCTTGACACCAGGGGTGTTATAGGTCGAGTCCAAATCACCCACGATAAATTTCACTGGCACTTGTATCTGTATTCCAGTCCATGGCGCTGTGAGCTCCCAGTTTCTGCAACAATAACAAAATTAAAAGGCCATTTATTACCCAGTGCTCGCCTTTTTGTTTACGCCAAAAAAAAAATTAATGAGAAGAACATTTGGATTTGGAATTGGAGGAAGTTTAATTCAAAGTTTAAATTGAATTTTCTCCAATTTCAATTTCAAGATGTAAACTTACTGGTCTATGGCTCTGTAGTAATTGAGTCCTCCTGTGAAGCCTTTCTGGTTAAATTTGCTGGCGAAATAATTGACATCTTCCTGTGTCAACCAGGAGGGCAATGTATCTGGAGTCTCGAAAAAATTACCAAGTCCTATCTCTTTAGGCACACAAAATGGAACAGGATTCCGAGTTGAAAGAAATGATTTAATTAGTTTTGCTGTATCAACTTGAGCAAACTCCTCTTCTGCCTCCCCTGGTTCCTGTATCAACGATTAATCACCATTCTAAGATGGTAAATAATTCAATACTACCTAGTTGGAATTTTTAAGCCAAAGTGGTAAAATGAAATCTTTTTTAAAAACAGCCTATAAAACTTAATCAATATATATATATAATCTATTAATTTGGGAAGGAATTTCAGTTCAAATTTTATTCTACTCCCTTCGTTCTTCGTTCCAAAATACACGTCCAGTAATAAAAAAAAGTAAATTTTTTTCTATTCCAAATCTGCAAAGCATAACATAAGTAGAAAATTGACCTGAAATCTGCACATATAGTAATCATCACCAAGGAAAGCTCTCATGGAATCAGTGGGCTTTATTGAAGGGTTCCTAGGATGAAAGGCAATGCTGAGGTTGACTAAGGCCCTAATCCTATCAGGCCGGAACATGCAAAAGTACCAGGCGATGAAGGCCCCCCAGTCGTGGCCCACCAAGAAGACTTGGTCCAGGCCCAGGGCATCGAGGAGGCCCAGCAGGTCTCCAACGATGTGGAAGGCGGTGTAACTAGCGGCGGAAGGTGGGGCGTCGGTGTCACCATAGCCGCGGAGGTCCGGTGCTATTGCTCGGTAGCCGGAGGAGGAGAGGGAGAGCATCTGGTGGCGCCAGGTGTACCAAAGCTCCGGGAAGCCATGAAGGAACAGCACTGCTGGGCCTTCACCTATCTCGGCTACGTGCATCGTAATGCCATTTACGCTTATGTTTCTATGCTCTATCTTCTCCATTCTCTCTTCTTTTTCTCTAATCTTTCTCACTACTTTTAAGCTAAATAAATATCCAAGATTTTCTTTGTTTTTAACACCGCTACTATGTCTTATCTTTTATCTGAGGGGCTTACATGATGATGAAGTAGCACGTGTTTATATATGCAAATATATATATTTCTTTTTTTGGGACTCGATTATATATACTATCAGACAAATTAATACTCTGCATTGTCAGCTTGGCTTTACATGCAGCGATCCCATCATCAATCACTTCACGATGAAAATAATTGAAGGCGGGCTATGTAATTAGGCCGGCCCTGACACATGGGGATTAAGAGCATTTTCAATTGTCTGTTAAATTTAAAATTTTATTTTTATTTTTATTTTTATTTTTATTTTTTTTTTATGTAAAATATATACGGTCATATGTGATTTGTTAATTTTTTATTATTTTTAACAATATGTTAAAATACACTATTACATTATCAATGTGTAAAATATATAATCATTTTACACATTTTATACTGCCATATAAGCATATTTTCTCTTTTTCATTCGCAATTCTTTTTCTTCTCTCTTATTCCTTTAAGTCTCTTTGTTTCTCACTTTTCTAGAGTGAACTCGAGAAGAATTTGTAACTGGAGGCAATGTAAGAACTGCTCGACCATATTTTATTTTTTATTTTTAATAAACATAGTTTGATTCATCACTTTCGTTTAATCTCATCTTTCGCAATCATATTGTAGATTTTAGAATTTTTTTAGATTTTTTATCCTTTTACATTCTACTCTAGTGAGATAAATATGTACTAACCAAATATTAGATATATATTTTAATTACGTAGTTTCTACGTCCTTAAATTTTATTTTATTATTTGTTATAAGTTAGAATTTTGGTGGTAATGGCGTAAAAGGTTTGCTATTAGCGGGATGGGAAGTTAAATATATGGGGAAATTATTATTATTTTTTTCTTAATTAAGGAGGATTGGGACGTGAGGTTTAATCGCCAAAAAGTAAGTAGGTCTGTAAAAGTTATTAGGACCTTAGGTATGACACGTGGTTGGTTGTTATTGGTGGATAATTTTTTTACATAAAAGGTATAAAACAACCGTTGAAACTAAAAATAATTACTACAATTTTTTTTTTGTATAAATCTACTTTGATACATCAAGTTTACACAAAAAAAAATTTAACAGACCGTTAGAGATGCTCTAAGACAGTGGCCTAGGGTCTCAAGATTTGTAGGGCCTCAAATTTTTTTTTTTTTTTCGGAAGTTATAGGGCCTCAAATTTTGCAGGCTCATTGATGATGGGCTTAAAAAAAATAAATAAATAAAGAAAAAAATAAAATCAAGGCAATTGAATTAAAATTTGAAAAGCCTCAAATATTAGCACGTCTTAGTTTCTCATTGATAATACAGAACACTTTTGGTTGTTGGCTCTTTAGTTTTTTGTCTCGGATTTTTATTTTTCCACTCCGATCTCTGTAGACTGTAATTACTTCTCTAATTTTTACAAAGGTTTTATTTTTTCCTCCATGTAAATCATATTCTTTCTGTTTTTCTTTTTTTGTTTTTTTGATTTTTTCTATTCTAATATAATCTTATCTCTTACAGGTGAGAATTTGGATCTCATGAGGTAATTTTTTTTTCTGTAAATCATATTATTAAATATTGAGCCATTAAGGTAATCTATATTTTCTTTCAGCAAAGCAATTTTTTTTTTTTTTTAAGTTTAGTTTTATGTTGATTGTGTTTCCTTATTTAGATTTCAAGATATACATTTTGATTGGGCATAGAAAATTAGTTCAAGAGATTTCACTTTGATTAGGCAAAAAAAACTCGTTGTTGTGCTAAAACACATTTGTAATTCTTTGATTATTTTATCCAAACTTTTTTAGAAAGTGGAGTAATTTTCTCACATATTAGCAATTTTTTTTTATAATAAAATTATTATTTTATAGATTAGAATGCATAAAGTTGAAAGTTCTTACATAATTATTGTTTGACAAATGAATTTGTTATAATACCGGTGTTCCAATCCAACAATCCTTCACTTGAAGTCTTTAAGACAAATTAATTAGAAAAACAAATCACTGCATTGAGGTAACATCTATATTTTATTTCAGCAACCTGGATCAATTTATTGCATTGCATTGAGGTAATATATATATATATATATATATATATATATATAAAATTTTAGTAAAGCAAATATTTTTTTATTTATATAACTTTTTTTTTTCTTAACAATTATGTCTACTAGAAAATTTGAATATGGGCATGAAAAAAACACAAAAAAAAAAAAAGTTAAAAAAGAAGAAGAGAAGAACCAGCAGGTCTGTGATCTAGCGATATAAGGTCCTAACTTTTCAAAGAGAGATTGGGGATTCGAACATCTGTGGAAGCAGTATATGTAAGTCTCGACTAGGAAAAAAAAGAAAAAAAAAAAAAGAAAAGAAAAAAAAGTGAAGAACAATTGATTCAAGCACTGCTGGGCCTTCACCTATCTCAGCTACGTCCATGGTAATGCAATTCACGCTTATGTTTCTATGCTCTATCCTCTCCATTCTCTCTTCTTCTTCTCTCTTCTTTCTTAAGCTAAATAAATATCCAAGATTTTTGTTTTTAACACTGCTACTTTGTCTTATATTCAGAAGGATAGACTTACATGATGTTGAGCTGGCACATGTTTATATATGCAAATATTTTTCTTTTTGGGGACTCGATTATATATACTATATATATATATTTTTCACAGGTAATGATTAAAGATAGATATATATTTTTTTTTTGAAAGAAATTCGAATCTAAAAATATAGAGTGGGAGTACTACCTGATATATTATCACTTGACAACATCGCCACACCCCTCTTCATATATATACACATTATACTTGTATGGTTGCACTTGGGGACTTCCATGATAACCAGCATATATAGTTTGAGATGAGGGGAAATTGAATTGCCCCTTGGTGAATGCTCATTTCAGCTCGTTTAATTTTAATTTATTTCAATGCCAACTGTATGTGTGAAAAAATTCCTCTCATGAGGCACTTCTTTGAAGATCACTTTCACCCGGGATTTCTTCTGTATATATGTAAGTGCATATTATTAGTGTATATATATAGGGATTTTTTCTCTCCCTCCTAATTAAATAAATTTTTTATATTTTATTTTTAATAAAATATATATCTAATATTTGGTTAGTACATATTTGTTTCTCACTTTTCTAGAGTGAAATCGAGAAAAATTTGTAACTGGAGGCAAGGTAAGAACTGCTCGACTATATTTTATTTTTTATTTTTAATAAACATAGTTTAATTCATTATTTTCGTTTGATCTCATCTTCTGCAATCATACTGTAGATTTTAAAATTTTTTTAAATTTTTTATCTTTTTACATTCTACTCTAATGAAATAAATATGTACTAACCAAATATTAGATATATATTTTAATTACGTAGTTTTTACATACTTAAATCTTATTTTATTATTTGTTATAAGTTAGAATTCTGGTAGTGATGGCGTAAAAGGTTTGCTATTAGCGGGATGGGAATTTAAATATATGGGGAAATTATTAATTTTTTTTCCCTTTTTGAGGAGGATTCGTGGTTGGTTGTGGTTGGGGAATAATTTTTTACATAAAAAGTACAAAACAACTGTTAGAAGTAAAAATAGTTACTACAAATTTTTTTTTTTTTTTGTGTAAATCTACTTTGATACATCAAGTTTACACAAAATTTTTTTATTAGACCACTGAAGATGCTCTAAGGCCTAGGGTCTCAAGATTTGTAGGGCCTCATTTTTTTTTTTTTTTTTTTCGGAAGTTACAGGGCCTCAAATTTTGCAGGCTCATTGATGATGGGCTTAAAAAATAAATTTATAAATAAACAAAAAAATAAAATCAAGGCAATTACCTTAAAATTTGAAAAGCCTCAAATATTAGCACGTCTTAGTTTCTCATTGATAATAGAGAACATTCTTGATTGTTGGCTCTTTAGTTTTTTTGTCTCGGATTTTTATTTTTCCATAGCTGAACTCTTAGTCTCCGATCTCTGTAGACTGTAATTACTTCTCTAATTTTTACAAAGGTTTTATTTTTTCCTCCATGTAAATCATATTCTTTCTGTTTTTCTTTTTTTGATTTTTTCTATTCTAATATAATCTTATCTCTTACAGGTGAGAATTTGGACCTCATGAGGTAATTTTTTTTTTTTTTTTTTTCTGTAAATCATATTATTGAATATTGAGCCGTTAAGGTAATTTATATTTTCTTTCAACAAAGCATTTTTTTTTTTTAAGTTTAATTTTATGTTGATTTTATTTCCTTATTTAGATTTCAAGATATTCATTTTGATTGGGCATAGAAAATTAGTTCAAGAGATGTCACTTTGATTAGGCAAAAAAAACTCGCTGTTGTGCTAAGACACATTTGTAATTCTTTGATTATTTTATCCAAACTTTTTTAGGAAGTGGAGTAATTTTCTCACAGATTAGCAATTTTTTTTTTAATAAAATTATTATTTCATAGATTAGAATGTATAAAGTTGAAAGTTCTTATAGAATTATTGTTTGACAAATGAATTTATTATAATACTAGTGTTCCAATCCAGCAATCCTTCACTTGAAGTCTTTAAGACAAATTAATTAGAAAAACAAATCACTGCATTGAGGAAACATCTATATTTTATTTCGGCAACCTGGATCAATTTATTGCATTGCATTGAGGTAATATATATATTATATATATATATATATATATATAAAATTTTAGTAAAACAAATATTTTTTTATTTATATAACTTTTTTTTTTCTTAACAATTACGTCTACTAGAAAAATATGAATATGGGCATGAAAAAAAAAAAAAAAAAATTAAAAAAGAAGAAGAGAAGAACCAGGCCTGTGACAGAACAATTGATTCAATCACTGCTGGGCCTTCACCTATCTCAGCTACGTCCATGGCAATGCCATTCACGCTTATGTTTCTATGCTCTGTCCTCTCCATTCTCTCTTCTTCTTCTCTCTTCTTAAGCTAAATAAATATCCAAGATTTTCTTTGTTTTTAACACCGCTACTTTGTCTTATATTCAGAAGGATAGACTTACATGACGTTGAGCTAGCACATGTTTA